GAGAAATTCGTGGATGACGACGATGAGGAAGATGCCGACGAAGCCGACGGCAGTGACGAGGAGAACGAAGAGCCTGAGGATACGGAGATGTCCCCGTCAGACGACGAGGGAGACGATGACGACGCCGACGACGACGCGGAGGAGGAATTGCAACCTGTGACTCAGCCGCCGAAACGGAGCGCCCCTCGCGCTTCTGCCGCTGACAAAGCCAAAGGCAAGGCGGCTGCACCACCGCCACGACAGGAGCCCCGGAAGAAGCGGTCGGCTACCCCGGTAGAGAGGGGCCTGTGGTCGGACAAGGAAAGCACCATCTTTGCCGCGGCGCGTTGGTTCACCAAGGACGAACTCGAGCCGCTCAAGGGCAAGCAGGGGACGCAGTACTGGGTGCGCCTTCTCGCGCACATCAAGGAGTCGAACCCGGGTTGGTGCATGAACGTCAATGCATTGCAGAATCAGTGGCGCAACTTGATGCTGCTTTGGAAGGAATACAAGCGGGGAGATGGTGGTTCGGGCAACGGATCTGGGAGGTACCAAGTTCCTGGGAGGTACCAAGTTCCTCCCAGCCCGTCACTTCGACGCCGACCTTCACAGGTGAGATACGGTTCTTGTTCCGCATGCGCGTACCGTGGTCATTTATGGGCGTCAAACAAAGGGCTATTTGTCAACTTGTTTCAATCGTTAGAATGGTCGTACACAATTGAAGCTACTAATCACAAATTGTGTGCTTCCATGCATTTCTGTGACAGCACCGCCGCCGCAAACCAACGCTACACCTAAGCGCGCAGGGGTACATGAGACGGCGACTATGTAATGTCGAAGTAGCAGGCTAAAACGATAAACAGGAAAGAGAGGTTTTCACTAGCAGCAATTGAGATACATATAGGAAACCCTAATTGGGTTGTACTCGCTATAGGGTACCCCACTGCAGGCTAGACAAACATCGACATTCTGACACACCCCCATAGTCAAAGTGGGGTATAATCAGCACAACAAGCAGGGAGAGCAGTAGTTCACAATTATAAGCAAAGCTAGAGGCAGTCACAGAGAGCAAGTGAGGAGGAGGAGAAACTGTGAGGGCGAGAAGATGGGAGGCGACGGCTGAAGCTGCAGACACACAGGCAGCAGGAGTGCGAAGCACTGTCGCTACCAGGCTAAACCCGGACTACACGGCGACAGACGCAGCTGGCTCACTGTGCTCCCAGGAGTGCACACACTGTGGCTACCGGGCGCAGAGCCCCGGACTACTCAGGCCACAGGGGGTCGTGGCTCTCTGGACTACCAGGAGTGCTCACACTGTGGCTACCGGGCGCAGAGCCCCGGACTACTCAGGCTACAGGGGGTCGTGGCTCTCTGGACTTCAGGCGCTGCGGACGACAAGTCGGCTACCTCCGGTCAACCTCCCCCAACTGTCCCACACCCCTTTCACACACTCACTGCTGCACCTCTGGCACTGCTCACACGCCACCCCCCTCGTACCACTCCGACGGCTCCAACACATCCACCCCCCTCAGCGGCAGCTGCAGCAGTGGGAGACGGAGGAGGAGGAGGAGGGGACGGCTCACACACCCGGCACCCCCATACTCTCCACCCCCAAACCCTAACACAGGAGCGCGGGCAGCAGCGGGGGTGGGGCGCGATCAGAAGCTCGGGACGAACCGCGCGCGGGCTGCCCGGGCCGCGCGCGGGTCTGGCGCAGCCCGTACGGGTCACGCGCGGGCCTGGCGCAGGTCGCGCGGGCCGCGTCGGGCGACGGGGGGCAACGCGCGGGTCACCGGGGCAGGAAACCGCCGCGCGCTCCCGGGGCTCGCAGCGGGCAGGGCAGAAAACCGCCGCGCGCTCGGGGCGCGCGGCGGGAAGAAAAAACGCTGCGTGCTCCGAGTGCACGGCAGGAAGAAAACGGCGCGCGCCCGGGGCGCGCTACAGGCAGTAGAGCAGCGGAAGCATCGGGTGGGGCCCACCCACAGGATCGACCCAGGAGGGTCGACCTGCTCTGATAGCATGTCGAAATAGCAGGTTAAAACGATAAACAGGAAAGAGAGGTTTTCACTAGCAGCAGTTGAGATACATATAGCAAACCCTAATTGGGTTGTACTCGCTATAGAGTACCCCACTGCAGGCTAGACAAACATCGACATTCTGACATGTAAGCCGCCATGCTTGTATCTGCGACCATCAAGGATTGCCACAGTGACGCCATGACGCGCATCGAGGGTCTCGTCCGCGAATGGATGGCGCAGGACTTGCGCCTAGCCCGCGAGCGCATGACTGAATCGGCTCCACCGCATGTGCATCGCGAAACGACGGACTTCAGCCCTCCTCCGCCACGCGGGGAGTCTGCACCACCTCCCGGGCGTGCCGCGCCAGACGCGGTTGGAGGCGATGCCGGCGTGCAGCGCGACGAGGCCGGCGACGTCAACACCGTCACTCCGGTTGATGAGGATGTGGAGATATGGGTCCGCGGCGCCGACGATTAGCGTAAGCTTCCCCTAGTCTTTTCCTTCTCTCCCTCAGGGCCTGCTGTGTCGCGGTGACACATGGTTCCCACTTGTGATCCGCGACGGCACCCCTTGTCCACCATGGGTCGCGGTTGCGGGGCAGATGGAACCAAGCCATATTCACGCGCCTCACGTCTGCCATGTTTTCACACATGTTGTGCAGGATCACACAGCAAGCGGCCCCGGCAAGAATGCGCCATAACCTGCAATCATTGTGCCCGTTGAAGAGGCGCCATCTTCCCTTGAAGGCGCCGATGCACCTCTCCACCGCCATGCGCGTAGCGCTCTGGCAGTAGTTAAAACACTGGGCCCCGTCATCCATTAGATCCTCTCCGCGTGGGGCATGCAGTGGGGTTAGGCAGTATTCTCTGAGCGGGTATGCCGCATCCCCGACAATTTGGTAGGGGTCTATGTCACTGTTCTGTAACCTTTCCAATAGTGCGGAGTTTTTGAACACACGCTGGTCGTGCGCGCTGCCGGGATAACCGATGAGGTAATCCCATATCCTTCCCCGTGCATCACAAGTGATCTGGAGCTGCACTGCGTATGCCGATTTCCTTGTCCAATACTCGATCCGGTGCCCCTCCATCCCTCTCATGTGGATGTGAGTCCCGTCTATAGCTCCCACCACTGCAGGCACACCTTTGATGGCGGCGAATTCACGCGCCAACTCCGGAAGTTCTGCTCGTGTGGGGAATCGCACCCAGGCGGCCTTGAAGAGGGCGGGGAACTCGGTGAGGAAGAGGTCGACTAGCTCGTGGCAGAGTGTCTTGGAGACCCCAAAGAGGTATGACATATCAACGAAGGAGATTCCGCTTGCTAAGGGATGAGCAAAGCTGTGTCCATTGTAATCCTGGACCGATGTACGATTGGATCAAGACATTGACGCATGCCAGTCTTGATGTGCTCAAGTATGGCGTGATTGATTCTGAAAATGTCTTGGAAATCGTTCTCCCGCATATGTTGCAGGTCGTCAACCCACAGTGCATGACGTTGCCGCCGTACTCTCGCTCTGTGACGGCGGTTCTCCGCGTTGTCGTCCCCAAGAGACGAGGACTGCTCGTCCGCGTCTTCGAGTATACCAGCCTCAATCAGTCCGACAAAGGACTTGGCGACAGTCTCGTGGAAGATTGTGTAGTAGTACGTGACCCAGGCGGCAAGTAGGCGTAGGATGAACGGGATGGGCCTTGGCTCAGCCATGGTGCGTAGATCTTGCGAGCGTTGTGGCTCGAATTGAGCGCTGCTTGCTTTATGTTGTGCTTGTCCGTGATGTATTGCGGCCGTTGTAATTATGTGTATGGCAATTATTGGGGGTTGCGCAGCCGTACGTAACACTCCGCGACCTCCCTCGCCACCCCCCATGTTCATTTGCGGGCCTGGCAGTGTTGGTGCGTATGACGCGGCTAAACCCTGGGCCCCCGCCAGAAATCACCAATCATATTTGTTCACACATAATTGTCGCCATGGTCGTACAATGTCGTGGTACATTGGTCGATTGGGACATGACGACTCGAGACATTTGAGGGCGACTCGGGCCAAAATCGATTGGGACACTTTCTTTGAGAAAGTGTCCAGCGCGGAATGTACCCTTATTGAAGAGTTCAAATAGTTCCTGCCTCAGCAATAGCTCTAGTATTGTTACGGGTGCAATGGAACGAAGTAGCGAGGATTGCACTAGAGTATCAAACGAGCAAAGGCATGAGCAAATACTTATAAGAGAAACATGCAAACGGTAACGCGGTGCGTTCGAGCTAGCTAGTGGTATGCTGGCGCAAGGTTCAGGCTAGTCCCGAAGCGTAGGCTGACTCGGTTTGGCCAGAAGTGCGAGGTTTGGTGAAACAGTGCGCGCGAAGTTGGCGAAGCCCCGTCAGTAGTAACAGTCGAACAACGGCTGCTGCTGTACGCGACGGTGGCGGTAAGGAGTGTCGAGAAAATTCCTTACAAGTATCCAGAAGGGCAAAAGTGAATGGTGTTATAACATAGTAACCAATACAGAGTGTTCTAGGAGATCCCATGTCAATATTCTAATAACTTGAGCAAACCTCGTTATTGTCCTCACAGCCAGAAGCTTCGCTCACTCGTCCACTTTCGCCAAGCTCTGTGGGAGACGGGGCACATGCGAACGTGTCGCACGTTATCTCTATTCGCGGCTGCTGACCTGGCATCGTACCCTCTTGACTGTCCTCCACACCGCACCACAGTGGCGGCCTTGACGCCCACAAAACCACCACCACAATCAGCAACACATTCATTGACGAAACAAGTTTTCGCCGTAGTAACCAGATGTCGTAAATATTCACCTTTTCCAGAAAAAGGGCAAAATCAGTTCTGCGCATTTGACTCCATTTTCTGGCGGCAGTCACGCTTCCTAGCAAAAGGGCGCGTGAATTAGTTACTAACAAAGAAGGGCGTGAATTGGATAGTAACAAGAGTGTGTGTGGATTGGTGCGGTGAATAACATTGAATCTTCATTACATCGTAGCTGATCCTAGTAGTGTTTCTTTCATGGCCGTGTCTCAAGCAGGTTCGGGCAATGTGGCCGACACGGCGCACGCGAAGAGACTGATAGCTGAGCGTGCTCGCGCTGACGCGGAAAAGGCTAGAGCTGCGGCGGAGGAGAGGCGCGCGGAGGCTGTGAAATTACGCGTCGAGGCGGAAGTAAAGCAGCAGGCGGCGGAGGAGAAGCGAAGGTTGGCGGAAGAAAAGCGGAGGGTCGCGGAGAAGGCCAAAGAGGAGGCGCAAGCGCGGCAGGCGGAGGCGGAGAGCGCGCAGGCGGAAGCGGAGAGGAAGGCGGAGGCAGCAGCGCGGCGGAAAGCGGAGGCGGCGGAAGCGAAGGAGCAGGCGAATGCGGCGAAGCAGCGCGCGGTGAGTGCGCGGGAGGAGGCAGATGCGAAGAGAGAGCGCGCGGAGCAGGCGAAGGCGGAGGCTGATGAGAAGAGGGAGAAAGCTGCGCAAGCCAAGGCAGAGGCAGACCGGAAGCAGGCTGAGGCAGAGCAAGCGAGGGAGACAGCCGAGGCTGCGAGAGCGAAGGCTGTGAGCGGGAGGGAGGTTGCGGAGAAAGCCCAGCGGGAGGCGGAACTGGCGAAGGAAGAAGCGGAGAGGGCGAGGGGCGAGGCGAAGCAGGCTCAGGAGAAGGCGGAGGCTGCTCTGGCTGCTGCGGAGGGGAAGAGGGAAGAGGCGGAGAAGGCGAAGCAGAGCGCGCGGGCGCGACTGGAGGAGTCTGTGGCGCTGAAGGAAAGGGCCGCGGAAGCGAGAGCTGCGGCGGAAAAGGAGCACGCGGAGCTGGAGAGGCGGAAGGGCGAAGCAGAGAGCGCGCGGGAGAAGGCGGAGGCGCAGAGGAGGGAGGCTGAGGAGAAGAAGCAGCATGCTGAGAAGGCGAAGGAGGAGGCGGATCGGAAGAGGAGTGAGGCGGAAAAGGCAAAGGAGGAGGCTGGGAGGGCGAAGCTGGATGCGGAGAGGGCGAGGGAGGAGGCGGCGAGGAGGCAGGAGGAGGCGGAGGGGAAGCGGGGTGAGGCGGAGAGGAAGCAGCAGGAGGCGGAGAGGTTGAGGGAGGAGGCGGAGAAGGGGAGGTTGGCTGCAGAGCAAGCGAGAGCACAGGCTGAGCAGGCGAGGGAAAGGAAGAAGGAGCTGGAGCTGAAAACTCTGGCAGTATGAAAAGAATTCTGGATTTTAGGAGCTCTTTGAGGTAGTATTTCTTTTCTCAAGTTGCTGCGGGCAACAAGACAATCAATGGGCATGGTACTGATTAAGATTGTGTCTAGGGAGAGTTGTTAGCAGTACAGGGATGCTTTATGTACCGCTCCAATGTTGGATAGAAGGGAGGTGTGGTTGCCAGAATTATCTGAATTTTCGGACTGGGATCTGGTTGCCAGCTATGACCTCTTATGTTTTAATAGAAAATGCTGTACCAGAAAATTCTGCATGATTTTGCATGATGTATTGAAAACAAATGTTCTTGTTCACCTCGTTGTTATCACTTCAGCGAAAACATCTCTCTTCGCACGCCCCTCGCTACGATCTCATCCAGGAAGCTCGACGTGGAAGCCGTGCCGCGAAGATGTCGTTGTTCTCACGGCGCAGTCACAAACTACTAGTTAGGCTCGGCATTCGAACCTCAACAACAGATTCAGCAACCAGCGCCTCTGTCATACTATTGGCTCTCATAAAGACCCAAGCCAGAATCTCCCGTGATAATCATCCCCTTCTCTCCGAGCCTATATTTCTGGCGCAAGCGGGGCTTCTCGCCGTGGCAAGGTGAAGGTAGGTGAGACACCAGACCTAAGAACCCTTGTATGTGTAGTAGGTTCGACAGGGAGCAATGCCAGGTCCTGCCCAGCCACGAAGCGACAAAACCTAGGTCCTGAATCTTGAGCCTCGAAAGTCTTCCTGACCTAAAAGTTGGTTGGGAAGGAAACAGATGGGCGAAAACAGGCCTGAGCAGTGGAAGAAGGGTGAGGTGGGGCAACTTTCAGGGATTGACGCGCGAACAAGTGGAACTTACATCAGCTATCCGTGTGTTTTCTTACGCGTCATTTGCGGTTTCAGCTTTCAAGATAGAGCTTGCGACGCCTGACTAGACGTGTCCTGTTTTAGGAGTGCTCTTGTCATTTTCGCTGCAATTGAGTGCACTTGTAAGCGTGTTCGGTCAATCGTTTGGCTTTGTAGCGCAAAGTGTTCTACTCTATCTTCGTAAAAGACTTTTGGGATCGAATAACCAGAATAATAGGCCAATTTTACAATATTGTTATTTTAGAGCTTCCCTTGTTTCCTGCCAGCTATTCCGTTGTGACAACGTCCATCGCAATATCCCTGCCCAGAAGTTGTGTCGGTGCTTCCAGGATCCCTTCTGTCCAGTCCCCAAACTTCCGAAGCCCTGAAATATTATCTCTCAATCAACTTCTAGGTCCTTCGTTCTACACACACGCTGCCAATGTCGGACGCGGAAGAAACGGAAAACGCGCCGCTTGAGGAGGTTCCACAGGGGGAGGCGGCTGAAGCCCCCGTGAAAGAAGCAGCAGGCGATGATGGTGGTGGGGGGGCAGGAGAAGAAGGAGGAGGAGAAGCTGAGGGGGGTGGGGATGAGGGAGCGGGCGAGGAGGAAAGTGCCGAAGAAGTGAAGGACGATGCAAATGATGGAGAGAAGGATGGTGAAGAGGGAAATGCTGGTGACGAGGAAGAAAGGGTAGACGCGGAAGTTACCCCTGCTGAAGCGGGTGAAGCAACTGAAGCAGGTGAATTGAGTGGTGATGGTGACGCAGGAGAAGCAAGCGACTCAGGAGAAGCGACTGAAGGAGGCGAAGCAAATGAAGCGACTGAAGGAGGTGAAGAAGGAGAAACAAGCGAAGAAGCGAATGCAGCAGGAGAAGCTGAAGCAGGTGAAGCTGCTGAGGCGTTTGCGGAAGAGAAAGCTGAAGAGAAGGCGGAAGAGGCGGCTGAGGATATCAGCGAGGCGGAAGCAGAGAACCCAGCTGGTGGGCAGACAGAGGCGGAAATCGGCGATGCTGCACCGGCGGAAGTCGAACAGGCGGAAGCGGAGCTTGCGGAAGTGGAGCAGGCGGAAGGGGAACAGTCAAAGGGAGATGACGATCAAGGGAGCGACAAAGGGGAGGCTGAGGATGCAGAGGCGGGTGTGACTGAACCGGGAGGGTCGAACGCAGAGGAAGTAGCTGCAGAGGAGGCTGCTACAGCCGAGGCTACAACCGAGGGTACAGCCGAGGCTACAGCCGAGTCGAGTGCAGAAGCAGGTGAGGAGACCAACGAAGAGGCGAGTGGGGAGGCGAGTGGGGAGGCAACTGGTGAGCCGAGTGATGCTGCTGGTGGAGGTGAAGGGGGAGATCTGGAGGGAACGACGAGTGATGGGGAGTCACGAGCGGCAGAAGGAGAGATGGAGGACGAGGGGAAGGAAGGTGACACAGGGGACGGACCGGTGGAGGAGAAAGGTGAGGAGGAGAGCTCAGGAGGACAAGGAGAAGGAGAGAAGGGAGAAGAGGAGGGAAGTGGCGAGGAGGTGAGGAACGAAGTGGGAGCGGAAGGGGAGGAAGATCGAGGAGAGGAGGGAGGAGAGCGGACAGAAGGAGGAGGAGAAGAAGGTATTGAAGCGGCAGCTGTAGGGGCAAGCGGCGAGGCTGAAGGGGAGGGGGCGGCGGAGGAGGCGGAGGGGTGTAAAGAAGGGGATGCGGAGGAGAAAAATGCTGACGTGGCATCTGTGTCATCAGGTGGCGGCGATGGGGAGGATGAACGGGCAGGTGAAGAAAGTGAGGAGAGAATACAGGATGGGGAGATGGGGGCTGATGAGACAGGGGAGGACGAGAAGGGGCAAGAGGAGGAGAGTTCCGAGGCAGGGGGGGTTGGAGGAGAGATGGGCGAGTCTAGGTTGGAAGAAGGAGCAGAAGAGGAGGTGATAGGGGAAGCAGCGAGTGCGGAGCAATTGGGGGGAGAACCGGGGGAAGGGGAGGAAACGGAGGAGAAAGATAAAGGTGGGGGTGAGGGGGAGAGGGAGGAGGAGGCGGTGATTATTCATGTTGATGCTGAGAATGGGATGGAAGAGGAGGGGAAGGCAGAGGAGGAAGCGGCAGGGGAGGCTAATGGCTTGCAGGTAGAGGAAGGGAAAGAAGAGAAGGAGGAAGAGGGAGGATTGGAAGAGGAGGAGGTGGAGGCTGGTGCAGGGCAGAACCATGTGAAGGATGGAGAGGGGAGTGAGGAGGGGAGTGAGAAGGGGAGTGACAAGAGTGAGAGCAGTAGTGACAGCGATAGCAGCAGTGAGAGTGGGAGTGACAAGGAGGGGGATGACGATGAGAAGAAAGAGAAGAAGAAGGACAAAAAGGAGAAGAAGGATAAGGAGGGTAAGAAAAAGAAGGATAAGAAGGATAAAGAGGGCAAGAAGGATAAAAAGGATAAAGGGAAGAAGAAGAAGAAGAAAAAGGACGAAGACGAGGAAGAGGAAGAGGATGACAAGGAAATGAAGTCCAAGATAGCTGAAGAAATGAAGTCAAAGATAGAGGCAAAGCCTTGATGGCTGGGATGAAAACAGAAGCAGAGGTGCAAGCGCTGCTGCAGGCACAAGAGACAGAATGGGCCGCCCGTCTCGCCGAAGCAGAAGAAAAAGTCCAAAAGATGCGACTCCTTAGGCAAGCCTTGGAGCTACGAGCGTCCAAGGCGGAGGAGCAACTGGGGAAGCTGAAAGAAGAGCTGGAAGCGGAGGAGGAGAGGAGGATAGTGGCGGAAGAAGCTAGGGACGAGGCGGAGGAGGGGCGGCGGGTGGCTGAGGAGGGGATGGAAGCAATGGTGGATGCAAAGAGGCAGACGGTGAAGAACCTGACGGAGAGTTTGCTGGCTTCGGAGGAGCAGAGAAAAAGGCTCGTTGCTGTGCTGCGATCGGTGAATGGAGGTAAGGCTTGGGGTGCTGGTTGTGAGCCGTTTGCGATTGGTATGGAGGTCCGATTTGGGGTGGGGTGATGGTTCGGTTGGCTTGTCTAAGGAAGAAGAAGAGGCTCTAAGTGGTGCTCTGATTGCTGAATGGTGGGACGCGGTGTGCGGTGTTGGAGTGTGGTTGAGTACGCTTGTGCACGCTAGCTTTCTCACACATGCTGGTTTGAAATGAGAGTAGAGTAGAAACGTTAGTGATAAGGAAATGGACAAGCATAATAGCACTCATGTCGCCTGGCACCCTAAGGTAAAAACTAAGCCATTTGCTGCACATAAAGAGGTGCAAAAGGTATTGTAGCATGGATTGTGATGATCTTATAACCACTTCACCTGTGTCAAACAATAACCAACCAAGTACCATCACACATATTAAGATTTTCAGACCTGACTTGCCTCCCTCCCCTTCGTCCCCTCACCCTCTCACCCCCTCACCCCCACGACCCCTCAGTCCCCTTTTTCTGTAGCAGACCAGAACCAGTGAGTATGGGGCCACACTGACTTGCCTCCCTCCCACCATCACTTACGAGAAAATCCAAACCTGACTTGCCTCCTCCCCCTCATCCGCTCAACCTCTCACCCCCTCATCCCCACAACCCCCCCACCCTGTCTCTCTCCTCTCTGGCAGATCAAAACTAGTCAGTATGGGGGACCATCATGTCTTGGAGTTTTCAATCCTGATGCTCTCACCCTCTCAACCCCACGACCCCTCCACCCCTTTCTCCCTCTCGCAGACCAAAACCAGTCAGTATGGGGCACCATCATGTCATGTGAGTCGCCCCCACACACTCCATGCGAATTGGAGCACCAGTATTGCCCTCCATGTTCCATGTGATGTGCTGCATCAGTCTGGTGCTCACCCGTTCATAATGCCTCTGCGTAGCATGCCCTCGTATTCATACTCATGCCATTTCGCAACATGCTCTTTTGTCACAAACACATGCCCTTGCACAAGATGATGCTGTTTCATGCTCATGCCTTGCATTACCACATGCGCATAGCATAACGTTACTATCGATCATTGGGTGTTCTCAAACGCGACAAACGTTACCCAGCACACTGCTACTATCGATCACTGAGAGTTCTCAAATGTTACGCACGCCCAGCATATCGTAACTATCCATGGTGTTGACACCACCAGAATCCCATTGTGACAACATGCTCTAGCGTCTCTCGTGTATAAAGGGTATTTTTTAGAAGTCTCAAAAAGCATACTGTTACTTTCCATGGTGTTGCCACCACCAGAATCCCATTGTTACAACATGCTCTAGCGACTCCCTCCATGCGACATCACTGGCCGATCCCTGTTATTCACCCCCCTTACTCTCATCTTCCTAATCCCTCTCATCCTTCTCTTCCCCCCACTTTCCCCCCCTTTCCTGCTCATCATTGCTCTTGTCCCGCTCATCATCCCTCTCGTTCCCTGCTTCACCCATCACCCGCTTCATTTGGCTTGTTCTCATCATCCCTCTCGTTCCCTGCTTCACCCATCACCCGCTTCATTTGGCTTGTTCTCATCATCCATCTGCCACTCAGTTTTCGATGCCAACAAGGCTTGATGGGCGCTCAAGCCAGGGTAGCTGCAGCTCCAACATGCCTCACCTCACCATTATGTCTCAAGCCTGCACCACTGATCTCTAGCCCTCATGTAGCCTCTAGCTAGATTTCCCACAAATTTGACCTGGAGGTTGAAGCTGGAAGCAGCAGCAGCAGCAGCAGTGGAAGTTGGCAGCTCCATTTTCTAGTTGTGGAAAATCCAGCTCCAGGTTTGAGTTTATCCTTGCCCGCACGTGGCGTTGGTCTTACTGGCGACGTCGAGCTGCTTTGCAGAACGCCCGCCCCCCTTCACTGCTGGAGTGAAGCTTAGAGGGCTGTTAGATGGTGGAGCTGTGTGGGTGGAGGCGGCGTCGGTGAAAGCTGTGGCAATGGAGGTTTTGGTGCAAATCATATCGTATTTCACTAACCGCATCTGCTCCGCTGCCACAGAAACCTTTTTCTGTTACCTTATTTATGTTGACGTTTTATTCTCCTGCCAGTGACTTTAATAATGCATATGTAGTGATCAGCTGCTAACATAGTTTATAGGGTTTATCTTGCTTTGATATTTGTGCATGCCTAAGTATCTTTATGGTATTACACAACTAAAGGGTTCCTGACCGAACTAGAAAATGAACCATCTGGCACCGTTTTGGTTGTAGATTTGGGGAATCACCAGTCATCGAGTTGCGTGATTCGGACACGAGGCAAGGTGACTGGTTGGGACGAAGGCTCGGTGAGAGCACGAGGATAAGGGCACCCGCACCCTAAACCTCGGTGATAAAGGGCTCTTTGTTCGTACGCATTAGGGGGTTTCAACACTGGCAAAACGTTGAACAATGTAACCAAGGTGGAAATGAACTGTCACTGAATAAGTACTAAGACCTAATGCTACAAAACAATCCTGCTAACAGTCATTTACTAAAAGAAAAATCACGGTACTCCTACAAAGATCTATATGAAGAAACTCATGCTGATCTCACTTGAACACCTTTTTCAAAAAGCCGCGGCTTTTGAGCTCCAGCTCCTTCTTGGTCTCCTCCAGCACATGAGCCGTGTGATCCCTCGCCTGCTCCGCCTCCGCCCGCGCTTGCTCCGCAATCAACCTCCCCTTCTCCGCCTCCTTCCTCAGCTTCTCCTCCTTCCCCCTCAGCCTCTCCGCCTCATCCCTCAGTCTCTCTGCCTCCTGCTGCTTCCTCTCCGCCTCATCCCGCTTCCCCTCCGCCTCCTCCCGCCTCCTCACCGCCTCATTTCTCGCACTCTCAGCATCCAGTTTCGCGTTCACAGCCTCAAGCTTCACCCTCACAGCCTCCTCTTTCACCCCTTCCGCCTCATCCCTCCTCCTCTCAGACTCATCCCTGGCCTTCTCAGCCTCACTCCTCTTCCGTTCCGCCTCCTCTCTAGCCTTCTCAGCCTGCTGCCACTTCAACTCAGACTCATCCCTCTGCGCTTCAGCCTCCGCCCTCGCTCTCTCTGCCTCAGCCTTCAACCTCCCCAGCTCTGCATGCTCCTTCTCAGCTGCAGCTCTCGCCTCAGCAGCCTCTCCCAGCAGCGCCAGAGATTCCTGCAGACTAGCCCGTGCGGCCTGCTTCGCTTTCTCAGCCTCTTCCCTCCCCTCCTCCGCATCTGCCCGCAGACCATCAGCTTCCTCGCGCAACTTCTCCGCCTCGTCTCTCGCCCTCTCCGCTTCCTCCTGCGCTTGTTCCGCCTCCTGCTGAGCTTTCTCCGCAACCTCCCTCGCCCTCACAGCCACGTCTCTCTCCGCTTCTGCTGCCTCCCTCGCTCGCTCTGCCTCAGCCTGCTTCTTGTCTGCCTCTGCCTTGGCTTGCTCCGCCTGCTCCCGCTTCTCATCAGCCTCTGCCTTAGCCTGCTCTGCCTGCTCTCTCTTCGCATCTGCTTCCTCCTTCTCCCTCACTGCCTGCTCCTTAGCTTCCTCCGCCTCCTCCTTCCGCTGCTCTGCTTCTCTCTCCTTCCTCTCTGCTTCACTCTGAGCCCTCTCCGCCTCTGCCTGCTTCGCTTCAGCCTCATCCTTTGCCTCCTCCGCCGCCCTCCTCCCCTCCTCTGCCTCCCTCTGCTTCTCCTCAGCCTCCTGCTGCTTACCTTCAGCCTCAGCACGAGCCTTCTCAGCCTCCTCTTGCTTCTCCTCCGCAGCAGCTCTCGCCTTCTCTGCTTCCTCCCGGGCACTCTCAGCTTCAATTCTCTTCCCATCAGCCTCCTCCTTCGCCTGCACAGCACTCTCCCTCTCCTTCTCAGCCTCCTCCTGCTTCTTCTCAGCAGTTTCCTCGGCCTTCACAGCCTCATCTCTCCTCGCCTCCGCCTCCTCCTGCCTCTTCTCAGCCTCCTCTTTCGCCTGCTCAGCCTCCTCCTTTGCCCTCACAGCCTCGTCCCTCACCCTCTCCGCCTCCTCCCTTGCCCTCTCAGCATCTCTCATCCTACCCTCCGCCTCCTCCTGGTTCCTCTCCGCCACTGCCCGGGCCTCTTCAGCCTCTCCCTTTTTCATCTCCGCCTGGTCCCTCTGCTCTTCCGCCTCTGCTTGCTTCCTCAGCGCCTCTTCCTTAGCTGCTTCAGCAGCATCTCTCACCCTCTCCGCCTCCTCTCTTGCAGCCTCTGCTTCATCCCTTGCCTTCTCCGCCTCAGCCTGCCTTGCCTGCGCCTCCTCCCTCGCCTCTTCAGCCACCTCCCTCGCTCTCACAGCCTCATCTCGCTGCCTCTCCGCCTCATCCCTCACCCTCTCCGCCTCCTCCTTTGCACGTTCCGCCTCCCCTTGCCTTGCTTCCGCCTCTGCCTGAGCCTGCTCCGCAGCCTCCCTCCCCTTCTCCGCCTCCTCCTGTTTCCTCTCAGCCTCACCACGAGCACCCTCCGCCTCCTCCTGCCTCCTCTCTGCCTCCTCTCTCGCCTTAACCGCCTCATCCCTCTCAGCCTCCGCCTCTGCTCGTGCCGCTTCAGCCAACGCTTTTGCCTCCTCTGCCCGAGCCTGCGCTTCCTCTGCCTCTCCCTTAGCCTTCTCTGCATCGTCTCTCTTCCCTTCCGCCTCCTCCTTATCCCTCACAGCGTCCTCCCTTGCCCTCTCCGCCTCTTCCTCCCTCCTCACTGCCTCGTCCCTCCGCGCCTCCGCCTCGTCCCTCTTCCCCTCCGCCTCCTCCCTCGCCCTTTCCGCCTCTGCCTGCTTCCTCTCCGCCTCCTCCCGCATCCCCTCCGCCTCCGCCCTTGCAGCTACCGCTTCCGCCTGAGCCTGCTCCGCTTCCGCTCTCCCAGCCTCCGCAGCAGCCTTGGCTTCCAAAGCTTCCTCCCTCCGCCTCTCTGCCTCCGCCTGTGCTGCTTCCGCCGCGGTCCTAGCTGCTTCCGCCTCCGCCTTAGCAGCCTCCGCTTCCGCCTTCGCCCCCTCCGCCTCCGCCTGAGCTGCTTCCGCCTCCCCCTGAGCTGCTTCCGCCTCCCCCTGAGCTGCTTCTGCCTCCGCCTGCTTCCTCTCAGCTTCAACCCGCCTCTCCTCCGCCTCCTCCCTCTGCTTCTCCGCCTCTGCCCGTTCCTTCTCAGCAGCCTCTCTCGCCCTCTCCGCCTCCTCTCTCTCACGCTCCGCATTCACCCGCGCTTCTTCCTCCTCCTGCCTCCTCTTCTCCGCCTCTGCTGCTCTCTCCTCAGCCTCTCCCCTCGCCGTTTCCGCCTCCGCCCTCGCCTGTTCCGCCTCCACACGAACCCTCTCCGCCTCGTCTCTCTCCCTCTCCGCATCTTCCTTCCGCCTCTCCGCCTCGTCACGCGCTCTCTCAGCCTCGTCACGCGCTCTCTCAGCCTCGTCACGCGCTCTCTCAGCCTCCTCCTTGCGCGTTTCAGCCTCATCTCGCCTCGCTTCAGCGTCCTTCCGCGCATCTACCGCCTCCTGCTCCCTCCGCTCTGCCTCACCCCTAGCACTCTCCGCTTCAGCTTGCTGCCTCTCTGCTTCCTCTCTCGCCTTCTCCGCCTCCTCCGCGCGCCTCTCAGCCTCAGCTCTTGCACTCTCCGCCTCAGCTTGCTTCCTCTCTGCTTCCTCCCTCCCCGTCTCTGCTTCCTCTCTCTTCCTCTCCGCCTCCTCCATACGCTTCTCAGCTTCAGCCTGAGCCGTTTCAGCCTCGCCCCTAGCCCGTTCCGCTTCCTCTCGCGCTGCTTCCGCCTCCGCCTTAACCTTCTCTGCCTCGTCCCGCGCAGATTCAGCCTCTTCCTTGTCCTTTTCAGCCTCTGCCCTAGCTGCGTCTGCCTCTTCCTTATCCTTCTCAGCTTGCGCCCTCGCTGCCTCTGCCTCCGCCCTCGCCGTCTCAGCCTCTTCCTTATCCTTCTCGGCTTGCGCCTTGGCGGTTTCGGCCGCCTCACGCTCGCTTTCCGCCTCTGCTCGCGCCCTTTCCGCTTCCTCCTGAGCCTGTTCCGCCTCCTCTCTCACCACCACAGCCTGCTGCCTCTCCGACTCCGCCTCCTCCCGCGCCTTCTCCGCTTCCTCCTGCTTCCGCTCCGCCTCCTCTCTCGCCGCCTCCGCTTCCTCTTGCTTCCGCTCAGCCTCCGCGCGGGCCGCTTCCGCCTGCTGCTGCTGCGCTTCCGCGGCCTCCCTCGCTCGCTCCGCCTCCTCTTTTGCATCAGTAGCCGCGTCTCTTGCATTCTCCGCCTCTTCCCTCGCCTTCTCAGCCTCCTCCTGTGCCGAAACAGCATCTTTAGCCGTATTCTCCGCTTCCTCCTTCGCTTTTTCAGCCTCCTCTCTCGCCGCTTCAGCTTGCTGCCGCGCCTCCTCAGCTTCCGCGCGCGCCTCTTCCGCTTCCGCCCTCGCCTTCTCCGCCTCTGCTTTTTCTCCTTCCGCCTGTGCCCGCGCCTGCTCCGCTTCCGCCCTCGCCCCTTCCGCCTCCTCTCTCGCCTTACCAGCCTCTTCTCGCTGCGCCTCCGCCTCTTCTCGTTGCGCCTCCGCCTCTGCCCGAGCGCTCTCCGCCTTCTCTTTCTCCGCCAAAGCTTCTTCCCTTTCCGCCTCCGCCTCCTGCTGCTTCTTCTCCGCGTCAGCGCGAGCACTCTCCGCGTCAGCTCGGGCGTTCTCCGCGTCAGCAGCTGCGGCCTCAGCCGCGGCCCTGCTTTCCTCCGCCTCCGCCTTCCCCGCCAGTGCCTCCTCCCTCGCCCTCTCCGCCTGCTCGCGCGCAGCTTCCGCCTCCTCCTTCCCCTTTTCCGCCTCCGCCTGCGCCCTTTCCGCCTCTTCCTTCTCCCCAACAGCCTGCTCCTTCATCTCCTCAGCCTCCTCTCGCATCCTCAACTCCTCCTCCAAACACTTCTGCAGCTCTGCTTTCTCCTCTTCCACACCCTCTTTCACCCTCAGCGCATCATCCCGCTCCTGCTCCGCCTTCCTCCTCCCTTCCTCCGAGTCCCTACAAGCAGCTTCCACCAGCTCTTCCATTTTCGCCTCCACCTCTTCCTTCTCCCTCATCGCCTGCTCCTTCTGCAATTCCGCCTCCTCCCTCGCCTTCCTCGCCTCATCCCTCTCCATCTCCGCCTCTTCAAGTTTCCTTTCCATTTTCTCCTTCTCCTCCCGCACCTTTCCAATCGATTCTAGCGCTTCTTTCTCCGAAGCCATGCGTTTCTTGTTATCCTTTGTAAGCTTCTCCACTTTCTCCTTTAAGCTGTCATGCACGAACTTATACTTGCCAAGATCCACCTCCATAGCCATAAATTTCTCCTCCATTTCCTTTAACTCCTTATCTTTCGCGCCCATTGCGGCGCCACTCCCTCCAGCAATTTTGCTTTCCGCCAATTCTTTCCTCAGCTTCTCAATTTCGGCCTGCATCTCCCCAGCAGCGTCCTCAGAAACTCCACCTCTCTTCCATGATTCAATTTCTTTCGTCATCTGCCCGATCTGCTCCTTTGCTGCCTTTAACTCCGCCTGCATGTTCTCCATTTTCAGTCGCATGTCCATGTTCTTTATTTTCAGCTGCCCGAGCTCCACTTCCAAAGCCACACTGGAGTCTTTCGAGGCTCCCGAACCTGCAGCACTGGGTCCGGTTCGGACTGACCCACTAGCACTGGGTCCCGTTCGGACAGAAGCAGCAGCACTAGGTCCGGTTCGGACCGAACCAGCAGCACTGGGTCCGGTTCGGACCGAACCAGCAGCACTGGGTCCGGTTCGGACCGAACCAGCCGTACTGGTTCCGGTTCGGCCCGACGCAGCAGGTACGGGGACCGCTCCCCCAGACTGAACGGACTTGTGCCGGAAAGACGCGACTCTATCGGCGACACTAAGCTTAGTAGTGGTCTTTTTCTCTGGTAACCAGTCATCGTTTGATGACGCGTCATCTGCGAAACCACAGAGTCGGGCGAAGGTGAGATAAACGTTTTATCAAAGAAACAAGAGAAACAAGAGAAGAGAAAAACTGCAGACCGTACCTTTTCCGGACATTGTTGCGAGTGCAACCGACGGTGCTTCAGGTAGTAAAACTGGCCGCCAATGCCGTTGTCGGATACGCAAAGAAGGATAATTTAGGTCCTTAGATTGCAAGTAAGGATGGGAAAGAAGGAATAAATAAAAAGGGGTCTTCAACTACGCAGTCGATAATCTAAAACCCTGTGATGACAGGGTTGCAAAGCGTCTCAGAACATTAGTCCAATGTAGGACGAAAAGCGGCATTAGCTATTCCCGCCGTACGTCTTTCTTGACTGCAATTCCGAGGGATTGGAAGGTAACCAAGACACTGACAGTCCCTGGGTGAGCCTACCAATTTAGGGTGATGCGTTGATAATAAATGTCTGCCCTTGGATAAAGCGAAATAGCTCCTCGACGATTCAGTCTCGGGCGAAATGCAATCCCAATGTCTGCTGCCTCCAAGTAGCTGCCTATAACTCGTCGGTTGGGTTCGGTGGGAAGGCTGGACGGGCGTTGTCAACGTGACGGAACGGAACGGATGGAAGGGATAGGAACTGGACCATGGTTGGGGAGATGGAACGGAACAAAACGGAGCCTGGACAGAAGGGGAACGGGCGGGGTAGCACAATTGCCTCTTGTCTTGACGTGGAAGGCTTGTCGTGTGTGCTGGGTTGCCTAGGCACGTCGAGCCTAGACCCCTGTCAAGCCACGTTCGGCATCCACTGGGCTCCGAGACCACCCTGTAACCAGGAATCAAGTTCGTGGACTTTGATGTTTCTTTATACTGTATGTTTCTTTGATGCCTTTATGTGCAAGAAAGTTGTAGTTATTTCATTTTTAGGCATAAGCCGTTCAACGGCAACCGCCACGTCACCAATAAGTCCATTTTTTGTTCGGAGAAAGGGCTGGCCGCTTCGGTACTTCCCAGACCGTTTCCGTGCCTCCAATCAACCTCGGCTCGCCGTCGCTCAGAGGTTTCCAACCAGTGCTTGAGCTCTTCAGAACCTATTCCCAAAGGGCATCACCAGGCCTCACCCCAAGCACGTCCTCGCAAGGCCTGACCATCTGGCTCGGAAGCATCACAACAAGCTGGTTCGGTTAGCCGCGCCGCTAAACGCAGACATTTTGACATTGAGTGATGGCAATTTTTGTCGCACCACGAGGAGAATTGTGCTGCACGTGACGATGAGAGGGAGGACGCACATCTTCTCTTCAGCTCTCTTTCGTCCCTAGTCCCCCGACTTCGTGCAGTGCTCAACACTTGACGTTCGTGGCGTCACCACATTTTCGTAGTACCAGAGCAGGCATGAGTCGCGCAGCAATGGCATAGAGCAACCGTCGGGCTCCAAGAAAACTATGTCGGGTTCACAGTAGAAACTGGAGACGATGTCGGGTCTGCATTAGAAACTAACTTGGTTAAGGTTACACCAGGTTCAGATTGCCTGCTGACTTTCGTGACTACCTCTTCCCCATCGACATAGATATATCGCAAACGTCTAGGGTATAACAGCCATCGCCCATCCGTTTCGTACCGAATAGAGCTAGCAATGGCAGTCAACGTTACCCTCTCGGAACCAGAACGAGCAGCTCTCGCCAACAAGATGGACTATCTCAAACGTCTCCATACCGCTGACGACGAGGACGACAGTAACGAGGATGATTCCGACGAGGGTTCAGGCGAATGCAGGATAATTAGGCGAGAACCGATCAAGAGCAGCGACAGCAGCAGCGGCGAAGGTTCCGATGACGGAACAAACAGCTCTGATGACGGCGGCCCCAGCGACGGCACTTGCGGTAACGGCACTAGCGCTGACGCACCCATTGGTTCGGCCGAGCCTGGCCCCAGCCCTGCCGCGTCCACGAATCGGTTCGGCGAAAGCGGCGGGTTCAGTTTCAGTCGAGACTACTTCAACTCGCTCTCCGCGGCTCGCGACGCCGACAGCAGCAGCAGCAGCACCAGCCGGCGATCAAGTCTAGGCTCGTCTTTGGCTGCGAAACGGGAGAAGCAGGTGGAGAGTCGATTCTTGGAAATCGAGATGCAGAGTCGGTCGTCCCAGGCTTCTGAAGCGCATGACTGGCGCGCGGCTCTCAGAGCCCGGGGCCGTTCTTTCCAGACCACGATGCAAGACGGGGGCGCGAAGCAGGAGCAGGAGCAGCAGGTGGAGAGTCGCGAGGGCAAACGTGCCGGTGACGGCTTGCCGGAAGCCGGTAGGCTTACAAGCAACTGGACCGGGTCGTCAGACGCCGGCAGGTTCACAGGCGGCGATCGCCCGTCGGAGGCAGACAGTGGATCTTCCGACGTCAGCAAGGAGTTATTGAACAACAACGGCTCGTCTTCTTACGTCCGCGGGTCAGCGGTTGCTGCGGCGTCTTACGCGGCGTCGCAAAGCCAGCGCGAGGCTTGTGAACCGGGCGCTGCTAGCTCCGCGCGGTCAGCGATGGAGGAAGTGCGACGCGTGGAGCGGAAGATGGAAGCCATGGAATCCAGGCAAGGAAAACTTGGATTGGATTGTCCTCCTGAGTTGGATCGCGCGGTTGACGCGGATCGGTCTCTCGACTCGAACGCCGTCGAACGTAAAAGGGAGGCGGTGGATCGCACCATCGAGTCGCCTGAAGCGTCTTCTGGTGTGCTGCAGAATGACGCGTTGCTAAACAAAGCGGCTATGGAACGAGCGATAGAAGCCATGGAACGAATCGGCGCAAGTAGCGGCGGGGACGGCGGAGGCGACGAGGGAGCTGGGGGAAGAGCCGGTGAGGGGGAAAGCGGAGACGCGGAGGGGCGGCGGCGGGGGAGGGGGAAAGACGTGGCGGAACTAGAGAAGGAGGTGGAAGAGGCGAAGCAAGCGTCGCACCGCATAGCCGTTATGTTCTACCAGCAAGACCAGGAGCTTAAAGACCTGAGAGAGAATCACCTGGCGCTTCAGGAGGACCATAAGCGCATATCGGTTCAGCTACAAGCGGCGCAGGCGGAGACGGACGAGCTGTGGAACCAGCTGGCGGCGGCGTCCCGCCAGAAGGAGGCGGCGGAAGCTACGGCGGCGGAACTGCGCCTGAAGATCCGCATGCTCGCGGGGAACGTGGAGGAGCTGGAGGGGGAAGCGGAGGCCACCGGGGGTTGGGGCGGCGGGGGAAGAGGCGGAGGCGGAGGCGGAGGAGGAAGCGGAGGTGGAGGTGGGGGAGGGGTTGGCGGAACGACTGCCGTGGAGGGAGTTAGCAGTTTAGAGTCTGATCTGGTTGGCTTGCGGAAACTCAAGGAGTTAGAATGGGAGTTAATATCCGCGCGAAGCGCGCGCGACCGCGCTATGACCGTCTTGGCGGGAATGAGAGAGGAGTGGAATAATCTCCGCAAACTGCGCCTGCAGCTTGACGCGCTGACGGCTAGCAGGGAGGTTGCCGGCGGTTCTGCCGGCGCCAGCGGCGGCCGCGGTGCTCATGCGATGGACCGCGCAGCCAGGGGGAAACTTGCTGTGGAAGACGTGCGGGGAAGGGCATATAGCGGAACGAGGCGGGGGGAGGAGGACGCGGGGGAAGCGGGAGGGGATGAGCTGTTAAAGGGAGTGGAGTCGGAGATTGCGGAGGAGGCGGACAAGTGGCGGAAGGTGGTTGGTCAGCTGCAGGAGGACCACGTGCGCGCAGTCGTGGAGGCGCAAGACGCGGCGGAGAAATGCGCGGGCGCGCGGAGGCAGGCGGAAGCCGCCAGTGAAGAAGCGATGAGGCTTAGGCGGGACATCGAGCGCGTAAGAGAGGAGAAGACTATAGCAGAGGAGGATCTGAGGGATTTCCGCAAGGGTTGGAAGGACCTAGCCGGGCATTTAGAAACTTTCGCGGCTAAGGTGAGCGAAATGGATGCGGAATTAGCGGTGAAGAGAAAGGAGAGAGAGGTGATGGCGATGGAGATCGAACGGTCCGTGAAAGAGCGCGATCTGATGGCTGTGGAGATCGGACGGGTGAGAAAGGAGCGAGATTTTATGTCGGTGGAGATCGAACGGCTGCGGAAAGATCGCGATCTGATGGCGCTGGAGATCGAACGGCTGAGCAAAGAGCGTGATTTTATGGCGGTGGAGATGGATCGGCTGAGCAAGGAGCGCGCAGAGGCGGAAGAATCGGCGGAGCGCGCGCGGGGGGAGACGTGGGGAGAGCGGGAGAAGCGGCTGGGGGAAGTGCAAGAAGCGGAGGAAAAAGCGCGGAGGATTCGCGAACGCGCGGGGAACGCGTTAGAAGCATACGCGGAAGAGAGAAAAGAGATTGAGAATATGTTACTGCACCGAGTGCAAACCTTACAGTCGGCGGTGGAGGAGTTGCAAGGGCAGCTTGATCATGTGCAAGGCGCGAAAAGCAGGCTCGCGCACGCCGCGGGGGCGTTCATGCGGGAGTTTCAGTACACTGGCGCAGGGGGAGGGGAACGGGGAGGGGGAGGCGGAGGCGGAGCGGAAGGAGGGAGGTTTCGGGAGGCAGCTAACGAATATTACAGCGAAGGCGGGGCTTCCAGGGGAGTGGGCGCAGGGCTGGTCTTCCTGGATGATAGAGGGAGGGTGGAGAATCTTGGCCTTCCATCTACCGGAGATGGTTTGGGGTTCAAAATCGGACGGTCGTTAGAGCAGGGCTTGTCTGGGCGGCAGATAATTGAAGAGCTGGATTATCTGTCCGATGGCGGGGGCTTGGGAGGCGGTAACGGCCGAGCCTCTGGAGCAGGTCGGGATGAGACGGTCCGAGGCATGGCTGGGCAGAGGGGCGTTGGATCAAGAAGTGGTGGGCGAGGGGCGATGGGGATGACAGCCGCAGCAGCAGTGACTGCTGTAGACTATGGAACATCATCCATTGGGGGTGCTGGTGGTGGTGCTGGTGGTGCAAGGAGGTGGAGTGCAGCAGCAGAGCTTGAGCAAGCTTTACAGGCAGATAGGGGTTGTGGTGTGGGGAGCAATGTGGATGATGACATGAGGTCAACACGCAGTGGGGGCAGCTCAAGGAGGGCTTATGGCGGAGGAGGGGTAGGTGGAGGAGGGACAGGAGTAGGAGTAGGAGGAGGGTATGGTGGTGGTGGTGCGGGGGCAGGGTTGCAGGCGAGGACTCCAAGGGAGAGTGCACGGGCTGGCGTGTTTTCAGACACATATGCTGCTCCGCGTCCAGGTACGGGCCTTTTCTTCTATCATTCTACCCTACATCCCACTGCCATTCTCGATTGCACTTCATTTTGCATTCCCCCCCTCCTCACCGCCTACTTTTTCAGTAGTCAGCTTCACTTCTTGCCTCTAAATCCTTATCAATACCCTATCCTCCCCTCCCCTCCCACACCCTGTCCTGTTCTCATTCCTCCCCAGCATCTCGAGGCAGGGGCGGACTGCGTGGTTCCCTGGAGGAAGACGATGGTGCCGATGCTGTGTCAATCGCCACTTCGATTCGTCGGGAGAGGGAACGCGAGCGAGAGCGGGACCGAGACCGCGACACCGAGTATCTGCAGCAGTGCGATCGTGAGCGTCGATTCCGGGATGAGAGGGAGGACGACGACAGGATATCCGTTCACGCTCTGGAGAAGTATGCGCCGAACCTGGCTCGCAGTTTGAACGTTGGCGGCATTGCATCTTCAGGAGTAGCTGGAGGCGGTAGGCGTGGGGTTGACGACGATGAAGATGCCAGGAGTGTTAGCAGTCGTAAGTCGTGCCTCTCAGGTGCTTCGAGAGGGAGTAGGTATTCCACCACTTCGTCTGGTGCTGCTGCCACAGCGGCAAGGGGAAGGACTTCAATGGGTGGCGCGACAAGCTTCGTGTCTCCGAGGGACCATTCAACACTTTACTAGTGGAGAGACTTGTGCTCTCCAAGTCAATATGTAGGTGTTGTGTGGATGATGCTAGTATGTTTGCCTGCACCCGAAACCCTATTTTCTGGATTAGGACCACTTGAGAACCATGCCTAGCTGTATGTATTTTTGTTATGCATATGTAATGGGTCTAACGTTGTAATATTATCTGCCACTTTACACCCCATTGTTTGTTTACGGGGCGGCTCCGGCGCGTATGTTTTGGCCATTCAAATTGAGACTTCAAGGTCACGCAGCCCTCGCCTTGCCACATCTCTATTCGGCTCGGCGACTCCGAGCCTCTTGTTCAAATTTCGAGACACGCGACTCGTTTTCCCGCCACGCATGGGCCTGGTTTCTGTAACAGCCACCATGCCGAACCGAACCATCCACCAGCGCCGAACTGGCCGTCGAGTCTCATGGCCGTGCTTTGACCCTTGCCTCACCGTGCGGTACGGCTACATCCCCTTGATTTTCTCAACAATCCCTTTCCAAGCCCTGGCTCTCAGAAGCATGCTCTTGCGATTTGCTTGTGAACAAGTTTCACGGTTCTACAATCTCAAGACTGAGCAGCTTTCCAGGAAAAGGCAAGAGCCTTACGTGAAATTATAATTTCTAGCGGGAAAGCCGGATTGCTATTTCAGCCTGTGGTAGTCGAATTAGCATTTATGTAGACAAAACGTATTCTACTTCAAGTGCGCCCTCATAGGTAGCCCTGCAGCTTAGTACAGGAAACAGAAAAGAGAATGGCGGGCGATTCAAGCGAGGACGGGGTAAGTCAGAGTACCGATAGCTCACTATTTTTTCTTTCTTTCTTTGTTAGTCTTCATGAGCAACCGTACGATCTACTGAACGTGCCTTCGCTGTTTCGCTCGATCGCAGTATATTCCCGAGGAGGCGACACCAAAAACCGCAAAGAAGCGTAAGGCCCCGAGCAGCACTCCACGGACCACTAAAAAAGCAGCTCGCACCACCGCCGCTTCGCCGGCAACCCCCTTACCCTCCGCTGACGGACCCCCACTGGTAGAAACCCCCAACGCCGTCGGTCCAGATGGGAAGACGATCGAGGAGACTTATCAGCGCAAGACGCCGCTAGAGCACGTGCTCCTCCGGCCGGACACGTACATAGGTTCGGTGCAGACGCACGTGGGTCCGCAGTGGGTTTGGGAGCAGGGTCGGATGGTACACCGCGAGGTTCGGATGGTTCCGGGGCTGTATAAGATATTTGACGAGATTCTGGTGAATGCGGCGGATAACAAGCAGCGCGACCCGAGCATGGACGCGATTAAAGTGACCATCGATACCGCCAAGAATAAGATTCAGGTGAGCGACTCGTAGATGTGCTGACTAGTCCGTGACGACGCGGGGGCCGTTGCTACAGATGAGCTATGTGAATTAGACCGCTAGTTAGTGGACCTACATGTTTGTGCTTGTCTGAACACACTCTGCTCATAATATGAGTTAGTATCTAGCCTCATTTGTACTGTATTTTTTTGGGTATGCGTATGTGGACTATCTCCGGCTGCATTTTCTCCGGATAGTCTTATCGTCGCGCAAATGTGTCAAGCAACGGGAGAGGAATTTCCTCGAAGGTCCCCGCGAAGGAGGAATGTTCCGTTCTGGGAAGGCACCTGGATTTACATACACCACGCGTCCCGAATATACCGTCCCTGGATCTCCACGCAGGTGTCGAACAACGGCCGGGGAATTCCCGTGGAGGTGCACGCGAAGGAGGGGTGCTACGTGCCGGAGCTGATTTTCGGGCATCTTCTCACGAGCAGCAACTACGACGACTCGGCGCGCAAGACCACGGGCGGGCGCAACGGGTACGGCGCCAAGCTGGCGAACATCTTCAGCACGGAGTTTGTGGTGGAGACGGCCGACGGCAGCCGGCAGAAGAAGTACAAGCAGGTATGTGCTCAGGCAGAGGATTCTTGGGTACAAAAATCACCGTACGGCGCGAAGCTGGCCAACATCTTCAGCACGGAAATTGTGGTCGAGACGGCCGACGGCAGCAGGCAGAAAAAGTACAAGCAGGTGCGTGGTGCAGGGAGGCGCTAAGGGGGACTTTCTGGTCGCGTCAGGTGCGTGCGAGCGAACACTCTTTGGGTGTCGGTTACCACTAGTGATGTCTCTTCCCCGTCCCCCTCCCTTCATCCCCGCTTCCCCCTCCTTGCAGGTCTTTTTGAATAACAAGGACTGAAAGCTCACCGACAACAACACCTTCCAGATGCTATCTTGCATGCAATCCTCCTCTCTAATCAGATCCCTTCCCCACTGCCTCCCTCCTTTAACCAGGTATATATATAAAAAAAAACATGAGCATCAAGAAGCTTCCATTGGTCAAGGACTGCAAGCCCACCGACGACTTCACCTCCATCACCTTCCAGGTGCTATCCTGCGTGCAGTCCTCTTCTCTAATCAGACTCTTTCCCCACTGCCTCCCTTATCTCACCAGGTCATTTCGAAGAACATGAGCGTCAAGAAGGCCCCAGCGATCAAGGACTGCAAGCCCACCGACAACTTCACCTCCATCACCTTCCACTCAGAATTAGCTCCTTTTTTCATCCCTTTCTCCCCTTCTTCCCCTTCTTCCCCGCCCCTCATTCGACCATCTCCCTGTGCCCCTTCTCCAGGTCTTCTCTAAGAACATGAGCGTGAAAAAGGAACCAGTAATCAAGGACTGCAAGCCCACCGACAACTTCACCTCCATCACCTTCCACCCGGACTTGGCCAAATTCGGGCTCGAGTCTCTAGACACAGACCACGTGGCACTCATGAGCCGACGTGTCGTTGACGTGGCAGGGTGCCTGGGGAAATCCGTGAAGGTCACGCTCAATGGCACGCGTGTGCCTGTGAAATCGTTTGCGGATTATGCGGGGTTGTATCTTGCCCCTCCTCCGCCGCCCACCCCGCAACCCCCCGCCACTCCGCCATCATCAGGGGAAGGGGGGAGCGGAGGGGGCGGAGGGGAAGGCGGGGAGGGGGCAGGGCGGAAGGAGGGGTGTCTGCAGCAGAAGCGGCAGCGGCAGCAGCTGCAGCTGCTGCTCATCCTTCAACTCATGAGAAGCTCCCAAGGTCCGTATTTCTATTGCTGACCACCCGTGAAACTCCTAAGAGTATGCGTTGACACCATAATTCGTTGGGGTGAGTTTTCTGATGGGGTTGGTCTTGCCTAAGTTTACCAGGCGCATTACTCCGGGTCAATTTTTCATGAGAGATAGAACCACAAGTGCGCCCGTGATTCGCAACTAACGGCTGCCATTTGATTGTGCAGGATTCACGAGAGGGTGAACGACTGCTGGGAGGTGTGCGTGTCCACCAGCGATGGGCAGTTCCAACAGGTACTGTCGATGGGCGGGGGAAGTGAGGGGGGAAGGGGTTGAATGGGCACGAGGTGTATGCTGGAAGGTGTGTGTGTGTGTGTGTGTGTGTGTGTGTGTGTGTGTGTGTGTGTGTGTGTGTGTGTGTTGTGTTGTGTGTGTGCGCGCGCGCGCGTGTGTGTGTGCGCGCGCGCGCGCGTGTGTGTGTGCGCGCGCGCGCGCGTGTGTCCGTGCCTGCTTGAGATAGCCAATTTCAAGTCCAAGCCATGCCTAATTTCATGCCTGTGTCCATGCCTGACCGCGCCTGCAGGTCAGCTTCGTGAACGCCATTGCGACCACGCGAGGAGGCACGCACGTGAACATGGTATCAGAGCAGATCGTGAGGTACCTGCTGGACAAGGCGCAAAAGAAGGCAGCTACTGGCAAGCACGGGTCCGCCAGTGGCGCTGCTGCCATCAAACCCCACCAGGTGAGGATGGGGAGGGGAAGAGGGGGGGACTGGGATAGGATTGGACAGGAAGAGCGAGTGAAAGAGAGGATTTGGAGGGGGGAGTGAAGGGTTGGATGGGAGAGCGAGTGAGAGAGAGTGCTAGGCAGAACATGAGGGGGACAGTGGGAGAGTGAGAGCAGATCGTGCAGAAGGAGAATGCACCTGCCATGATCGTGATCATGGTATCAGAGCAGATCATGCGGCACCTGCTGGAGAAGGTGCAGAAAAAGGCCAGCACTGGCAAGCACGGGTCTGCCAGTGGTGCTGCTGCCATCAAGCCACACCAGGTGAAAAAGGGGGGAAAGGGATTGAGAAAGGCTTGTTGGCGGCAGTGTGCAGCTGAGAGAGTGGGGTAGAGCGTTTGTGTTCGTTTCTTGCACTGCTGTGCCTGTGCTTCTGCCTGCTGTCTCTGGATGTTTGTGAACTGCTTGGTGGTGTATTTGGCGATTGACTCGCAGACCAAGGAGAGACTCAACACGCGCCCCTCTGTGCTCTATACCTTGCTTTGCTTGCATATGCCCCTCCCTCTCCCTCAGGTGCGCAGTCAGCTGTGGGTGTTTGTGAACTGCCTGGTGGTGAACCCAGCCGTTGACTCGCAAACCAAGGAGAGACTCAACACGCGCCCCTCTGTGCTCTATCCCTTTTCTTGCTTGCCTATGCCTCTGGTCTCTTTCAGGTGCGCAGTCAGCTGTGGGTGTTTGTGAACTGCCTGGTGGTGAATCCAGCCTTTGACTCGCAGACCAAGGAGACGCTCAACACACGCCCCTCTGACTTTGGCTCCAAGTGCCACCTCTCGGAAGACTTTCTCAAGAAAGGTGCGCATGCAACGGTATGGAATGAAGGGAAGAAATGAGATATTTGAGGGGTGCTCTAGAGACGCTCAACACACGCCCCTCTGACTTTGGCTCCAAGTGCCACCTCTCGGAAGACTTTCTCAAGAAAGGTGCGCATGCAACGGTATGGAATGAAGGGAAGAAATGAGATATTTGAGGGGTGCTTCTAGAGACGCTCAACACACGCCCCTCTGACTTTGGCTCCAAGTGCCACCTCTCGGAAGACTTTCTCAAGAAAGGTGCGCATGCAACGGTATGGAATGAAGGGAAGAAATGAGATATTTGAGGGGTGCTTCTAGAGACGCTCAACACACGCCCCTCTGACTTTGGCTCCAAGTGCCACCTCTCGGAAGACTTTCTCAAGAAAGGTAGGGGAACATGTACAATGGAAGGGATGGGATCTGTGAGGTCCCTCTAGAGACACTCAACACACGCCCCTCTGAATTTGGCTCCAAGTGCCACTTCTCTGAGAACTTTCTCAAGAAAGGTATGTTATAGAGGTGCTTCAAGAACAGACTCTTTAAAGACCTCCGCAAGAAAGGTATGCTGATATGCAATGCAAGGGATGGGAATTGTGAGATGTCTCGAACAACTCGTAAAACACAAGCCCCTCTGACTTTGGTTCCGCGTGTATGAAGGTTTATTTTGAGACGTCTCAAAATAAACCTTCATACTTGTGAGATGCCTCGAACAACTCGTAAAACACAAACCCCTCTGACTTTGGTTCCGCGTGCAAGCTCTCCGAGGCAGTTCTCATTCACCTTCTGCTCGTTGCAACCCCCCTGTCTCGGCTTTCTCTCTTGCCACAGTGGCTGCCAAGTGCGGCATAGTGGAGCATCTGCTGTCCTTGGCAGCGCACAAGCAGACCAAGGATCTCAAGCGCAGCGACGGCAGCAAGAGGCAGCGCGTGTCGGGCATAACGAAGCTGGACGATGCCAACGAGGCGGGTGGTAGGAATGCGGAGCACTGCACCCTGATATTGACAGAAGGAGACTCTGCTAAGACTCTGGCGGTGAGAAATTAGCTTTGGTTTCTCCTTGAGAGGGGTAGACATAAAATGGGGGAATGGGGGGTGAATGGGAAGAGGCAACGCGCGTGTCGGGCATAACGAAGCTGGGCGATGCCAACGAGGCGGGCGGCAGGAATGCAGAACACTGCATTCTGATCCTCACTGAAGGGGACTCTGCATTGGAGGGTAGGAAGGACACTATTCTGATCCTCACTGAAGGGGACTCTGCCAAGACTCTGGCGGTGAGAGAGTCACTTCAATCTCGTGATTTGGAGGGTAGGGCGGAAACTGGGGGATGGGGGATGAAGGGGAAGAGGCAGCGAGTGTCGGGCATGCATTGTGAAGCTGGACGATGCCAATGAGGCAGGTGGCAGGAATGCAGAGCACTGCACTCACATCCTCACTGAAGGGGACTCGGCGAAGACTCTTGCGGTGAGAGAATCGCTCTGGTTTCTTAGAAGGGCAGGATGTGGGGTGAGGGGGGGAAGAGGCAGCGCGTGTCGGGCATGCATAGTGAAGCTGGACGATGCCAATGAGGCGGGTGGTTGGAATGCGGAGCACTGCACTCTCATCCTCACTGAAGGACTCGGCTAAGACCTTGGCGGTGAGAGCTGCTTTGTTTTCTTTCTTGGGGGGACAAAAGGGGGGCTACGGGAGGGTGGGAGGAAAAGGAGCTTTGGAGGTGGGTGGAAAGCCCGAGTTTTGGGAATGGCAGAGGGGGAAAGCGGGAATGCGGAGCAACACTGCAAGTATGAAGAATCATAAGAGGCGGATTTCTCGTGTTCCTCCCTCCCTCACTCACTTCCTCCAGGTGTCAGGGTTGAGTGTTCCCCCCTCCATCCCTCACTTCCTGCGGACGCGTGTTCTCCTTGCGAGGCAAGCTGCTGAACGTGAGGGACGCATCACACAGACCGATGTTGGAGAACACTGAAATAAGGCATTCTTGAGAGTTGCTTCACAGCATTCCTGTCTTACCCCCTTCCCTCCCATCCATCCCTCCAGGTGTCAGGGCTGAGTGTGGTTGGCCGCGACCGCTACGGCGTGTTCCCCTTACGAGGCAAGCTGCTGAACGTGAGGGACGCGTCACACCAGCAGATGATGGAGAACACTGAAATAGGGCATTATTGAGAGTTGCTTCACAGCATTCCTGTCTTACCCCCTTCCCTCCCATCCATGCCTCCAGGTGTCAGGTCTGAGTGTGGTGGGTCGCGACCGCTACGGCGTGTTCCCCTTACGAGGCAAGCTGCTGAACGTGAGGGACGCGTCTCACCGGCAGATGATGGAGAATACTGAGATAGGCCACCTGAAGCAGATCCTGGGGCTGCAGCATGGGAAGAGCTACGAGAGCGTGAAGGCTCTGCGATACGGGCACCTCATGATCATGACTGACCAGGTGAGTGGTGTGATTCCAGGGATGGCGGTAGGGAAAGGTGGCAGGGGAAGGTGGTGCGAAGGGAGGCGTCTCACCGGCAGATGATGGAGAATACTGAGATCGGGCATCTGAAGCAGATCCTGGGGCTGCAGCATGGGAAGAGCTATGAGAGCGTGAAGGCGCTGCGATATGGGCACCTTATGATCATGACTGACCAGGTGAGTGAGACCGTGAAGACGCTGTACATGTATGGATGTATATCATGGGGCTCCTCATAATCCGAGTTGACTTTTGAGTCGAGTTGACTTTTGAGTTGACTCAAAAGTCAGTCGACTCAAAAGTCAACTCGTGAGGACGCTGTATATGTATGGATGTATATCATGGGGCTCCTCATAAACCTCCTGCACTCCTGCTGGCCTTCTCTTCAAACATTTTTCCTGCTTTCCTATCTTCCCTCACAGCACCATCATTCACTCCATCGTCCCTACTCCTCTGCCCGTGTCACTCACTTCCATCCCACCCACAGGATCATGACGGGTCCCACATAAAAGGTCTTCTCATCAACCTGCTGCACTCCTGCTGGCCGTCCCTGCTCAAGCACCCCTCTTGCTTTCGTTTCTTCTCTTCCTCCCTCTCAGCACCATCATTCACTCCATCGTGCATGTCTCCTCTGCCCTCACCACTCATTCCCATGCCACCCACCAGGACCACGATGGGTCCCACATCAAGGGTCTTCTCATCAACCTGCTGCACTCCTGCTGGCCGTCCCTGCTCAAGCACCCCTCCTTCCTCCGCGAATTCATCACCCCGATCGTCAAAGCCACCGGGCCTAGAGGCCGCACCCTCGCCTTCTACACCATACCTGAGTACGAGGCTTGGAAGCGGACCTTAGGCTCGGACGCGAGGCAGTGGAAGGTGAAGTACTACAAGGGTCTGGGCACGAGCACGCCTAAAGAAGCCAAGGAGTATTTTGCACAGCTGGACCGGCACAGGAAGGACTTTGAGTGGCGGGGGGAGGGCGACGGGGAGCGGATCGAGATGGCGTTTAGTAAAAAGGCGGTGGATGCGAGAAAGCAGTGGCTGCGGTCCTATGAGGTGAGCGGAGGGGTAGGTTGGCGGTTGCGAAAAGGGGGGGTGTGAAAGAGTGCAGGAGGGGATTGGGTGGGGGAGGGCGACGGGGAGAGGATCGAGATGGCGTTCAGTAAGATGGCTGTTGATGCCCGGAAGCAGTGGCTGCGCTCCTATGAGGTGACCCCGGAGAAAGAGCGAGTGTTGTTGTGACTGGACTGACTTTGAGTGGCGGGGGGAGGGCGACGGGGAGAGGATCGAGATGGCGTTGAGTAAGAAGGCGGTTGATGCCCGGAAGCAGTGGCTGCGATCGTATGAGGTGTGAGCGGAGGTGTTGGAAAGGGGGATGTGAAAAGCGGGGTGGGAAAGATTGTGGTGCAATGAGGAGGACGAGGTGTTGACCGTGCACCGTTCCATTTCGTACTCTGAATTCCCTGCTGCCCCGTTTCTCACCTGTAGCCTCCCCTGCTGTCCCCTGTCCCCCCCAGCCCGGCACGTACCTGGATCAGACGGCGCAGCGCATCAGCTACAGTGACTTTGTGGACAAGGAGCTCATCCTCTACTCCATTGCTGACAACATGCGCTCCATCCCCTCCGTCAAGCCCCTCATACCCTCCTCCCTGCCCCATCCCATGATGTTGACCGTCGCTGAAACGCCCACCGTTACCCCCATCCTCCGAATTCCTTGTTCCCCTGTTTCTCGCCTCCCATTGCCCCTGCTGTCCCCCATTTCCCCCAGCCCGGCACGTACCTGGACCAGACGGCGCAGCGCATCAGCTACAGTGACTTAAGGAGCTCATCCTCTACTCCATTGCTGACAATATGCGCTCCATCCCCTCCTCCCTGCCACAACCCATGCCGTTTACCGTCGTTGACACACCCATTATTACCCCTCCCTTCCCATCCCCCAAATCCCCTGTTCTCTCGTTTCTTGCCTCCCGTCACCCCTTTTCCTTCCATCCCCAGCCCGGCACGTACCTGGATCAGACGGCGCAGCGCATAAGCTACAGCGACTTTGTGGACAAGGAGCTCATCCTCTACTCGCTTGCTGATAACATGCGCTCCATCCCCTCCGTTGTGGACGGCTTAAAGCCGGGGCAGCGCAAGATCCTGTTCTCGTGCTTCAAGCGCAAGCTGCACTCGGATATCAAGGTGGGTGCTGTGCGGTGCTGCGGCATGACCTGCAGTGCATGCATGCACAGGCGTGCGCTCCATCCCCTCCGCCGTCGATGGGCTGAAGCCGGCACAGAGGAAGATCCTGTTCTCCTGGTTCAAGCACAGGCTGCATTCGGATATCAAGGTGGGTGCTGTGGGGGGTTGCATTCACAACTCGAGGTGACTTTGAGTCGACTCAAATATCACGTTTTTTTTTAAGCGCAAGCTGCTTTTAGACATCAAGGTGGGTGCTGTGCGGTACTGTGGGCTGCATTGCATGCATGCACTGGCCTTCCTTTCCCCCAAGAACATGATTGTGCTGAATGCATGGCGCCTGCACAACCATGATGGTTTGCAGAAGTGTTTTGAGACGTCTCAAAACACTTCTTCATAATGGTGCTGATTGCATGGTGCCCGCACAACCATGATGGGTTGCGCAGCGCCTCATCAGCTACTGAAAGGACACATGCTACCGTAGCAGATGTTCACTGTATGGTGGAGATGTTTGGATGGCCTCGCCTGGCAGACAGCATGCGTCCAATCCCCTCTGTGCATACCGCCACCGGGAGCAGAGAGTTAATAGTCACTGCTAGCCCAAGTCCCCCTTCTTCCTCCTTCACTCTCCTCCCTGTGAGCAGGTGGCGCAGCTAGCAGGGTACGTGTCAGAGCACGCGGCACACCACCACGGGGAGCAGAGCCTGATGAGCACCATTGTGAACCTCAAACTCCCCTCCTCCCCCCGGTCTCCCCATCCTTCGTTTGAGAGCAGGTGGCGCAGCTGGCAGGGTACGTGTCAGAGCATGCAGCATACCACCACGGCGAGCAGAGTCTGATGAGCACCATTGTGAACCTCGCCCAGGACTTTGTGGGCAGCAACAACGTCCACCTGCTCGTGCCCTCGGGGCAGTTCGGTACTCGCCTGCAGGTGAGATGGCAGGGCAGAGGGGAGAGAGAGTAGGATGTGGATCATTATAAACGTTCAGCTGCAGGTGAGACGGCGAGGGCGGACTTTTGAGGCGCCTCAACAGAGGGGAGAGAGAGTAGGATGTGGATCATTATAAACGTTCAGCTGCAGGTGAGACGGCGAGGGCGGAGGGCGGACGATGGAGGGGGTAGCGCAGGAGGCAGAGGGTGGTGGGCAGAGGGAAGGGAGAGGAGGGCATGGTGCAGAGAGAATAGGGTGGAGGGCAGAGGGCGGTAGCAGGGGACCGAAGGGAGTTCCAGGTACACCTACACTACACGCGCTAGTTTTGAGTCGACTCAAATACTGGGCAGTAGCAGGGGATTCAAGTGAGTTACAGGTACACCTACACTACACGCGCTAGCACGTGCTGATGTATTTGTGTTGCGCCCTCTTCCATCTCTCCGCCCTATCACCGCCTCTTTCTCCCTCCCCTCCTTCCCCTCCCTTCTCTCTCTCCTCTCCAGCTACTCCTTCCTCTCCCTCCTCTCCCTCCTCTCCCTCCCCTCCCTCCCCTCCCTCCTCTCCCTCCCCTCCCTCCCCTCCCTCCTCTCCCTCCCCTCCATCCAATCCCTCCTCTCTCTTCTCACCCTTATCTTCCTCCTCTCCCGCCTCTCCCTCCTCTCCCGCCTCTCCCTCCTCTCCCTCCTCTCCCTCCTCTCCCTCCTCACCCTCCTCTCCCTCCTCTATCTTCTCTCCATTCTCTCCCTCCTCTCTCTCCCCTCCCTCCTCTCCCTCCTCTCCCGCCTCTTCCTCCTCTCCCTCCCCTCCCGCCTCTCCCTCCTCTTCCTCCTCTTTCTTCTCTCCCTTATCTCCCTCCTCTTCCCCCTCTCCCTCCACTCTCTCCTTTACCGCCTCTCCCTCCTATCCCACCTCTCCCTCCTCTCCCTCCTCTCCCTTCTCTCCATCCTCTCCCTCCTCGCCCTCCTCTCCCTCCTCTCCCTCCCCTCCCTCCTCTCCCTCCCATCCCTCCTCTCTCCCCTCTCTCTCCTCTCTTCCTCCTCTCTGCCCCTCCTGTGTGTCTGTCTGACCACAGGGCGGCAAGGACGCGGCAAGCCCCAGGTACATCTACACGCGCCTGCACAGGCTGACACGTGTCATCTTCCCAGTGGCTGACGACGCACTGCTGGATTACCTGGATGACGACGGGCAGAGGATCGAACCCAAGTGGTGAGCTGCTGAGCTGATAGGGTGGGAGGGGAGAAAGGGAAGTGGGGGGAGAGGGATGTGAAGCACGGACGGCAGCTGGGGTCCGTTATTGTGGTGTTGTGTGGTTAACGGCGCACTGCTGGATTTTTTAGTCGACTCAAAAGTCACCTTGTGAAGCACGGACGGCAGCTGGGGTCTGTTATTGTGGTGTTGTGTGGTTAACGACGCACTGCTGGATTACCTGGATGACGACGGGCAGAGGATCGAACCCAAGTGGTGAGCTCTTTGGGGGGGGAGGTTGGGGAGGAGAAGCGAGTAAGGAAGGTGGGCAACAGAGAAGCCGAGACGCTCGATGCGGGCCGTTATGGTGCTGTGTGGTTGGCGACTCACTGCTGTAGTATCGGGATTATGACAGGCAGAGGAGTGAACTCAAGTGGTGAGCCGCTGGGGGGGATTGGAGAGAGACTAGAGAAGGGGCTGGAGGGAATGGAGGAGGGGTGTATATGCCTATCCTTTCCCATCCTTCATTTTATCCTTGCCTTCCTAACCACCCCTCCTCCACTTCCCGTCTCTCTCCCCAGGTATGTGCCCATCCAGCCCCTGGTGATGATACGTGAAGGTAGTGTCCTTGGTGATGATACGTGAAGGTAGTGTCCTTGGTGTGCCCCAGGCATGGGGTGCAGGTCGTATGAGCCTAATGTGCCCCCTTTTCTCTCCCCTCCCCCCAGGTACGTGCCCATCCTGCCCGTGGTGCTCATCAACGGCAGTGAAGGCATCGGCACGGGGTGGAGCTCGTATGTGCTCCATGTGCCCATATCCAACCCCCTCCCCTTCCCCTCCCCCCTCCCAGGTACGTGCCCATCCTGCCCATGGTTCTAATCAACAGCGGTGAAGGGATTGGCACGGGGTGGAGCTCGTATGTGCTCCATGTGCCTCACTACTCACTACCCTCGTCTATCCTTTCCTTCCCCACCCAACCCCCAGGTACGTGCCCATCCTGCCCATGGTGCTCATCAACGGCAGTGAGGGCATAGGCACGGGGTGGAGTTCGTATGTGCCAACGTTCAACCCACGGGACGTGGTGGCGAACCTCAAGAGGCGCATGAGAGGGGAGCCCATGCTGCCCATGCACCCCTGGTTCCGTGGCTTCAAGGTGTGCAGGGGGGGGAGAAAAGGGGGGGTATGCTGGGGGGAAGCGGGAGGGAATGGGAGGGAAAGGGGTGGCAGGGTTTGTCCTTTAGTGGATTATTTGGCACGGGGTGGAGCTCGTATGTGCCAACGTTCAACCCACGGGACGTGGTGGCGAACCTCAAGAGGCGCATGAAAGGGGAGCCCATGCTGCCCATGCACCCCTGGTTCCGCGGCTTCAAGGTGTGCAAGAGAGGGGGAGGACGAGGGGGGAGAGAAAAGGGGCCGTATGCTGGGGGGAAGCGGGAGTGAAGGGGAGGGAAGAGGGTGGCCGGGCTTGTCGTGTAGTGGGGTGGAAGGGGCATCGGCACGGGGTGGAGCTCGTATGTGCCAATGCTCAACCCGCGGGACGTGGTGGCAAACATCAAGAGGCGCATGCGAGGGGAACCCATGCTGCCCATGCACCCCTGCTTCCGTGGCTTCAAGGTGCGTTGAGAAAAAGGGGATGCTGGCGGGGAAGCAGGGAAGGGGAAAGGGTGGCAGGGATGGTGGTTTTTTTCGCCCTTTCGCTCCACCCCTCTTAGGCTGCGGCCTGTCTCGACATGCTTGGTACATTTTCCACTGTTCCATTACCAACCCGCACCAACCATCCAGGGTTCCATCCAGCTGACGTCAGCGCGGCAGGGAGGAGGCAACTCGTACACCGTGACAGGTGTCGCGACGCGATTGGCCAGCAGCAGCGGCGGGCGCAAGGGCGAGAAGCAGCCGCAGCAGCAGGGAGTGACAGGTGTCGCGATTACAGAGCTCCCCATCCGCACGTGGACCCAGAACTACAAGGAGTTTCTGGAAGGGATGATGGGAGGAGCGGGTGGTGGTCATGGTGGTGGGGAGGGAGGGGGAAAGGTGGCGCTGATTAAGGACATGAGGGAGTATCATACTGACACGTCGGTGCATTTTGAGGTTGAGTTTACTGCTGAAGGAGCGGCGTATTTCATGGGAGAAGGAGGGACGGTGGGAGCGAGGAGAGGAAGTGCTGCAGCGGCTGCTGCTGCCTCTGCTGCTGCTGCTGCGGCGGCGGCGGCGGCGGGGGCAGGTGCTGCAACTGCTGCTGGTACTGCCACTGGTGCTGCTGCAACGGCAGCAGCAGCTGGTGGTGCTGCTGCTGGGGTGGGTTTTCCTGAGGGTGAAGACTTGGAAGCGGGTGCAAGGTCGCCTGGGAGTGGAGACGTAGGGGGGGAGGGGATGGGCGGAGGAGGAGCGGGATGTGAGGGGGAGAGAGCAGAGGGGCAAGAGGAGGAGGAGGGGGAGGATGCGAGGAGGGAGAGGGAGGAGAGGAGGGCGCGGGCGCAGTGGGCTGTGATGGAGAAGAGGCTGAAGCTGACGACGACGATGAACACGGGCAACATGCATCTGTTTGATGCTGAGGGGCGCATAAAGAAATACGACAGCCCGGAAGAGAGTGAGTGACGGGAGTGTTTGGGTGGTTACGTGAGTGTGATGGGAGTGATTTGGGAGACTCTGTGGGTGCTTTGCTTTCCACAGTAATCCGCCTGGAGCAAAGCACCCACAGCAAGGTGCTGCAAGCAGGCAGGCAGCACCAGCTGGCTCACATGAGATGAGACACACGAGCTGCCTTCAGCTTTCTGCGCGCTGCCCCTCTCTCTGTCTAATTTCTCTGTGCATTTATCCCTTACGTTCTCTACGCGCATCAGTTATCGAGGACTTTTACGGCATTCGCCTGGGGTACTTCGAGCAGAGGAAGGAGCACCAGCTGGCACAGCTGCGCCACAAGCTGGCCTTCCCTTACCTTACTCTTCCTGCCCTCCCTCCCTGTTCCTCACCCTCTTCAGTAATCGAGGACTTCTATGGCATTCGCCTGGGGTACTACGAGCAGAGGAAGGAGCACCAGCTGGCGCAGCTGCGCCACAAGCTGGCCTTCCCTTATCTTACTCTTCCTGCCCTCCCTCCCTGTTCCTCACCCTCTTCAGTAATCGAGGACTTCTATGGCATTCGCCTGGGGTACTACGAGCAGAGGAAGGAGCACCAGCTGGCACAGCTGCGCCACAAGCCGGCCTTCCCTTACCTTACTCTTCCTGCCCTCCCTCCCTGTTCATCACCCTCTTCAGTAATCGAGGACTTCTATGGCATTCGCCTGCGGTACTTCGAGCAGAGGAAGGAGCACCAGCTGGCACAGCTGCGCCACAAGCTGGCCTTCCCTTACCTTACTCTTCCTGCCCTCCCTCCCTGTTCATCACCCTCTTCAGTAATCGAGGACTTCTATGGCATTCGCCTGGGGTACTACGAGCAGAGGAAGGAGCACCAGCTGGCGCAGCTGAGGCACGAGCTGCTGCGGCTGGACAACCGAGCTCGCTTCGTGCGGGCGGTGATTCAAGGGGAGGTGGTTATCACCAATAGGAAACAAGCCGACATTGTTGCTCAGCTGAAGGTGAGGGTTAGAGGTGTGGGCCTACGCATGTGTCGTCTGGTCCGAGTGGCCTGACCCTAGTTCTGATTTGTGCTGGCACTGAGGCAAGCAGCATCAGCTCTCTCAGCTGCGTCATGAGCTGCTGCGGCTGGACAACAGAGCTCGCTTCGTGCGGCCGGTGATCCAAGGGGAGGTGGAGATCACCAACAGGATGCAGGCGGACGTTGTGGCTCATCTCTCCAGGTGAGAATTGGGGTTGTGGGCCTAGGTGCGTGACGACAAGTGCGCTTTGTCAGGGTGGTGATTTAGGGCGACTTAGTTACACCAAATCGGTATATACTTACCACCAACAGTGGAAGCAAGCAGACGTATCGGCTCAGCTCAAGGTAAGAATTAGAGTTCTGGGTCCAGCATGTGAAAAAGACGCGGATTGTTGTTGCTGTGGTTGGGGTGCTTGTGCTGTGTTGCTTGCCTCTTCTTCTTTCCTCTTACACCCTCCAAGGCCCATTGTCTCACCCTCCTTGAAAGGAGTGGCCCCCACCACTCCCCCCACACGTGACACTCCTCCATCTCATCCTCCCTTCCCTCACCATCCCCTCTCCCTCCCTCCATTCGTTTCTCCCCCCCACCCTCTTAACCTTCCCCAGGCCCGTGGTTTCACCCCTCTCCCCAAGGGCCACGCTGCCGCCCCTGTCGTGGTTGCTGACGTGGACCCGGGCAGCACTGACGTCAGCGCGGATGGGGAGGACGTGCATGCTGACGTGGAGATGGACGACGTGGAGGCACCAGCAGGACAAAAGACAGGGAAGGGAAAAAACACAGCAAGAGCAGCGGGAAAAGCAGCAGCAGCGGGAACAGCACGGGCAGCAGCAGCACCACCACCAGCAGCAGCGTATGAGTATCTTCTAGGGATGGCTCTTTGGAGCCTGACGTGGGAGCGCGTGGAGCAGTTGGAGAGGGAGAGGCGGGGGAAAGAGGAGGAGGTGGTGGTGCTGCAGGCGACCTCGCCCCTGCAGCTGTGGGAGAGGGACCTCGACCTGTTTCTGGAGACTCTCGAGGTGAGAGGGAGTACGGTGCCTGTGTGGCGCTGTGTGGTGCTGTGTGGTACTGTGTGGTGCTGTGTGGTGCTGTGTGGTGCTGTGTGTATCATCTGTGCATAGGAGGAGGTGGTGCTGCTGCAGGCCACGTCGCCCCTGCAGCTGTGGGAGAGGGACCTCGACCTGTTTCTGGAGACTCTCGAGGTGAGGGATGGGGAATCATTGTGCGTGTGTTTATGATTGCATATCATCGTCTGTGCGTGTGGTTGAATGGGGTGGTGGTGCTGCAGGCCACGTCGCCCCTGCAGATGTGGGAGACCTGGACCTGTTTCTGGAGACCCTCGAGGTGAGGGATGGAGAGAGGAGGCGATGTGCATGCGTGTGTAATCACAGTCGTGTGTGTTGTTGAGTGGGGTGGTGCTGCTGCAGGCCACGTCGCCCCTGCAGCTGTGGGGGGGTGGGGGAGAGATTTAAATTGGAGGCCCTTGAGGAGAGGGAGAGTCAAGTGTTGCTCACCTCAAGGATTCATCATGACCCTCTCTCACCTCAAGGGTTGTTGAACAAGTTGTTGAGGCATAGCTGGTTTTTGAGAATTCTCAAATACCAGATCAAGGGTTGTTGAACATGTTGTTGAGGCAAGGCATCTTTTGAGTCGACTCAAAAGTCACCTCACCTCAAGGGTTTTGAGGCATAGCTGGTTTTTGAGAATTCTTAAAAACCAGCGAGAATTCCCAAAAAACCAGATCAAGGGTTGTTGAACATATGGTTGAGAGGCATAGCGGTGACTTTTGAGTCGACTCAAGATTCACCCTCCCTCACCTCAAGGGTTGCTGAACATGTTGTTGAGGCATAGCTTAGCCATGTTTTGACAACCTGCTCTCCTGTTTCCGTGTTCCATTTCGTTGCACTGACCCTGGGCCTGGGCTCAGGGCTTAGTAAACTGCTCTGCATCCTTGTGAATAGACAGACGCCCCTTGAGACGTCTCAAGAGTGAGCCATCCGTTGCACTGACTGAGGACCCAGTTCTGACTAAACTGCATCTTGTGCGTGTGGGTATGTGCGTTTCTGTGTGTGCATGTGGTGTGCGTTTCTGTGTGTGCATGTGGTGTGCGTTTCTGTGTGTGCATGTGGTGTGCGTTTCTGTGTGTGCATGTGGTGTGCGTTCTGTGTGTGCATGTGGTGTGTGTTCTGTGTGTGCATGTGGCGTGTGTTCTGTGTGTGCATGTGGCGTGTGTTCTGTGTGTGCATGTGGCGTGTGTTCTGTGTGTGCATGTGGCGTGTGTTTTGTGTGTGTGGCGTCTGCGCATGTGTGTGTGTGAGTGAGTGTGTACACGATCGGACCAACAGGAGGTGGAGGCAGAGGCGGCTGAGGACGAGAGGGAGAGGGAGCGAGCCGCCAATCAGCACAAGGCACGTGGCAGGAATGCAGCAGGGAGGAAGGGCGGCAAGCAGCAGGCAGGGGGGGGAAGCAGGGGGAAGAAGGCAGGGGTAACCGGCGGAGGAGGGACCGGGGGAGGGGGAGGAGGAGGGGGCAGGGGGGAGGCAAAGGGGTCAGTTGGAGAAACAGGGATTGGAGATGGGGGAAGGCGGGGAGGGGACAGGGCGCAGGGTGGTATAGGGTTTGGGGAGGAAGAGAGGCAGGGGAAGCAGAAGGGAAAGCAGCAGACACTGCTGGGAACCATGTGGGGGAAGGGGAAGGGGCTGGGAGCTGCTTCAAGTGCTGCTGCTGCTGCTGTTGCTGGTGCGGCTGCTGGTGCGGCTGCTGGTACTGCTGCTGGTGGTGGTACTGGTGGTGTTGCTGCTACTGCTGCTACTGCTGCTTCTGCTGCTGCTGCTGGTCCTGATGCGGATATGGGAGATGGGCCACACGTGGACGGGACAGGCAGCAGAGCAGCGAGTGATGGGAGCAATGGGGAGAATGAAGAGAAGAGGGAGGAGGGTGCTACGGATGGAAGCGAGGAAATGGATGAGGACAGGGAGGGAGAGGAGGGGAGTGAGAGTGAGGAGGACGCTGAGGATGAAGGGGAGGAGAGTGAGGACGATAGTGACTTCGAACCAACAACAGCAAAGTGTGAGTGCTTGTGAACAGTTAAGCATTGAACAGAGAAGCAGGAAACTTCTGTTTCAGTCCGTTTCTTCTTATTCTCTTGCTTACAGGTTTCTTGTATCGTTGCCTCCCTCCCTTATCCTGCCTGTGTGTGTGTGCAGCTAAGGGCAGGGCTGCAGTGCCAGTGGACACGCCAACACCAAGACAGTCCACTCCCCGCCACTCCTCCCGCCTCACCCGCACCCAAGCAGCATCAGCAGCAGTACCACCAACAGCTGCTGCTGCTGCTCCTCCTGATGCTGCCTCTCCCCAACAGTCGAATGAACAGGCAGGCACACAGGCACAGGGAAATACATACGCACAGGTAGAAAACGATGCAGAGGGGTCAGGAGGCCAGGGAGGAGAGCAAGAGCAAGAGGATGTGGATGTGGATCCGTCACCACCCTTCCCACCGCCGTCGCCAGCAGCAGCAGCAGGCATGGGGGAGTCTCCCCCTGTGATTGAAATGACATCATCCGAGGAAGAGGGTGGGGCGTTCGGCTTGCAGGCGGGTGGGGGGCTGCGACTGGGTGACTCGGTTTCAGATGCAGGCGACACAAGCAATGGCGACACGAGCAACACGAGCAGTGGCAACGCACGCAATGGCGACACTAGCAATGGCTCCAACAGTCCAAGTAAGCTCGCCTTAACCGCATCCTCTCATCTTCCAAATTTCAATTCTCTCGCATAAATGGGATCGTCTCCCCTTTATCCAATCCTGTTTCTTGCCTTGATTTTCCTGCTTGTTTCCAAGGAGTCTGTGTTGTCCGCCATTACATTCACATTCGTGAAGTGCTTTTGACTCGAACAGTCGTCCCGTTACCTTTGTGCTGTTTGTTTTTGTCTCTTTTTTTTTCTTCTTCTTTTTTTTATTACCTAATATCCACCTTTCCACTCACATGGTCTTCCCATTCCACCTGGGCTACTGCACCCACCAACAGGTGCTGCCTCTGACCCATACTCTCTCCATGCATCTCCCTCCGCATCCCCACCGCTCTCCACTCCTCTCCACGCCTCTTCCACCCCCAACCCCCCCACAAGCACAGCCACACCTGTCCCAGCCACCCCGCTCCCATCCCGCCGGTCTGCTCGTGCTGTTGCATCTGCAACACCTTCTAGTGCAGCAGCAGCAGCACCAGCAACACCGGCAGCACGAGCAGCGCCAGCAACACCGGCAGCAGCAGCACCAGCACCAGTGCCATCAGTAGCAGGGCTATCAGCACCCACTGCAACCCCTGTTCCTGCAGTACCCTTGGCGCCCGCTGAACCTGCAAGTGCAGCTGCAGCAAATGCCAGTGCACAGCTCCCTCTCACGGACGTGCTCAAAGATGGGGGTAAGGCACAGTCAGTGGCAGGTAAAGGTCGTGGAGGTGGGAGAGGGAGAGGGGCAGGTGGGAGGGGGCGAGGAGCGGCGAGTGGGAGAGGAAGAGGGAGAGGGGGGAGGGGAGGAAGAGGACGAGGAGGAGCTGAAGCAGGTAGTGGTAGTGGCAGTGGTGGAGGTGTAGGGCCAGTGGAGGTGGTTGATTTGGATGATTAGCATCGTGCTGTAAATGGGAATTCTCTAACGCAAAGCAGCTAGTGGCAGTGGAGGAGGAGGTGTAGGGCCTGTCGAGGTGGTTGATTTGGATGATTAGAGGGCGAGGAGCAACGATTGGGAGAGGAGGGAGGGGAGGAAGAGGAGGAGCAGGAGCAGCAGCTAGTGGTGGTGGCAGTGGTGGAGGTGTAGGGCCAGTGTTCATTTGGATGATTTGTATCATGCCGCAAAGTGTAAGATAAGATGGCATATGAAGGTAGCAGATGTGTAGACTCTGTTGCAGCAGTTATTGGTAGTACCGGTGGTGATGGTGGTGGAGGGCCAGTGGAGGTGCTTGATTTGGGTGACAAGCATCATGCCGCAAAGTGTAAGTTGGGGTTACGGTTTATGAAAAAGGTAGCAGAGGTGGTGTGAACTCTGCTGCTGCAAATACGTTGATGGATCTGTGTTTTGTCTTGAATAGGTAGAAAGCTGGAATTTTATATGCATCAGCCAGCAACACACACAGCAGAATAGCATGGTACTGGGAATTGTACTGGTTGGAGTGGTGCATAATAGTGGTCAGTTTTTTGTGTGGAAGCAGAGAATTTTTGTATATGTATAGGCATGCGCACGAGAGGAGGGGGTTTTGCTCTTGGTACATAGCTGACACATACTTTGCACAGTGCGCCTCACTATATCCTTCCAAATCAGCACAAGATCTAACACTCCAGCAGCACATAAGAACACTCAAGCCCATCACCCATCCAGCTCAGGATCATAGTTGTCCTTAAGGTACGTGCTCATAAAGTAAGGAATTCTCTCCATGTATTTCTCTTCCTCCTCCAGCAGCGCATATGGGTCGATGTATACCGCCTGTCCTTCTAAGAACAGGCTAACACTCGAAACCTATCACCCATCCAGCTCAGGATCGTAGTTATCCTTTAGGTACGTGCTCATATCATAAGGAATTCGCTCCATGTGTTTCTCTTCCTCCTCCAGCAGCGCATATGGGTCGATGTAGCTCGGGGGTTGCCGGCCCTCCCCGTAACTCTTGCCCGGATGCACAAAGTCTGATCCCAGAAACTGGACACGGGGGATAAAGGTAGAATGAGAGACGCTGGTCAGTCACTTGCACTTGACATCCCTTGTGGGAAATCCTTAGAGAGCAGCAAAGCTGGGCTCAGTGTGCAGTGCAGTGCAGACCGTGCAACTGTGTAGTGCAGACCGTGCAATGCAACTGAGCCAATTCAGTGCCTGGTAGTTAACTCAGAGTTGAGCTGGATGGGTATTGACCATAATCAGTCAATTTTAGGGTTTTCAGGTTTTCAATCGCTTGCTCCTACAGCTCAGCTGCCCACAATGGTTTTTGGGAAGATTCTCACGAAGCAGCAGAGCAGAAAAACAGGGGTCGGTTCACCTGGACCTGACTGGTAACATGGGTGAAGAGAACATCTTACCAGGTACATAGCGGTGAAGACAGTGATAATGGCGAGAGCAAAGGGCCAGAGCGGTAGATAGAAGGAGAACCCTAGCTTCAGCAGTTCAGCTGCTCGTGCTGGTAGGCCCTGGTGGGTGTGATATTCGGTTGGGGTGGAGGGTGGAAGGCAGAGAATGGAAGTAGTGGAGAGATTGGGAACAGGCAAGGTAAGGGAGATGAATGGTTGGTAAAAGGACATTCCCTGCTTTAGCCGCTCTGCTGCTGTGCTGAAGGGCCCTGACGGGTGGGAGGAAAAGGGTGGGAAATGGGTGGAAGGAATGACATCTTCCACTCAAGCCAACTCTTCGCTTCACAGCCACAGCTTACTCAGGTTTCCGAGGTGAAAGCAGGACCCAGCTCGCTTCCTCTACTAAACAGGGTCCTGCTTTCACCTGGGAAGCCTGAGCTGCCCCCTACCCTACCTTCAGTGCATAATGCCTAGGACACCTGATATCAGAAGCTTTGCGCTCTCATGTGCTTTGAGTCGACTCAAAACATCCCCTGCTTCCTCTCTCCCACGTACCTCCAGCCCTTCACTGTTAAGCGCGTTTGAAACCGCCCGCTGGTCGCGCATTCCCGGCCCCCCTCCCGCGCCACTTCCCCCCGCCCCTCCGCTCCCCGCTTCTGCGCCGGGTGCCTTGCTGGCAGGGTCTGATTGGCTGTTGGAGGACTGGGCCGCGCGGCGCCGCCGCAATTCGCGCATGAATTGCGACTCAGTGGAGGGGTTGCTCGGGTTGTTGTCTGCGGGGAAGGTTCACAACGGTTTGGAATGGGTTAAAATTGTGTTGGATCGAGTTGAATTGGGTTGAATTGGGTCGAATTGGGTTGTTTTGCAGTGAAGAGTGCGTTTACAAAGCGCCTTAGAACATGAGCGCCGAAAATCGCGCGTGAATTGCAGTTTGCTGGGAAAATGCCAGGGATGGTGGGTTCTAGGGGGAGGGGTTGGAAGTATGTTGCGTGAACACGACGGCCCAACTCGCGCATAGATTGCGGCTCAAAGGAAAGATCTCCAGGAGAGAGGTCTTTGGGGGGGAATAACAGGATGGGCACAAGACGGGCAGGGCATCAAGGCAGTGGCACGTACCGTCTGGTTTCTCCGCCATGGCTCGTATCCGCAATCCCCCAGCGCGCCTCGCGCGCACTCCAGAGACGGAGGCGACGCGGCTTTGCGCTTCAAAGCGCGCAGGAAGCCGTTGTGGGGAAGGAATGGGTAGCGAGTGGGAACTTGCGGCGAAGGTGCGCACGGGCGCCATGGCTGCTTGGAGCCCGGGGTGGCACGAATGCGCAGCGGGCGTGGCTGCGCGCGCTGCTAACATGGCGGTGCTGGCGGAGAGATGCTGGCGGAGAGATGCTGGCGCAGAAATACTGGCAAATGTCTTACTGCGGAAAAGGGTAAGCTACCACGTTTCCGCGCTTAATTATCCTTGTGCTGCTTCAGCTGAAGGGAATGACAGGGACGAAGTCTGCTTCAGTCCCGACGGAGAAGTCGCTTCGGATTACTCTGGCAAAAGTTGTCGCTGCGACGAATGTCGCCCTTGCGCGATTGACCAGGCAAATGGGATGGGACCAGCGTTGCGATCGCGGACTAGCACGGTGGCAGGCTGCAAGCTGCGGTGGGAGTGGGATTTGGCGAAGCTTTATGCTGAAATAGGCGGCGAGTTCGGGAAATTAGGACATTCACAGACCTTTGCTTTCGGGGAGGACGAGGAGTGAAGGTATTTGAGGGTGAGAGATGGACGGACGACTCGAATGCGCGGGGGGAAGGTGCAGAATGTGAAATCATGGCCAGCTGTCCGCTTGGGATAAGCTGGGGAGACCTAGGTGAAGTGAACGTGGTCGGCATTGGAAGCCTCCAAAGGTTGACAAATTTGCCGACGCCACGTCAGATCCATGTGCACCTTGGAGGATCTCCAGAAGCATTCACCTACGCCAATCAGAGAAACATACAGGTCAGGACGAGGTGGAGCTGACAAAATCGTATACGCGTTGAAGAAATGGTATCGCCGACAGCAAGTACACCGTTTCCCGCTTAAAACGCTCATCCAAGTCTGAGTGGAATTGCTCATTTTCCAGGCCAATCTTTTTCTTACCCTTATTTCCACAGGTACCCCACAGAACTTACACTATCCGACATAAATAAGATCCCTGGATTGCATATTGATACCGCTGTTCCTACAAAACGGTCTATCCGAATAAGGAATTAGTGTTCAAAGAACAGGGGAGCAGCCGCTAGAGCAGCTGTAGCAAGCAGGTTGAGCAGGATGTCAAGTGTGGGTGCTAGCGTCTCCCGCAGAGTACCACCAACCCTGAGATGAAACACCATAAAGAAAAAATAGCAAAAACAAAAATATAATGAAGCCAAATAAACCATATAGCACTCCCATGCACATGAAAAAAGGCGGTAAATCTCAAACAGGTACACCCATGTATTGCTTACGTGTCGCCAGTGATGGTGGCTTTGTGTGCTTCACTCCCCGGCCCTCCCAAGTGCCCTGCTTCCACCACGTCCCTGGCGCCCCTCCACGCACTGCCAGCCCCGTTGAAGAGCGCTGCCAGGAGCAGCGTCACCAGCACCGCGACTAGAAGCAGCGCCGCCACCGCCCGTGCTCCCAAGAGAGGCTGGAGGGTGGCTTTGCCTACTGACCGCACTATGATGCCTGTGAGGTGATGGGGGGAGGCGGGGGATGAGAGTGAAGGGAGAGAGAGAGAGAGAGAGAGAGAGAGAGAGAGAGAGAGAGAGAGAGAGAGAGAGAGAGAGAGAGAGAGAGAGAGAGAGAGAGGGGTAGGGAAGATGAAGGGGCAGGGAGCGAACAGCAGCGTCACCAGCAGCAGTGCCGCCAGCAGGGTTGAATGGCCTTACCTACTTACCGCATTATGATGCCTGTGAGGCGATGGGGGGAAGGAGAGGAGAGAAGGGGTAGGATGGTAGCAGGGTTGTGTTTGAGGATGGACAACTGGAACAAGGGAAAGAGCCACCATGGATAGAAATACAGCGAGGCGTTACAAAAAAAAAGTGGTGCTATCTTACCGTACTAACTATGTTGCCCTACATCAATCATACCCATGGCGATTGGAGCAGCGACAGCGAGCAGGCCTGGCAGCAGCAGCTCCTTGAGACTCACAGCCTCTGAGGCACCTTGCACACAGCACTCTCTGTATTGCACAAATCAGATTTCCAGTAGCAGTGCATCGATCGCACTCACCCATGGCGATTGGAGCAGCGACAGCGAGCAGGCCTGGCAGCAGCAGCTCCCTGAGGCTCACAGCCGCCACTGCACCCACGAAGCGAGACGGGTCATCCAGTACCATGGGCGCCCTCGGGTATGCCTGCTGGGAACCGGGTTGGTGGGGAAAGGGAGGGGAGGGTACATACGAGGATTCAGTATGTGCGTGGACTCATGAGGCTCACTGCACAGCCGCCACTGCACCCACGAAGCGAGATGGATCATCCAGTACCATGGGCGCCCTCGGGTATGCCTGCTGGGAGAATGGGTTGGGGGAGAAACGGGAGGGAATGGGGAGAAGAAGAGATGATGGGGTGGCTGAGAGAGAGAGAGGACGAGTGGATGCATGAAAGAATATGGCAGCAGACAGAGAGTCAGCAAAAATAGAGGTGGATGCAGGTACTCCATGTCAGAGGGCCTTCCTGCGAAGTTGGGACAGGACAGCCCCCAAAAGTGCACCGCGGTGGTTCCAGCCTGGCAGCTCAAAAGATGCTTTCACCTGCTCACCAACTTCTGTGTGTGTGACCGTTTCGGCGTTCCACATCCCAGCGCCCCAATCAAAAGTCACTGCACGACTCCATCTACACTCTGCGATCGCATCCCATGGGGTTTGACGGCGAAGATGTTGAACTGTACTGGGCCATGATCGCATCCTGCCTTCGCACGTTGGGCTCAACCCAACTGCGACGTCCACATTCGTCCCCCCGCCACCTCATCACAATGCCCCATGCCTTGCACGTGCCATGTGCACTTTTCGCTGTCCCGACTTCGAAGTTGGGACAGCCCAGGAAGGCGATCTCAAAGACATACTCTAAATCTAAATTCACACACATATATATATATATATATATACATATATGTTATTGCGTGTTTGGAATCTAGTTATCAATGCTTCTGTAAGAGAATCGACCTTGACCTTACCATCCGCATTCTCTCCCAGAGCAATAACAGCATCTTTATCGCGCTATAAAGAGAAGAAAAAAAGGGAAAACCCAAAAAAAAAAAGGCACGCTCTCTCCCCTCCCAGCATACCTTCTCCTCAGCTCGGTGGTGCAGGTGTCTGCGTCCCTCTCGCACAACAATGGCCGTGCACCGCGTCACCCCCGAACCTGCCATCGCCACGCCTCCCACCACCACTGCTGCCCCCACCATGCACGCCACTAGCAGCTCTGGCCGCAGCAAGTCAATCTGGTGTTGAGAGTGGAGTGCGGGAGGGGGAGAGGAGCAGCGTGATCATTAATTGGACGGAAAACGAGTCACTCCACCTCCTGCCATCGCCACTCCTCCCACCACCACTGCTGCCCCCACCATGCACGCCACTAGCAGCTCTGGCCGCAGCAAGTCAATCTGTTGGCAAGAATGCGGCAGAGGGACGGGAGTGGCACGAGTATCGTTTAAAAACACCTCCCACCACCACTGCTGCCCCCACCATGCACGCCACTAGCAGCTCTGGCCGCAGCAAGTCAATCTGTTGGCAAGAATGCGGCAGAGGGACGGGAGTGGCACGAGTATCGTTTAAAAACAAGTAACTCCGCCTGGCATCGCCACAACACCTCCCACCACCACTGCTGCCCCCACCATGCACGCCACTAGCAGCTCTGGCCGCAGCAAGTCAATCTGTTGGCAAGAATGCGGCAGAGGGACGGGAGTGGCACGAGTATCGTTTAAAAACAAGTAACTCCGCCTGGCATCGCCACAACACCTCCCACCACCACTGCTGCCCCCACCATGCACGCCACTAGCAGCTCTGGCCGCAGCAAGTCAATCTGTTGGCAAGAATGCGGCAGAGGGACGGGAGTGGCACGAGTATCGTTTAAAAACAAGTAACTCCGCCTGGCATCGCCACAACACCTCCCACCACCACTGCTGCCCCCACCATGCATGCTACCAGCAACTCTGGCCGTAACAGGTCAATCTGGTATTGGGGGTGGGCTGGGAATGCAGGAGAGGGAGAGGAACACACTATAATTTCTTGGACGGAAAACAGGGTTGCTCTACACGCTGCCATCGCCACAACACCTCCCACCACTACTGCCGCCCCCACCATGCACGCCACTAGCAGCTCTGGCTGCAACAGGTCAATCTAGTGTTTGATGCGGGAAAGGGCGAGAAGCAGCCTTGACATTAATTGGACTGGAAACGGACCACCTGCTGCCATCGCTACAAATCCCACCACCATTGCTGCCCTCGCCATGCACGCCACCAGCAGCTCTGGCCGCAACAGGTCAATCTAGTGCGTGATGCAGGAGTGCGGGAGTGCGGGAGTGCGGGAGAGGGAGAGGGAGAGGGAGAGGGAGAGGGAGAGGGAGAGGGAGAGGGAGAGGGAGAGGGAGAGGGAGAGGGAGAGGGAGAGGGAGAGGGAGAGGGAGAGGGAGAGGGAGAGGGAGAGGGAGAGGGAGAGGGAGAGGGAGAGGGAGAGGGAGAGGGAGAGGAGCAGCACAATCATTAATTGGGCAGAAAGCGTAGTTGCTCCACTCCACATGGTGCCATTGCCACTACTCTAGAGCCCACTACCACTGCCGCTCCCCTCCAAGCAGGATGGGAAAGATAGGGGCCAAAAAAAAAAAAAAAAACAGTAGGAGATAGAGAGGAAAGGATGGGGAGTGAGGAAGAACCCGGGAAGGAGGAAAGGAATGTGGAAAGGGGAAGGGGAGAGAGGGGGTTTGTGTGTGGGGGAGAGGTGAGGGATACAGGTAGCGCATAAGATGACAGATTTGAGTGATCAGTCCTATTAGCGTGGCTGCAACTTACATGATACAGAGCTGTGCCAGAGTAGGAGGAGACAAGAGCCACAAAGGCGAGGACGAGCACCGGAGAGCAGAGCAGAGCGAGGGGGCACCACACCACACCACACCACACCCCATGGCATGTCAGACAGACGACACTCTTGAGACGTCTCAGAAACTCACATTGTGCAGTGCTGTGCTGGAGTAAGAGGAGACAAGGGCCACAAAGGCGTGCACAAGCAGCAGAGAGCAGAGCGAGGAGGCACCACACCCCATGCCTTGCAGGGCTCATGCTATGTGCGACGTCCCAAAACTCACATTGTGCAGCGCTGTGCTGGAGTAAGAGGAGACAAGGGCCACAAAGGCGTGCACAAGCAGCAGAGAGCAGAGCGAGGAGGCACCACACCCCATGCCTTGCAGGGCTCATGCTATGTGCGACGTCCCAAAACTCACATTGTGCAGCGCTGTGCTGGAGTAAGAGGAGACAAGGGCCACAAAGGCGTGCACAAGCAGCAGAGAGCAGAGCGAGGAGGCACCACACCCCATGCCTTGCAGGGCTCATGCTATGTGCGACGTCCCAAAACTCACATTGTGCAGCGCTGTGCTGGAGTAAGAGGAGACAAGGGCCACAAAGGCGTGCACAAGCAGCAGAGAGCAGAGCGAGGAGGCACCACACCCCATGCCCCGAGTAGCTGACGCTACAGCTGATGCTGCTGCCTCCAAGGGACTGACTGGCGTCCGTAACACTGCAGCAGCAGCCGCTGCCGCGGCCGCTGCTGGTGACGCCGCTGCTGATGATGAGGGGGCGTGGGGTGGAAGCGCAGAGGATTGTAGTGACGACGACTGTAACGAGGACCTCTCCTCAGGGTCTCCTGTTGCCACCTCTCCTCCTGTCCCCCCGCCTCCCGCTGCTGCTGCTGCCGGGTCTGAGGATAAAGGTTGTTGCAGCAGATGCGGTGATCCTGCTGCTGCTCCCATATGGTCTGAAGTGATGCCGCTTCCATCCTGCATACCCATGCCATATGCGTCCATGCCATGTGATGCCACGTTATGTGCTGCCATGCCATGTGCGTCCTGCTGCATCACATCATGTGCTGCCGGGCCCAGGCTGAACTCCTGCATCTGTTGCATCTGCCCCTGCTGCTGCTGCTTCTGGTGCTGCACACAGGAAACAGGAATGGGGAGGGAAGAGGTGCACACACCTCAAAATGTCTGTCCTGCATCATCACATCATGTGCTGCCGGGCCAAGACTAAATTCCGGCATCTGCTGCATCTGCCCCTGCTGCTGCTGCTTCTGGTGCTGCACGGAAGAGAGGTGAAAGGGAACGGAGAGGGGAGAGGGGACGGAGGGAAGCGAAAGGGAAAGGGGAGGGGAGAAGGGAGGGAGGTGCAGGGAGGGTAGGAAGAGCGAGGAGGAGAGATTTGTCGAGCAGTGGTAAACCAGACCTCAAGGGAAGGTTAGTCTACCATCAAACAAGGCAGGTAAGTATCAAGTAAGAATGGAACAAAGTCGTCAGATGTGACCCACTCACCTGAAACAAGTCAGTGGTGAGGGAGAAGCACCCGCTGCTGAGCATACCCATGACCGCCACAGCCAGTCCCAGCAGTCCCCCTTCCCATCCACCAATCCCCTTGACTGACCTTGGTTGATCCCACACCCACCTGTGCCATCATTTTACAGAGCAGGCCGGCGTGTGAAACAGCGAGCTGAAACAGGTCCGTGGTGAGGGAGAAGCACCCGCTGCTGAGCATGCCCATCACCGCCACAGCCAGCCCCAGCAGTCCCCCCGCCAGCTCCCCCTTCCCATCCACCAGCCCCAGCAGCCCCCCCACAAGCTCCCCCAACCCCCCCCCTTCACCAGCTCTCCCGCCTATTCCGATCCACCAATCCCCTTGACTGACCTTGGTTGATCCCACACCCACCTGTGCCATCATTTTACAGAGCAGGCCGGCGTGTGAAACAGCCAGCTGAAACAGATCCGTGGTGAGGGAGAAGCACCCGCTGCTGAGCATGCCCATCACCGCCACAGCCAGCCCCAGCAGCCCCCCTGCCGGCTCCCCCTTCCCATCCACCAGACCCGAATTCCGCCCCAGCCACACCGCCGCCGCCACGGCCAATCCCACGATGACAGCTGGCGGCGCGGCGGCGGCAATCCCGAGGGCGAGTCCGGAGGAGATGTTGGAGGCGTGGCCGGAGGAGGAGGCGATTGCGAGGGAGCGGACGGGGGGGAGGTGCGGGGCGGAGAGGAGGGAGGAGGAGAGGAGGAGGAGGATGGAGGAGAGCATTCCGAGGAGAGCGCAGAAGAAGAAGTGGAGCCAGGCGAGAGGGGCTTGCTCCGTGAATAGCAGCCACCTGGTCGCCTGGAAGGGGAGGGTGGGGCGAAATGGGGGACAGAGGAAAGGAAATGTGTAAGGGGAATGCGTGCCAAAGGGAGTGCAGCCAGGCTAGAGGGGCCTGCTCCGTAAAAAGCAACTACCTGGTCGCCTGGAGGGTTGGATTGCGAATGGGCACATGGGAGGGTGAGGAGGAAAGGGGGGAATGGAGGGAACATGTAAGGGATATGCCTTTTCTGAATGCAAGAAACCCGGCAGCCTAGAGGGCTGATTTGATTGGGTAAGGTACGGTGCAGGGGAACATTAGGAGGAGGATGGAGGAGAGCATTCCGAGGAGGGCGCAGAAGAAGAAGTGGAGCCAGGCGAGCGGGGCTTGTTCAGTGAATAGCAGCCACCTGGTCGCCGGGCAAGGGATTAGGGAGGGTGGGAAAGGGTGTGTGGGGGGGGAAGAGGGAGGGGGGAATGCGTAAGGGAGGGTGTGTATGTTCAAGAGAGTGCAGCCAGGCGAGAGGGGCCTGTTCTGTGAATAGCAGCCACCTGGTCGCCTGGAGAGAGTTGGTTTGTGAAGGGTTGCAAGGGGGAAGGCCAAGGGGAATGGTGGGAGAGGAGGGGGAATGCGTAAGGGCTGTGTTCATCTGAATAGAAGCCACCTGGTCGACTAAAAGGGGTTATTTTGATGGGTGAGGGACGGTGCAGGGCAACACTGGGAGGAGGATGGAGGAGAAACATTTCGAGGAGGGCGCAGAAGAAGAAGTGCAGAGGGGGTTTGCTCCGTGAATAGTAACCACCTGGTGGCCTGGGAAGGGCGTATGAAAGAGTGGGGGAAAATGGGGCATGTAGGGGGAGTGAGAGCGCATATACATCCAAACAGGCACGCGCATTCGCGCTGTCGCGCACTCGCATATTCGCCCTGTCGCGCACTAGCGGACTCGCGCTTTTGTGCGCTCCCAGTCTAGCGCACTCGCGCTTTTGTGCGCTCCCAGTCTAGCGCACTCGCGCTCGCGCTCTTGTGCACGCGCGCTCTCGCGCACTCGCGCAGTTACGCACTCACGCACTCGCGCAGTTGCGCACTAGCGCTCTCCCGCACTCGCGCTCTCGCGCTCTCGTGCACCCACGCTCTTGCGCATTAAATACTATAGTTTCTAAATTACGGTTAGTGTCGTGCGTCGTTGCTGCGTTGCGCCGTAGCGTCGTTGCGCTGTTGCTATGTATTTTTTTATTATCCTATGTTGTTGTGAAGAAACTAAAAGATCTTTACAACCTTTAGAACAATCTAGTTATAGTATTACTGTTCATTGAACAATCTAGCTTTTAACTTTTCTAATCAATCTACTAATATCGTAAGCATCGTGACTAACGTGAGAATCGTGACATCGTTACATCGTTACATCGTGACAACATCGTGACATCGTAACATCGTGAGCATCGTGACATCGTGACCATTGCATCGTGACATTGTGAGCATCGTGACATCGTGACCATACCATCGTGACATCGTGATATCGTGAGCATCGTGACATCGTGACATCGTGATCGTGACATCGTGAGCATCGTGACCTCGTTAGCATAGTAAGCAAGATAAGAAAATGAATGAAACAAATAAACTAAAACATAGAAAGTGTATGTAATAATGAAACGGCTTTCTTTAAATTTACACAATCTGAAAAGATTGATTAGAAATATTTAAACCAGTAATTTCGAAACTATACTGTTCAAGCAGATATTATAAGCATTTTATAACACATCGTCACTAGGCACAAACATCGTCTCTAGGAAACGATACATTGCGCCGTTATACCCTTGCGCTGTTGCGCAGTGCGTGCTCTCGCGCACTCGCGCTGTCGCGCACTTGCGGGCTCGCGCATTCGCGCTGTCGCGCACTCGCGCTGTCGCGCACTCGCATACTCGCCCTGTCGCGCACTAGTGCACTCGCGCTTTTGTGCGCTCCCAGTCTAGCGCACTTGCGCTTTTGTGCGCTCCCAGTCTAGCGCACTCGCGCTTTTGTGCGCTCCCAGTCTAGCGCACTCGCGCTCCCGTGCACTCGCGCTCTCGTGCACTCGCGCACTGGCGCAGTTACGCACTCACGCACTCGCGCAGTCGCGCACTAGCGCTCTCCCGCACTCGCGCTCTCGTGCATCCACGCTCTCGCGCATTAAATACTATAGTTTCTAAATTACGGTTTGTGTCGTGCATCATTGCTGCGTTGCGCTGTAGCGTCGTTGCGCTGTTGCTATTTTTTTTTTTTTTATCCTATGTTGTTGTGAAGAAACTAAAAGATCTTTACAACCTTTAGAACAATCTAGTTCTAGTATTACTATTTATTGAACAATCTAGCTTTTAACTTTTCTAATCAATCTACTAATATCGTAAGCATCGTGACTAACGTGAGAATCGTGACATCGTTACATCGTGACATCGTGACAACATCGTGACATCGTGACATCGTGAGCATCGTGACATCGTGACCAAATGCATCGTGACATTGTGAGCATCGTGACATCATGACGATAGCATCGTGACATTGTGACATCGTGAGAATCGTGACATCGTGACATCGTGATCGTGACATCGTGACATCGTGACATCGTGAGCTGAAAAGATTAGTAGGTAGAGAAGTTTAGAATGAAGAAGAAGAGGGTTCACTAGAAAGCAGCAGGATACATAAGGAAACCCTAAGGAGTTGTACTCGCTATAGAGTACCCCACTGCAGGCTAGAGAACAATGACATTCTGACACACCCCCATAGCCAAAGTGGGGTGTAATCAGCAGAGCAAGCAAAGCAGAACAAGCTCAGGGTGGATCACAATGTCACCACACATTCTGAGCACAAGTACAAGAAGCAATAGTTTAAAGTTCACAATTATGAGCAAAGCTAGAGGCTATCGCAGAGGGCAAGTGAGGAGGAGGAGGCGAGAGTGAGAGGAGAGGAGATAGGAGGCGACGGCTGAAGCTGCAGACACACGGGCAACAGGAGTCACACTGGCACAGCGGCTACCGGAACAACGCTCCGGACTACTGGAGTAACTGGCTCCGCGGCTAAAAGTAGCGGCAGACGAGCAACGGACCCACGGGCGACTGGCACAGCTGGCTGCGACTGGGCTACCGGAGCAACTCCCCAGACTACAGGTGCTGCTGGCGACACGACGGCAACCTCAGTTCAGCCTCCCCAAACAGTCCCACTCCCCCTGACACACACCCCCTGCTTCACCCCTAGCTCCACTCCCCCTTCACCCCCCTTAGTACCACTCCGACGGCTCCAACAGGTCCACCCCCCTCAGCGGCAGCTGCAGCACTGGGAGACGGAGGAGGAGGAGGAGCAGGGGACGGCACACAGAAGCTGCACCCCCATACCCCCCACCCCCAAACCCTAATTCAGGAGAACGGGCAGCAGCAGGGGTGGGGCGCCATTAGAAGCACGGGGGACAGCGGGCAGCGCAGGGGCAGCGAAGAACGGGCCGCCCACGGGCCTGGCACAGCCGCCCGAACCGCGCGCAGGCGGCCCGAGCCGCGCGCGGGCCTGGCGCAGCCCGTACGGGCCGCGCGCGGGCCTGGCGCAGCCCGTACGGGCCGCGCGCGGGCCTGGCGCAGCCCGTACGGGCCGCGCGCGGGCCTGGCGCAGCCCGTACGGGCCGCGCGCAGGCTGTACGAGCCGCGCGCAGGCCACGACGGGCGACGGGGGGCGACGCGCGGGTCCCCGTCGCCCGTCGCAGCGCCTCCCGGGAGCGACGCGCGGAGTGACGGGGCAGAAACCCGCCGCGCGCCTCGGGGCGCACGGCGGGCAGACAACCGCCGCGCGCCTCGGGGCGCAGGGCGGGCAGAAAACCGCCGCGCGCCTCGGGGCGCACGGCGGGCAGAAAACCGCCGCACGCTCCGAGTGCGCGGCGGGATGAAAAATCCGTCGCACGCCACGGGGCGTGCGACACAGAGAGTAGCAGTAGCAGCGGAAGCAGTGAGGTGGTGAGCCCACCCACAGGATCGACCCAAGGGGATCGACCTGCTCTGATAGCATGAAAAGATTAGTAGGTAGAGAAGTTTAGAATGAAGAAGAAGAGGGTTCACTAGAAAGCAGCAGGATACATAAGGAAACCCTAAGGGGTTGTACTCGCTATAGAGTACCCCACTGCAGGCTAGAGAACAATGACATTCTGACATGAGCATCGTGACATCGTGAGCATCGTGACCTCGTTAGCATCGTGAGCAAGATTTGAAAATGAATAAAACGAATAAACTAAAACATAGAAAGTGTATGTAATAATGAAACGGCTTTCTTTAAATTTACACAATCTGAAAAGACTGATTAGAATTATTTAAACCAGTAATTTCGAAGCTATATTGTTCAAGCAGATATTATAAGCATATTAAAACGCATCGTCACTAGGCACAAACATCGTCTCTAGGAAACGATACATTGCGCCGCTATACCCTTGCGCTGTTGCGTAGTGCGCGCTCTCGCGCACTCGAGCTGTCGCGCACTTGCGGGCTCGCGCATTCGCGCTGTCGCGCACTCGCATACTCGCCCTGTCGCGCACTAGCGCACTCGCGCTTTTGTGCGCTCCCAGTCTAGCGCACTCGCGCTTTTGTGCGCTCCCAGTCTAGCGCACTCGCGCTCCCGTGCACTCGCGCTCTCGTGCACTCGCGCTCTCGCGCACTCGCGCAGTTACGCACTCACGCACTTGCGTAGTCGCGCACTAGCGCTCTCACGCACTCGCGCTCTCGCGCTCTCGTGCACCCACGCTCTTGCGCATTAAATACTCTAGTTTCTAAATTACGGTTTGTGTCGTGCGTCGTTGCTGCGTTGCGCCGTAGCGTCGTTGCGCTGTTGCTATTTATTTTTTTATTATCCTATGTTGTTGTGAAGAAACTAAAAGATCTTTACAACCTTTAGAACAATCTAGTTATAGTATTACTGTTTATTGAACAATCTAGCTTTTAACTTTTCTAATCAATCTACTAATATCGTAAGCATCGTGACTAACGTGAGCATCGTGACATCGTGACAGTGACATCGTGAGCATCGTGACATCGTGACCATTGCATCGTGACATTGTGAGCATCGTGACATCGTGACCATAGCATTGTGACATCGTAACATCGTGACATTGTGACATCGTGACATCGTGAGCATCGTGACATCGTGACATCGTGACATCGTGAGCATCGTGACCTCGTTAGCATCGTGAGTAAGATAAGAAAATGAATAAAACGAATAAACTAAAACATAGAAAGTGCATGTAATAATGAAACAGCTTTCTTTAAAGCCCAAGACCTGAATTGCTCAACGCAAGTCAACGCTGGGCAAAACTGTGGGCTACTGGAGGCAAACTGTGCACAGTTTGCCCTCGTTTTTTATAATTCGGGGTTTGGGCTTTAAATTTACACAATCTAAAAAGACTGATTAGAATTATTTAAACTAGTAATTTCGAAACTATATTGTTCAAGCAGATATTGTTGGAATAACCGAAAGGTTATCACAAGCATTCCCGAAGGCTCTCCACTATCGCGTCTCCTCATAGCGAAGCAGACGCCTGTACCAGTACCGCATGAGCTCATATAGAGCACGCGGAAGATCGAGGGTCACCCGAAGGTCAACAGTCGAAGACAGTCAACAGTCGTGACCCTTGACTGCCTAGTAACCGCACGAGGTAGTTACGAAGTGCAACACGGTAACTGTCTAGAATGGCAATAGTCGTGGGTTACTGTAGCAATGCAATTCAGTTAATAAGGGAATGTACCCCTCAGAGTACATGGCTAGCTAGGCTTGCTATTTATACTCTTGTACTCCTATCTTATAATCATCTTGTTCTCTTTCAATTTATTGACAAGGTCATTACAGAGACTTCACAGCTCTCTCTCCTATACTTGGCAACCTTATCCTATCCACTACGATTCTTAGTTTTAACATCATGGTATGAGAGCTAGAGTGGATTATAAGGCCTGCTAAGTTCTTGTTCTTGGTAGAACAAACTCCTTATAAATTATTCTTTACAACATCAAAGACTCTGCATCACTATGGCTCTAGAAGGGAAAGCCACTGCAGAATCTCCGGGCCCACCATCAGCAACACCCACTGCACCATCTGCGGTGACCTCCGTCAGCGCCGCTCTCGTTGAGCAGCTGGTCGCCCGCATCAATGCTCTTGAAAGCCATCAAGCCATGAGCATCGATGGCTCAAGCTTCGCACGTGGGGTTGCTGGACTTCCTCTCCGTGGAGAAGACCGCCGCGTCAACTCTGAGAGATCATTCACGTTTGACAACCGTCAAGCTTCAGCTCCTGCGCAAGACAGCCAACAACGCGCACACGCAGATACGATTTCAGCAATACATACAAAATTCGTTCTAACATCAAAGCTGAAGACATCAGTCCCTACAAATGCGCAAATTTGGATGTACTACGACGGCAGCTTACCGTTTCCAACGGAAGGCACCATCCAAGAGAAGAACCAATACTACCACGAATCTCTTCTCGCGTACACCACTTTGCTCCGAAATCTCTCCCCCGACGAACAGCTCGGCATTCGCTCCTACAAATCAGAGTGGGCACCCGCGTATGCCTCATGGGAGCACCTGCGCAACTCATACATGGCAACAGATCCAGTTACAATGAGTCGCCTTCTCAGCCAGCTCACATCAGTCAAAATGCATCAAGGGGAGAAAGCGGGACCGTATATCAACCGGTGCCGCAATCTGCGCGACCACATCAAGAAGTGCGGTGGATCAGTCCCAGACGACATGTTCGTCTCAATGGTCCTCTCCGGTCTCGGACCCGACTGGCGTCAATGCCAATCCCTGCTCCGTGCTCGAGCAACTGTCTCCGAATCGGCCCTGTGCGCCACTCTTCTCTCCGAGCAAAAGGAGATCGACCTGTACAACGAGAAGAACACCAAGCGAGAGACGTTAGTCTTCTACGTCGGAGCATCTGAAGGGGAGCAACACGGAAAGAAGGGAACCTTTTGCAAATACTGCAAGAAACCTGGTCACACTATTGATCGGTGTTACAAGCGAAAGGCCGCCGACGAAAGGCGCAACAACCCCTCCAACCAACAGTCATCCGCTCCCTCGACCTCCGCCGCAACAGCTACCATCTCGCCTCCCTCCGTCGCAAGCTCTTCACAGACACCTGCGCGCTTTACCACCAAGGACGAGGGCAAGGGGACAATCATGAGCTGCATGGCTCGCCGCAACAGAGGAATTCGATACTACGATCAAATAACTTTCCCATTTGACAACCCCATCGACCCTGTTGCACCACGGCAAGACAACGACCCCACTGGCCCAACCTGGTACAACTTACAACAGAGGCACCCACCTGATTTCGAGCTGCCGCCGCCGACACCAGAATCACCTCCTAGCATTTCGGCGAACCGGTATTTTGCTCTCTCGCCGTACACCGGCGAAATGGATCGCGTCGTCACGCCGAAAATCGCCAACATCGCGCGACAGAGCCGCGAAGCCATCAACACCTGGTACCTGGACAGTTGCTGCGGGCAGCACATGGTGAGATCGCCAACATTTATCACCAACTCCAAACGCATGCGACGACCCTGCGAAATCACAGTGGCAAATGACGGCACACTCAAGGCATACGACATCGGTGAGATCTTCCTTGAAGCTAACGACACACACTTCACAATTCACATCGGCGATGTGCTCGCCGCTCCAGATCTGCGGTACAACCTTCTTTCCTCGGCTCAGCTTATGCGGTGCGGAGTCGATATTCGAAGCAACCGCAAGGACAAGACCTTCGAACTTTTCTACGGCAACACTTACATCGGCAAAGCCGTGGACAACGACGGGGTTTTCGTGCTGCAGTTCTCAGCTCAAGGCACCTTAGGAGACTCTCACCGCACCCTGCTGTTGAAGACAACCACTGCAGAAGCTCCAACTTGGTCACATCCCACAGAGATGGATCTCGAGCGACCCGCCTCGGACGGCCTCCTACGACTGCGTACGGTCCCGACAGCCTCGACCTCCAACCCAGCTGAGACCGGACCTGCATCAATGGAAGAAGATATCGAGACGTCAGCATCTGCGGAACAATCCGCCAAAGGAAAGGAGAAGGTCGGAACCGAACCAGTCAGCCCTGGCCCTGCACTCGGTCCCTTAGGAGAAGTTCTAACACCCGAGGAAGCAGCTGCAGGAGACCGGGGCACCATCTCTGCAACAGAAGCCAGCGGTGCCGTCGGAGGTGGCTGGATCACAGAAGGCGGTTGGGGCGAAACGCAAGGGGGTTGGGGCGAAGGAGTTGGCAGGAGCGCCGAAGAGAATCCCGGCGGCTGGGGCACCTCTGCATACGCAAGCAGCTGGGGCACCTCTGCAGGCGCAAGCGGCTGGGGCATCTCTGCAGAGGAAGCGGAATTGAGGCAAGAAGTTCCCGCATATCCAGAAGCTCCGGGACTTCCTTCCGCAGAAACGGCAGCGATCGACCCTTACTGGGCAACACGAGGCACCAGCTGGGGTGGCCCTCCTCTTCCGGACCAGTACGCTCCTGACACACCAGAACCAATGCAAGAAGAGTCAGAAGAAGAAGTGACTTACGAATTCTTCGACGAATCAGCTGAACTTCCGGAACCTACCGAGGAACCGCCGGCAACAGTACAAGGTCCCCAGGAGATTGAAGTCATCGGGGCCGAGTATAGCTACTTCCGAATTCCCATGAAGGGACTCCCGGTTCGCGACTGGCCCAATCAGTGCCTGCTCGTCACTGGAGACCAAGTTGACGCCGGCGACACCGACGACACCGACGACATCATTGGTATCCCCCACGCGCTTCTGGAACGGAAGTCAATTCACGCATTCGCCGCCGAGGCTGACGACGCTGCCGACGCGGGACCTGAAGGGGAGGCAAGCGACGACGCAGCAAGACACAAATATTATCAGAAAACGGTCGGCTACCGTGCGGAACCAGCAATTTGGCACCAGCGACTCGGGCATCCCTCACATGCAACCCTCAAGAACTCCCTGCAAGCTGGCGTTTTTGACAACGAAGCTCTGCTCCTCCCACGAGGAGGATTCCTTACCGCAGGCTCTGAAGACCCGCCGTGCACAGTATGTCCCGCCGCGTCGCTCGCCCACAAGCCTTTCCCCGACTTGCCGCCCGGCTACGAACGCTACAAACCACTCGAGAAAGTCCACAGCGACTTCATGTGCTTGACGCAGGAAGGACTCGATGGCGAAAACTACACGCTGACCTTCATCGACGCCAGCACTCGCCACGTTTGGGCTGTCAATACCGACTGCAGATCACTTGCCTTCGAATGCTTCATCGCGTGGATGAAGCGAGCTGAACGACAATCGGGACTTAAACTGAAGTGCTGGCAAACGGACGGAGCTCTGGAGTTCTTCTCAGACGAATTCAAGGAGCTCTTCCGGAAGAAGGGGATTGAACATATGGTGTCCCTGCCCTACGCTCACGATTAGCAAGGAGTAGCAGAACGGATAAACAGGAGCCTCGCCACCAGGATGAGGGCCCTGATGAAGCAGTCAGCCATCCCACCTCGTTACTGGCCGTTCGCCATGAACCATGCAGTTCGACTGCACAACTTGTTGTGACCACGAGGGGCAGAAGGATGAACCCTGTTGGGTCTGGATTAGTAAGGAGAGGGGAGGGAGGGAAGGGAGGGGAGGGAGGGACAGGAGGGAGGTGCATGTAAGGTCGATGATGACATGTGTGGGGTCTGGAGTGGGAGAGTGTGAAGCAAACGAGTGGGATGGGGGGGAAATCAGGGGAGGGCAAAGAGTGAAAGAAGTGCTGCAAGGGAAGCAAACCTACTGTCGATGGCGCAGTGCTGTGCCACATGTGCCCCCAGCACCATCGACGCCACCGCCTCCGCTGCAGCCAGGCTATCATAGCATCACTCTTGAGAATTCCTAGTAGGAAGGGAAGCAAACCTACTGTCTATGGCGCAGTGCTGTGCCACATGTGCCCCCAGCACCATCGATGCCACTGCCTCCGCTGCAGCCAGGCTATCATAGCATCACTCTTGAGAATTCCTAGTAGGAAGGGAAGCAAACCTACTGCCTATGGCGCAGTGCTGTGCCACATGTGCCCCCAGCACCATCGATGCCACTGCCTCCGCTGCAGCCAGGCTATCATAGCATCACTCTTGAGAATTCCTAGTAGGAAGGGAAGCAAACCTACTGTCTATGGCGCAGTGCTGTGCCACATGTGCCCCCAGCACCATCGATGCCACTGCCTCCGCTGCAGCCAGGCTATCATAGCATCACTCTTGAGAATTCCTAGTAGGAAGGGAAGCAAACCTACTGTCTATGGCGCAGTGCTGTGCCACATGTGCCCCCAGCACCATCGATGCCACTGCCTCCGCTGCAGCCAGGCTATCATAGCATCACTCTTGAGAATTCCTAGTAGGAAGGGAAGCAAACCTACTGTCTATGGCGCAGTGCTGTGCCACATGTGCCCCCAGCACCATCGATGCCACTGCCTCCGCTGCAGCCAGGCTATCATAGCATCACTCTTGAGAATTCCTAGTAGGAAGGGAAGCAAACCTACTGTCTATGGCGCAGTGCTGTGCCACATGTGCCCCCAGCACCATCGATGCCACTGCCTCCGCTGCAGCCAGGCTATCATAGCATCACTCTTGAGAATTCCTAGTAGGAAGGGAAGCAAACCTACTGTCTATGGCGCAGTGCTGTGCCACATGTGCCCCCAGCACCATCGATGCCACTGCCTCCGCTGCAGCCAGGCTATCATAGCATCACTCTTGAGAATTCCTAGTAGGAAGGGAAGCAAACCTACTGTCTATGGCGCAGTGCTGTGCCACATGTGCCCCCAGCACCATCGATGCCACTGCCTCCGCTGCAGCCAGGCTATCATAGCATCACTCTTGAGAATTCCTAGTAGGAAGGGAAGCAAACCTACTGTCTATGGCGCAGTGCTGTGCCACATGTGCCCCCAGCACCATCGATGCCACTGCCTCCGCTGCAGCCAGGCTATCATAGCATCACTCTTGAGAATTCCTAGTAGGAAGGGAAGCAAACCTACTGTCTATGGCGCAGTGCTGTGCCACATGTGCCCCCAGCACCATCGATGCCACTGCCTCCGCTGCAGCCAGGCTATCATAGCATCACTCTTGAGAATTCCTAGTAGGAAGGGAAGCAAACCTACTGTCTATGGCGCAGTGCTGTGCCACATGTGCCCCCAGCACCATCGATGCCACTGCCTCCGCTGCAGCCAGGCAGAACGCCTCACACGCCCTCGCTGCCCCCCGTGCCATGCCCACGCCCACCTGCATGGGGAGGAGGAGGATAAGAGGGTAGGGAATAGAGGGAAAACCAGTGCTGTGCCACGTGTGCCCCCAGCACCATCGATGCCACTGCCTCCGCTGCAGCCAGGCAGAACGCCTCACACGCCCTCGCTGCCCCCCTCGCCATGCCCACCCCCACCTGCTCTCCACAGACGCATGGAGAAAGATACGAGAGCAGGGGTGAGAGGGAAGAAGACAAGAGTTTTTTTAATATATTTTTTAAGCAACTTGATGCAGGGGGTAATACAGAGAGGAGGGAGGAGCGAGAAGCGAGTTTTGACGACCCTTCAAAACAGGCCTTCAGAAAAAAAAAAAAACCTCGAAAACAGACCCACCATGTCAGCAACAGCAACAACATTGGCGCCGCCTCCTGCTGCCTCAGATGCGCTTCTGTCCATCCTCGATATAAGCTTGTGGCCCAGAGCCAGGGAGCGGGAGAAGATGGACGGCGGGAGGTGGTAGAAGAGAGACACGACTGCCGCCCCGAAACAGAAGCAGACAAGCAATGCCGGCACTGCGGTGGGAGGGGTGAGTAGGGGGAGGATGGAGGGAAGGTGAGGTACGGAGGAGAGGATAAGAGGCAGAATCAAGATGAGGCAAGAGAGTGAAGTTGCGTAATATTTTCGACTTTTTGCTGCTTGCTTACAATCAGTGGGCTTAAGTCCTGCTGAAGCCATAGCCGAGCCCGCAGATGCAGCAGAGGCAGCCGAGGCGGAGAGGCCCCCCTCCAATGATGCATATCAAGCAAGCACAAAGTCAACACAGGAAAGCCGTTTTTTTGTGCTTACAATCAGTGGGCTTAAGTCCTGCTGAAGCCATAGCCGAACCCGCAGTAGCGGCCGAGGCAACAGTGGCGGAGAGGCCTCTTCGTTTTTGTGCAGCGAGGGAGGCGGGGAGCGGGGCGAGGTGCATGTGGAAGAAGGCGAGCAGGGCGCTGTAGTTGATGCCCAGCCCCACCACCGGCACTGCTGCCACCACCAGCGCTGCTGCTCCCGCTGCACGAATCGCCACCTGTGGGTGGGGAGCGGTTGAGAACGATACGCATGGGAGGGGTTGACAGAACCATATGCATGGGGTATTGTGCAAGAAAGGAAGAAGAAGGCGAGCAGGGCGCTGTAGTTGATGCCCAGCCCCACCACCGGCACTGCTGCCACCACCAGCGCTGCTGCCCCCGCTGCTCGGATTGCAACCTGGGGATGGGGAGGGTTGTTGCGTTAACTTGTGGTAGCCCTTGTTGCGCTAACTTTGTGGTAGCCCTAACTCGGCTTCCAGTCATTCTCTCTCTTGCCTACCTCCACAACCTCATTTTCTCCCCAACCCCTCACTCCCTTTCCTTTCTTGGAAAATTCCGAACGCACCATTTCTTGGCCTCTGCCTACAGTTGATTATTTAGTGTGGTTGTGCTGCCGTCAAGACAGGGACACGAGTGTGTTCTGGTTTTCTCACCTGAAGGGCCTCCTGAGGGGATCGCCTGGCAGCAACAGCAATCCTGGCAGCAGCCAGCACGGACAACCACACAGCAGCGTGTGCAGCAAGAGTCATGCAGAACCCTCCCAGGAGGAAGGAGAGGAGAGAAGCGAAATGACAATGTCTTTGTTCTTTTACCTGAAGGGCCTCCTGAGGGGATCGCCTGGCAGCAGTGGCAATCCTGGCAGCAGCCGGAACAGACACCCACACAGCAGCATGCGCGGCAAGGGCCATGCAGGATCCTCCCAGGAGGAAAGAAGGAGAGCAGCGAGACGACAACATGCGTTTTTTTACCTGAAGGGCCTCTTGGGGGGATCGCCTGGCAGCAGCAGCAATCCTGGCAGCAGCAGGCACGGACACCCACACTGCAGCGTGCGCAGCAAGAGCCATGCAGGAGCCTCCCAGGAGGAAGGAGAGCAGCGAGACGAAGGCGAGCAGCGAGCGGTGCACCCCGGTGGCTTCCTGCTGAGGCGAGAGCTGGTGGGAGAGGTGGATGAGCGCGACCAGCATGGTGGCCACTAGGACCGCCTTGGCTGCTGCTGCTGTCACGGCTGCTCGCAGCGTGGACGCTCCCCTTTGGACCGCTGCTGTCACCTGTCGAGGTCAAGGGGAGTGAAGAGGAGTGGGGAAATGGGAACAAGGAAGGGAGGGAGAGACGAAGGCGAGCAGGGAGCGGTGCACGCCGGTGGCCTCCTGCTGAGGCGAGAGCTGGTGGGAGAGGTGGATGAGCGCCACCAGCATGGTGGCCACTAGGACCGCCTTGGCTGCTGCCGCTGTTACGGCTGCTCGCAGCGTGGACGCTCCCCTTTGAACCGCTGCTGTCACCTGGTGTGGGCAGGGAGGAGCGCAAGAGGGGTGACGAAGACTGAGACGACTTTTGAGGCGCCTCAAAAGTCGCAGCGTGGCCGCTCCCCTTTGGACCGCTGCTGTCACCTGATGTGGGCAGGGAGGAGTGCAAGAGGGGTGACGAGGACTGAGGAGGAAATTTTTGAGTCGACTCAAAAATAGGATGCCCCCCGCTGCACTGCTGCTGTCACCTGGTGTGGGCAGGCAGGGAGGAGCGCAAGAGGGGTGGCGAGGACTGAGGAGGAAATGGGAGTGGCTAACGATGGGATGGAGGAGAGAGGGAGCAGCGCACGCCCATGACCTCCTGCCGAGGCGTGATGTCTAAAACAAAAAAACAAAAACATACTGAAAACGAAATTGCTAACAATGTGAAGACAGTGTGAGTGAGTGACCACGACGTGTGGGAGGGAAAGGGGGTGAGGCAGACAAAGAGCACAACAAGCAGGTTGACAGGGAGTGAGGAGGTCTGGAGCTGCTCCTCACCCCCATCCCCCAACCCAACCCCCACAACCACCCCCACCCCCAACCCACCTTTGGTCATCATATTTGGTCCGCATCCAGGAGCCGAGCAGCCAGGGGAGCACGGGGACAGGAAGTGCAAAGAGGCAAAGAGCCAGGGGAGCACGGGGACAGGAAGTGCAAAGAGGCAAAGAGCCAGGGGAGCACGGGGACAGGAAGTGCAAAGAGGCAAAGAGCCAGGGGAGCACGGGGACAGGAAGTGCAAAGAGGCAAAGAGCCAGGGGAGCACGGGGACAGGAAGTGCAAAGAGGCAAAGAGCCAGGGGAGCACGGGGACAGGAAGTGCAAAGAGGCAAAGAGCCAGGGGAGCACGGGGACAGGAAGTGCAAAGAGGCAAAGAGCCAGGGGAGCACGGGGACAGGAAGTGCAAAGAGGCAAAGAGCCAGGGGAGCACGGGGACAGGAAGTGCAAAGAGGCAAAGAGCCAGGGGAGCACGGGGACAGGAAGTGCAAAGAGGCAAAGAGCCAGGGGAGCACGGGGACAGGAAGTGCAAAGAGCACGGCAGCAGCGGCGACGAGGAAGACGGGGATGAGCACCGGGGAGGTGAGCGAGGCCAGCAGGAACGCCAGCAGGAAGGGCGAGCAGGCAGACGAGCAGCGGGGCTAGCAGGAAGGCGAGAAGGTGGGCAGAGAACGCATGGGCCTTGTTGCTATCCCTGAGAGCCAACCCACCTGTCTGAGGGTGTTCCCGCCGTCATCTCTGGACCGCACCCAGGAGGCTAGTAGCGAGGCAAAGAGCACGGCAGCAGCGGCGAGGAGGAAGACGGTCAGTGCCATCCCAACCCACAAGCTTCCCCTCCCCCTCCCCCCCCCACCTAAACCTAGACTAACAACCCACCTGTCTGAGGGTGTTCCCGCCGTCATCCCTGCTCCGCACCCAGGAGGCGAGTAGCGAGGCAAAGAGCATGGCAGCAGCGGCGAGGAGGAAGACGGGGATGAGCACCGGGGAGGTGAGCGAGGCGAGTAGGAACGCCAGCAGGAAGGGCGCTGCGACTAGCAGCCTCGCCACCTTTATTCCACGGAACAGATCAGGACTCTGGGAAAGGGGGTGGGGAGAAGGGGGGTTATGTTGTGGGAAGGGGGGTGCAGGTGATAAGCAACGGTGAAGCTGGCAGAAGGCTATTTGCAAGAAGGGCGACCCTACTAGCAGTCTCACCACCTTTATTCCACGGAACAGACCAGGACTCTGGGGAAGGGGGTGGGGAGGGGACGGGGAAAAGGTGAGAGAAGGTCAGGGTTCTTGGGGGACTGGGGAGGAAGAGTGGGGGGAGGGCGGGAGGGGAAGGGCAAGGGGGAAAAAAACAGCTAGCCGAACAGCATGAGTGAAGCGGAGCGAGCTAAGGAGCTAGGCGGATCTTACGGGCAATCGAGAACGAAAACAATGGGCACTCAAAAGGAAAAACTGGTCGTAAAATGGATCAGAAATTCCAAACAATAAAGATTCAGGGCGGGGAGAGCACTGACGAGGTCGGGCACCACCACCACATGCTGCGCTAGACTGTCCTCGAACGGCGTCCGCGCCATGGGCTGACTCGTTTATAGGCGCCGATAGAGCAGGCCTGGGATGAGCTACCGTCAAGTGCGGACCAATCAGCGGCTGCTCTGAAGGGGTTTGCGGTGCTGGGAGAATGTTGGTTTGGAGGAGGAAGGGAAGGGGATGGGGGAGGAGGAGGGGGAGAGATGGAGAGGGGTAAGGTTTGGGGAGGTTGCAGTCATAATCCACCAGGTCAGCAGTCAGGTTATGAGGCCATGGCAGATGCTAACGTTTGCGAGAGTAGCGACTCTTGAATAGGAGCTGGGTAGAAGAGGTGTAGGGTTGACTCAATGAGACCTGGACGTACGAGCTGCAGCTTGACGGCCTACATCCGCGTTGTGAGTTCGCTCACGAATAAGGCAAGGACGTTCACGCCTCGCAGCTGCATTCACGCACTCGCATTCTCGTATTCGCAATCGCATTCGCTTATTCACAGTCGAATTCTCGCAATCCATTCTCGTATTCGCAGTCGCAATCGCATTCACGTTCTCTCAGTCGCCAGCCTCACAGTCGCATTCTCGCAATCGAATATTCGCACTAAGCCATTCCCGCACTCGCGATGGGGAGTCAATGCCACCATTGTCAATCTCACCTGTAAATTAGGAGGTGAGCGGCACGGTAAGCTTCAGATGTATCTAATATGGAATCGCAACATTCGGATTCGACAGAGCGCGGCCATGGTAGGTGAAGCGTCCCGTTGAAGCCCCTGAGCAGGTGCCAGTCTCACTCAACTCCTGATTTTGTTTTGCTGCTCAGGAAGTGAAGTGACCTGAACACCCTTGTTGCTGCTTGCGACAAAATCGAGGGAAGTGTTCGGTAGAGGATAATTCGAATAACTGACGGCTTTAGTATGTGGAAAGAATTAGAGTTTAGAAAAACCAGCCTGCTAATGTTTACTTTCAGCACAAGTTCACAATACAAGCAGGCGATTCATGTCAATTCCTTATAAACAATAAACCACAAGCATCTCCTGAAAGCATCACCAGATTGTTTGCCATCCACGTTCACAGGCAGAAGAAACCCCGACACCACATGAAACTTGAGCACTTGCAGTTTCCTGCCCTTGCAACCCAGGTGATTACTTTCCCTTGTAACCAGCAGTCTGCCTCTCACAACCGAACCCAGTGTACCACCACCACAGTGTTGCGAAATAGTAGAAATTTCTTACCGCTATTCCAGCGGTACTCTGCATCAACAACTCTTCTCATCCATCTCAACTTAAATCCCCTCCCCAGTCTCCGCTCTTCCTTCCCCAACGCTCCCTCTCTCTCCTCTCCCCCTCAACCTCAACTTCCTCCAAACTCTTCCTGTGCCTCCCCCTTCCATTCACCAATAGCATCCTCACCTCACCATGCAAGAAACATCTTTCTACCGTAAATTCCATAGCCATTCCACTTAAAGCCTTTGTCACTCCACCCTTCCACTCAGAAAGCCCCATCCTTACCTCACGGTTCGACATCAAGGTAATCTGCATCGTCCACCTCACTCCATATTCCAGCCCTCTTCCCCATACCCCTCGGCTTCCTTGACTTACCTCGCCCTCTTGCTCTCCAAGGCCATTTCGCCTGCAGCCCACAGTGCATGTCCGCACAAGAACCTGCTAATGAGAATGTGTGGCCCCTTCACCTACCACTCCTCCACCATCCATCTCCCCCATTCGTCGGGGGTTCTTCACTTTGGCACCGCAGTGCCGGCAGCAGAACCGAGCGTGCCGCACATACATGTGGAAATGGTCCAAACTCACACACGCATGGTCGGAAACCCCCTCCCCTTGCTGCCACTGGCACCTCCTTTTAATCTCATCTCTCCCCACTCTTCCAATCCCAGTAACTTCTGCCCCCGAACTCCCGTCCTCTCCCTCTCTGCCCTCCTCTGCCTCTCTCCCCCCTCCTGCCCCTGCCCCTGACTCTTCCATTCACCGGGGGTTTTTCACCTTGGCACCACAGTGTCGGCAGCAGAACCGGGTGTGACGCACATACATGTGGAAATGGTCCAGGCTGCCACACGCGTGATGGGAAAACCCCTCCCTCCCCGGCGCCTGCTTGTCCCTAAACCCCACGCCGTGCCGCCCGCAGAATCCAATCGCCTTCACCTCGGGCAGCTGCAGCAGACTGGGCGGCAGATAGTCCAAACCGCAGCCGTCCACCACGAGAATGTGCAGACGGGGGAGTGCGCCGCCCAAGACTCGGTTGGTGGTTCTAGTAGCTGCCCCAGCGGCAGTAGTGGCGGTGGTGGTGGCTGTGGGTGTCGCGGCGGGGGTGGCAGTCGCAGTGGCAGTAGCAGTAGTGGTGGTGGTAGCTGTGGTGGTGAGAGACGCAACGGGGATGCTAGAATTCACAGCAGGGGTGGTGGCAGGTCTGGATTCTGTGAAGGGATTCGGGTTTGATTCAGCCGGAGCATTGCTGCTGGGAGCGCAGCTGCTGGGAGCACTGCCGAACGCACTGCTGCTACTGGGAGTGCTGCTGACAGCACTGCTTCTGCCTTGATCCTTTGCTCCTCCTCCACCTGCTGCCGCGCCGCTGCCACCTGCTGCTGTGCTAGCTGCACCATCTGTGCCGAACCTGCTTCCACCCAGGCCAAAGGCCGCACTGAACGAAAAGAAACTGCTGATGGGGGTAGCGCTGCTAGTGGATGCTGCAACAAGAGCCCTTGCTGGTGGTGGTGGTGGTGGTGGCGGCGGTGGTGGTGGCGGTGGTGGCGGTGCAGTGGTAGGTGCTGCTGCTGCCGATGTGGCTGCTGCTGACGTGGCTGCTAGAGGAGTGACTGCTGGCGAGACAAATGCAGGCACGAAATTCCCAGCACCAAGCGAAGCAGAGGCAGGCGGAGGTGGGGGGATGACAGACAGCAGAGGGTTGCAAGCAGCAGAAGGGCTGGACGACGGAGGAAGATTGAAGGACGCAGGGGACGGCCCAGGAGCGGCAGAGAGGCGCAGGGAGGAGTAGAGGCCGTGCGGGAAGGAGTTTTCAAAGTAGGCGAGCAGAGGCGGGCTGCCGGACAGCCAGCCCTCGAGGTAATGAAGGTGGGAGAGACGCGAGAGCACCCTCTCATAGTGGTGCAGATGCCGTGCCGGCCGGAACGATGCTGATGATGATGGTGATGAGGAAGATGATGGGATGTGTGGGGATCGGAATGTCGACGTCCCAGTTGCTGTGGATGTGGTAGGGAAGGGGAAGTGCACGGGAGAGTCATCGTCCCACGTCTCCTCTTCGTTCTCTGATCCATTGCCCTCCTCATCATCATCAGTCTCACTCTCCTCCTCTTCTTCCTCATCACTCACGTAACTCTCATCATCCTCCTCATCCGAAGAATCTCCCTCGAATTCATCATCGTCATCATCTACCGCTGCTTTCCCCACCCGCCTCCTCCCCATCCCACTCCCCTCCCCTCGCCCCGCTCCCTCCATCCCTCCCCCTCTCACTCTCCTCCATCCCGCACCGGCCCACCTCCGCCTCTTCCTCCCCCCTTCTCTCTCCCCCTCTGCTCCCTCCAGCCCAAAGCCAAGGTCGTCTAAAGCAGGGCAATCCGCTACAATCAGCTCCGTTAGGGTTTCCCACTGCTTCAGGGCGTTGGGGGGGAGGGAAGCCAATCGCCAGCAGTCATGGATCACCAGGCACTGTAGCACGGGCAGGTTCGCCATGGAAACGGGCAGCTCCTCCAGGCGCGGGCAGAGTGACAGGCCAAAAACTTTCAGCGCGGGCAGCTGCCCGAGAAAGTCGGGCAGGCGTTCGAGAGACGGGAGCTTGAGCAGGAGCAGCGTGTCAAGGGCAGGAAGCTGCCCGAGGTCTTCGGGCAGGGAAGTGAGCGAAGCACAGTCGGAAATCTCCAGGAAACGGAGGGAGGAAAGGGTGGCGGAGAGGTGTGGTGGGTTGGTGAGTGGGAGGGGTAGGCCATGGAAAGAATACGGCCCTGGAGCAGCAGCAGCAGCAGCAGCAGCAGCAGCAGCAGTAGCAGCAGCAGCAAAAGAAGGTGACCTGGTTGTGTTGCTGAGTGTATTGGTGGTGGGGAATGCGGGTGCGGGCGCATTAAGGCCAAACAGCGTGCTGACAGCCGATGCATGAGCAGCATCAGAATGAGCATCAGCAGCAGCAGCAGCAGAAGTCGAAGCATCTTCAAGAGACAATTCATCCAGTGACCTGTGCCGCTCACGCCGCTCCAACAGACCAAATCCAACCAAGCCTACAGCCCTCAACCCGCCAGCGTTCCCACCGCCAACACCCAATGCAGAGGACGCAACGCGGAAGGGCGGCAGGATCGTCAAATGCCTGGCGCCATTCACGCAGAGCCGCTCCAGCCCCGACAGATGCGCCCAGGACTCAGGCACCTCCCGCAACGCATCGCACCCCTCTACCTCCAACACTCGCAGCCCCCCCAGGTGCCCTATCGACTCTGGTAACCCTACCAGACTCGGCAGCTGCTTTAACTCCATACTCTCAAGCCTCACCAGACACCCTATGTCTTCGGGCAGACTCGCTAGCCTCTCGCATCGGACAACTTCTAGGGTTACTAGGGCTGTCAGCTGCGCTGTGCCGGCCGGAAGAAGCTGTAGCGCGCTACAGTCGCTCAGGCGGAGGCGGGAGAGGCGGGAAAGCTCGGCGAGCGAATCCGGGAGGGCGGTCAGCGCAGCGCACTGCGACAGATGGAGTTCCTCGAGATTGGATAACCCGCCTAGGGAATCCGGGAGGCATGTGAGGCGCTCCGATTCCAGTTTGAGCACTCGGAGGGTTCCCACGCGGCCTAGGGTTTCGGGAAGCATCAGGAGGTCGAACGCGTTGATCTCGAGGTGCTCCAGCGCGGGCAGATCGCCGATGGACGGTGGGAGATGGTGGAAGCAACGGCTGGAGATGCGGATGGTGCGGAGGGAGGAGAGGAGGGAGAGGTTGCAGTGAGTGGAGGTGAAGCGAGAGAGGGTGCTTACAGATGGTTGACCTAGGTGCTCGCTTTGACCGAGTTCTAGGGCTTCGAGTTGTGTTAGGAGGTTGACGGTGGGCGGGAGGGCGGAGACGCGCCGGTAGGAAAGGAGACGGATGACCTGGAGCCGCGGGCAGGCGCGAAATAAATTGGACAGACCGGCTTCGCTGAAGCGCGTGCGTTGCTGGTAGCCTACGTGGAGGAGATTAAGATTGGGACACGTCACGCCTAATCCGCAGAGGAGCAGGTCATCCGCGTCATAGACGGTTCGGTCGGCGACTATAAGGTGGGTAAGCAGCGGGAATCGCGCGAGCGACTTAAGGAGCTTCTGCGTGGAAATTTCGTGTGTCACGTGGACGTAGGTGCGGCCTAGGCAGGATAGCTGGTACCAGCGCTTGCAAACTAAGGCGTGGTCGAAGGAGCGGCGCGTGACGTAGTGTAGAACGCGAGCTAAGACATCGTCAGGTAGGTCGTTAAGAGGGAACGGCTGAGTGCAGGCGAAAAGCCGCAGCGAGGTGGAAGGGAAAAAAGAGCTCCACATGTTGGATTGGACGTGGCTCCTAATTAGGGTTTGAATAGGCAGCCTACAAAGGTAGGAGTCGGGACAAGTGATTGTGCTAATGCTTGGAACATAAGTCAGGAGCTTAAACTGGACGCAACTAACGATCCGCACGGCAAGAAACCGATGCTTCGACGAAAAGCACGTGCCATGGTGAGGCGGTAAGGTGCGAGCTTCGCACAAACAAAGCCACACTTGTGGGTAGTGGGTCACTACTAATTGGAAATTCCACCTCGATGCATATAGGGTGGGGGATGAGGGAAGCGGTGTGACTGTAAATGCCCCTAGACTCCACTGTTAGGTCGGTTCAACCATAGATAGAGTGACCTAAACGAATTCACGAGCGTTCAGCTGCGTCTGCGAAACTACTAGAATTCGGTAGCAACGTCTTCGTGTAGAGAAGAGACGAGTGTGTGAATGGGGCAGTTTGCAAGGTCGTATCGTGTGGGGCCTGGTCCTCGGGGTCAACCGTGGACGACCTGACCGAAACCAGAGCAACAGCTCCATTCATCGTCACCGTCGCGACGTTTTGTCGAATAGTAATCCGACGGCTTTCATTTTGTGGGTGATTCGTGAAGCACGGAAAAATGTTGTCCTCGGCAGGAATACACGCGGAAACGTCATATGCCGTGTGGCTTGGGGCAAGCTGGCTTGGCGTGTGATGTGCCTTGCAACTGCAATTGTCCATAGCGCGTCACCGAATTGATGCGGTACAGAATGATTCGCTAGCCTCATAGCATGGTACACCTCTCTGTTATTTGCTACGTGTTGTCGCATAGACAGGACAACTAATAGGAACTTATGCAACCATCCTGCATTCTGGCTTTCTTTTTCACTACACACGTGTAATATCTCTCAATCTTCATCAACCATGTCATTAACTTGCTCTAGGAAGTTGCGCACTTGTGCTGCTGAAAGGAGCATCACTAGGCGAAGGTGTTGAAAGCCCTTCAGCTGTCAAAGCAACCATGAAATGGGTAGGGGAGGGGAGGGGGGGGAGGGGGGGGGGGGGGGGTGGGGGGGGGTGGGGGAGGGTTAGAATTACGGTAGTGAGAGCGAGCCGATGGGGGGGAACGAAAAGGGAGGGGGAGGAGAAGAAGAGGGATTGGAGGGAGCAAGGGGGTTGAGGAGGAAATGTAAGGGGTACAAAGAGGGGAGCATACAACTCTCTACACATCACGACTCACATGCACCTGTACCAGAAACACGACTACCGGAATGAGCAACTGAGGACAGCCGGAGCATGATAAAAGCTGACAAGCAGATAGTTAATGCCAGTTGTTTGGGTGGTTCGATGTTCAGCAAAACCTTACTAACAAGGTTGGAGACCTTCGATGGTGTTTGGATGACAAGCGCAAAGAGAGAGAGAATTGGGAAGGGACACCCTAGCTGACCTGTCTGGAGGCCATGACGTCAGCATGGACTGGGAAGGAATATGATGATGTGGCGAGCTGCATGGCAACAGATGGGTGGGAAATGGTGCGAAGAAGCAAGCAGAGCACATGAGACACATGGTGGACTTTTGAGGTGCCTCAAAAGAATGCACTAACTCGGAGCCATGAGGCATGTGGCATGACATGTGGTATGCGGCGGGATGGTGAAAGATACAGATGCATGGTGGATGCGGCTGCACAGGATGGCCTACCTTCTTGAGCAGCTCGTCCTCTGGCTTGGGAAAGAACAGCTCTGAGGCGCTGCTCCCCGCTCCCTCTGCCTGTATAATGAGTCGATTTATAAGTCGACCAAACAATGGCCCACCTTCTTGAGCAGCTCGTCCTCTGGCTTGGGAAAGAACAGCTCTGAGGCGCTGCTCCCCGCTCCCTTGGCCTGCTTCCTTGCCGCCTGCACACGGCCATGCGGCATTGGATGACGGCATATGGTCACATCAGCCGACTTGGGTTACTCGTGCAATGGTGATGAGATGCGGTCATGTCAATGCATGAGGACTGCATGGAAGGCTGGATCTAGACTTTCACATCTGCAGGCTTGCCCATGGCTGTGGTGCGTGCCAGGTGGGTGCCAGGTGGTGCGTGCCAGGTGGGTGCCAGGTGGGTGCAGGCCGTGGTGTGACCTTACATGGTGAGGTCAAACCACAGAAGAAGTGTGTCGAGCCTATTTTATGGTCGACTCAAAAATAAGTGTGTCCAAAGGGTGAAAGGATGCAATTACATCATTACAGCATTGTTGCCACATCCCTGCTTTATACAAATGGGTGCTCTGCAGCTGTAACCTGAGCGACCATGCGTTAGAAGAACTCCTGTGTAGAATTGAGCACAGCCATTACCTTGCCGCCTGTCTGGCGGTACATGCGCGTGAGAATCAGGAACTTCTCCACCGGTGCTCCCTTCTCCAGCTGCCACGTGGACCAATAAGGGGGAGAGTGGCGAGGTAAGGTGGGAATACAGGTGGAGGGGGAGGAGGGGATAGGATAGGAGGAGGAAAGAGGCAAAACAGGATGGTGAATCTATGGCTTTGCAAAACTAAGGCGCACCACCTGTACCTCTCCTCCTTGTGAGAGAAGAGAACCCCCTGGATTGTTGTGCAACAGCACAGATTACTGACCCACCATCGGCTGCAGCGGTTTCAGGTTTGGAGTTCCGGTTTCAGGGTTTTGGGTTTGAAGGATGTGAGATTTCAGGTTCAACGTTTTGGCTTTTAGGGTCCGTGACCCACCATGGGCTGCAACATGCTTCTAAAGAGGTGTGGCACGAGTTGGAAGGGCAGGTTGGCCACACGCTCGCACACCACCACACCCACACGCCCCCTCTGCACTGCAGCACTCCCCGCTGTTCGAGGTTTCATATTCAGGGGCTCAGATTCAGGATTTAGGGTTTCTGGTTTCAGATACAAGATTTAGGGTTTCTCGTTCAGGGTTTGACTTGGGGACTGGGACCCACCATGGGTTGCAGCGTGGTTCTGAAGAGGTGAGGCACGAGTTGGAAGGGAAGGTTGGCCACCCGATCGCACACCACCACACCCAGACGGCCCCTATGCATCACCCCTATCCCCACAGCTCGAGGTTTCGGATTCAGGAGCTCAGATGCAGAAATATGGGCTTATGGATTCAGATTTGGGGTTTCGGGTTTTGGCTTCAGCGACCTATGACCCACCATGGGTTGCAGAGTGCTTCGAAAGAGGTGTGGCACGAGCTGGAAGGGCAGGTTGGCCACACGCTCGCACACCACCACACCCACGCGCCCCCTCTGCATCACCTTCCACAGCTCGTCCCACTGTGCCCTGTTGTCACACCCCTCGTGCAGGAACCGGACAAAATCCGCCGTCCACCCCTTGGACTGCAACGGCGGTTTGGTGGGGTTGTGGGCGGGATGAGGAGGATGAGGACGCGACCACGAGTTAGAACAAGTGGGTGGTGATCAAAGGGCAGGTGGATTATATTTGAAACTAGATGCACAAAGCGAGCTGATGTTAAGCTGGTTCACTGCCATGCCTTTGGATTCACAGAAAAAAGAGCATGTTATGAGGCGTCTCAAAACTGATGTCAAGTTGGTCCACTGCCATGCCTTTGGATTCTCGAACAACAGCATTCATCAAGTCACAAGGCATGGCATGGCATGATGCACCCGGTTTTTTTTATGAATGCCATGCCTCACCTTGCAGATCAACGGCAGGCATGCAGTGAGCCCCAGAATGCTTTTTGAGTCGACTCATAAGTCAACTCACAAGGAATGGCCTGATGCCCCAGAATGCTTTTTTATGAATGCCATGCCCCAGAATGGCATGCAGAATGCTTTTTGATGAATGACATGCCTCACCTTGCAGATCAGCGGCAGGCATGCAGTGAGCCCTAGAATGTTCCCCTCATCCCCTGCTTTCACCACCGTTGCCACACTCCCACTCCCGCTCCCACCAGCAGCAGCATCCCCTTCCCCGGCTGCGCCTCCTCCCGGAGCTCCCGAGGAGGTGACCGCGTCCACAAAGGCCGGCAGGTCCCACCGCTTGCCGTCCAGGAAGGTTCGCAGCAGCGCCTTCACGCCGTGGTAATCCGACGGCTGGGCGTCAAAGAAGTCGAAATCGACCATCAGGATCTGGTGGGGTTAGGCGGGACGGGATGGGAAATGTTGGTACGGGGGAGGCATGACAGGGAACCATACCGGCATGGAAGGGAAGTGTCACAGCATGGCAAGAGTGCACAGCCGGCAGACACTCTGCTCTCATCCTTCCATCATTGTAAGCACCAAAGCGCGGCAGAGAAACGTACCACGGCTAACGCACTGGAAGCTGCGGGATCCCTCATCCCTCAATCTCACAGCAACATGACTCTCAACCCTCCACTAGAGCGTCTAGAAAGAAACCGTAAGCCTATTGTTAGTCGGTTGACCACTGGACATGTAACCCTGAAGCACTCAACCCCCAAAAGCAACCCTCCAACAGCTGGCTGTACCTCCTCGTCGCGTTTCTCCTCGCCGTCGCCGTCGCTCCCTTCATCTCCCTCCTCATCCTCGTCCTCCTCTTCTCCCTCATGCTCCTCACGATCATCCTCCCTATCGTCGTCCTCCTCCTCTTCCTCTTCTACGTTCTCATTGGCAGCGATGTCAGTTTCCGCTCCCTTTAGCGACCGTTTCTGCTTCAATCTCTTGTCTAGAGCGGGCGAATCAACCCTGGCGCCGTCTCTCCCTCCGTTCTCCCCGTTGGCATTCCCAATGGGTCTCAGACCTAGAAGTTCCAATTGCTGGTCTTCTGACAATCGATCTAGTAGCTTCCGGAGTCGTCTACGCGAATCGCGGCGTGACTTCACTACAGAGAAGGGGTTGTTGAACGGCGGCAAGCCGAAAAAGCTGGAACTGGCGAGGCTGCGAACCATGGCGACATGCAACATCAACAGGTCGAATCAGCAGAGCAGGTCACAAAATAAACTATAAAAATATTACTGTTTTTGGATCCACCATGGGGGTGTAGCTCACATGGTAGAGCGATCGCTTCGCATGCGATAGGTAAGGGGATCGATACCCCTCACCTCCACAACCCAGTTATCGTTTTGTCTAGTCTCCCAGTGCTAACACCATTTTGTGTTTACTTATCAGATGCAGTGTCCGTACTGGTTTAGCCACTTTGGTGGTGACCTACGCACAGGGAGACTAGACATTGCTTTTACACATGCTGTGACATTACATTTGAGAACCCTTGTGAGAGCAAGCCACACCTTATTGGGAACCATACCCTTCATGAGGCCATCCATCCATCCACTTCATCACAGCAATCCCTGGAGGGGCCTGTCTACTGTCCATCACTCTACATCCCTGGGCGTCTGCATGGCCATGGGACACCCTTCCCTGGCAATGGACGCTGATACCATAGCCTAATCTTAACCATATGTTGTATGTCTACTGTATTCACTTCATGCTACTGCTTTTGATCGCCATGTCTGTGCCTCTCAGCATCCCTGAGCACTCGTAGAGCCATGGGGCGCCATTGCTTGGCCGTGGACACTGACAGACCCATGCCAGTTGCCAGGCCCTTGAGCAGCATCATGGTGCGCACTATAAAGAAGATGTCTGCTGGGAAAGCCTGCAGTAGGGCAGGGAGCATCGCAAGGGGGGGTGGAATAATCGCCGGTTAGCAGCATCATGGTGCGCACTATAAAGAAGATGTCTGCTGGGAACGCCTGCAGTAGGGCAGGGAGCATCGCAAGGGGGGGTGGAATAATCGCCGGTTAGCAGCATCATGGTGCGCACTATAAAGAAGATGTCTGCTGGGAACGCCTGCAGTAGGGCAGGGAGCATCGCAAGGGGGGGTGGAATAATCGCCGGTTAGCAGCATCATGGTGCGCACTATAAAGAAGATGTCCGCTGGGAACGCCTGTGATTTCAGAGGGGGAATTGCAAGGGGGGAAAAGAATTATCTGTGAGCAGCATCATGGTGCGCACTATAAACAAGATGTCCGCTGGGAAAGCCTGCAGCAAGCAAGGGAGCACAGGGAGCATGAGCAACGCAGTACAGAATGGACACTTAGGCTTAGCAGCATCACGGTGCGTGCTATAAAGAGTATGTCGAATGGGAAAGCCTGCGGTGATGAAGGGAGCACCGCAAGTGGGGGGGGGAGAACTATAAAGAGACGGTCAGCAGCATCATGGTGCGCACAATAAAGAGAATATCTGCAGGGAAAGCCTGCCAGCATAAATGGAGCACGAGCAGAGAAATGCAGATGTTGAGTGGTCAGAACAAATTGGCCGCCGAGTATGTGACAGCACAGAAGAAACAACAAATGCCACACAGAAAGAGAGTGGCTCTAAAAAGCTATCATTCCCAAGAAACCAAGGGACTGGTTAAGAAACCAAAGAGCTGCCCCTGATCTACGCCCAAATCGTACCTTCATGGCATTGCTCTTGAGCGAGCTCTCCGCCCCGAACGGGTTGGCACTGGTAACTCCGTTACCAGAGCCGGTATCAAACATGATCATGGCCATGCGGCGGAAGCTGTTGGGGTGCTCCCCGGCTGTCTTGGCCGTCTCTATCCCCATCGCCGTGAAGCACGAGCCCACAGCCAGCATGTCCTCATCGGCTATCGCCACCACCAAGCGCGCCAGATCCAGCCTCAACGCTTCAGGCAGCTGCTTGGTCTGGCCGTAGTCTAATAATGCCACCCTGCCCCCCGCACACACGAGAATGTTGCCCGGATGGGGGTCCGCCTGGAAGTGCCCGTGCTGCAGCAGCATGCGCCCGTACGCCGTGGATAGGGCTGAGAATATGCGACTGCAGGGGGGGGGAGGGGAAAGGGCAGGAGGTTAAGATTGTGACGATGGGAGGGTGGGGAGGAGCGCGCTAGATTGAGCCTCAACGCTTCAGGCAGGTGCTTGGTCTGGCCGTAGTCCAGCAGAGCCACCCTGCCCCCCGCGCACACGAGAATGTTGCCCGGATGGGGGTCCGCCTGGAAGTGCCCGTGCTGCAGCAGCATGCGCCCGTACGCTGTTGATAGCACTGAGAATATGCGACTGCAAGGGGAAGGAGTTTGTGTATGAGGAAAAGGGAGAGGGTCAGGATGGATTGTGAGGAGGGGAGGAGGGGCCCTGTACGTGATCTCTGGCAGCTGCTTGGACTGCCTGAAGTCCAGCCGCGTACGGCCGACTTTTGAGTCGACTCACAAGTCACCTTGGACTGCCTGTAGTCCAGCCGCGAACGGCCGTACGCTGCTGGTAGTGCTTAGAAGATGCGACTGGGGAGGGAAGCGGGGCCACGGGACAGAGGGGGAGTGGTAGAGTGGGACGACGGTGAGGATTGGAGGCAGGGAGGAGGGAGCTTAGAGTTGGACGTTGCAGGCAGGGGCGAACAAGGGCAGGCAATGAGAGTGGCCATGGCACATCATGTGAACCTAAGGAGAGGCAAGGGGTATGCAAACACGAGTACCCCACCCAGCCCCGCCTGACCCCATCCCACCCAACCCACCGCACCTCTTGGTCTCTTTGGCCAGTGCACCACTGGGGCTGATGCCTTGCCGGAAGTCTCAGACTGGGCGTGTCCTCAGCAAGGTGTACACAAACGCGAGTACCCCACCCAATCCCGCCCAACCCCATCCCACCGCACCTCTTGGTCTGCCTTGCCAGTGCGCCACTGGGGCTGATGCCTCGCCTGCGCATCTCCTCAGGCAATCTCAGGATGGGCGTGCCCTCAATAAAGTCCATCACCAGTAGGCCCCTGTGAGAGAAACGAAGATTGCAGGTGGAGGAAAGAGGGGCAAGCAAGAATGCCTCAGGGTAAGAATGGTCGCAGGATGGGCGTGCCGTCTATAGAGCCCATCACCGGTTGTCCTTGTGAGTGATTTTAGAATCACTCACAAGGATGGGCGCGCCGACTATAGAGCCCATCATTAGTAGGCCCCTGGGATGGACAAAATGGGGTCATAAGTGGGCGAGGCAGGAGACTGAGAACTAGGACAGAGGTGAGACGTGATTGAAGTGAGAGAGATTGATGGAAGAAAGGGGGGAGCAACGGAGGAAGAAAGGCAGAAAGACACTTGAATGTCTAGCAGGCAGCATAAACAGCACGGGCTGGTTTTCGAGAATTCTCAAAAACCAGCACAGAATCTATATCGACTAACAGATGAGGGTCATGTGGGGAGCGGAGGAGACGGAATGGTGCCACAGCAACAGTAGCAGTACCTGGCAACGGCAGCAGTGAAAGAAGGGTGCATTTGAGACGTCTCAAAACAAGGGTGGTGTTGAGAAGTCTTAAAACCGCATCAGTCTCAAAACCGCATCTCTATCTGCTGACAGAATGGAGCCACACTTACCTCGTGACGAGGCCTGGTATGGCTGCAGGCACGATGACAGGTGACGCCCGTGTATCCACCTCCGCACTCCTCCCACCATCTTCAACCCCATGTCGACCTCCATGTCTTGCCTTTGTTCCCACATGAGCCACACGAGCTACCCTACCCACCCTCTCCATCCCATCTGCCATCCTATCTGCCCTATCCGCCTTGCTAACCCCTCCACAGCGCACACCACTTCTGCTACTGCGCCTGCTGCTCCGCATTCTCCCGTGCCTATCCTGCCTCTCGCCCCCTGCAGGCTGTGCCAGGGCGTGTCTGATGCGCTCCATGGCTGCTGCCTCGTGCTCAAAGTCAAACTCGTACCGAATCTGATGCATAGGGGAAAGACAAGAATAAATTAAGTTCTTTCTTTCATGCCTGTTCCTCCCTCCTCCCCCCTGCCGTCTCGCCTCCTTGCGGCTGTGCCAGGGCGTGTCTGATGCGCTCCATGGCTGCTGCCTCGTGCTCAAAGTCAAACTCGTACCGAATCTGCAACACAGGGAGAGAACAGCAGTTGGCTAGTTAAGGTATTTCTGCCATGCCTGCTCCTCTGCCTCCTCCACTACCCGCTCTCTCGTCCCCTTCCAGCTTTAATGGGAGTGTCTGATTCGCTCCATACCTGCTGCCTCGTGCTCACAGTCAAACTCGTACCGAATCTGATGCATAGAGGGAACAGGGGAGAAGAGCGCAGAGGGCAGCAGATGCTTTAGGGTTGGTATTCGTGCATTCATGTCACTTTCAAAGGAACCAGCCACTGAGGACTGAGTTGATTGATTGGTGCCAGGGTTCTCAGGCATATGAACAGCTGTTGAAAGCGTAGAAGCAACAGCTGTGATACACCTGCGTGGGTTGAGCACACACCTGCGTGGGTTGAGCACGCACCTGCGTGGGTTGAGCACGCACCTGCGTGGGTTGAGCACGCACCTGCGTGGGTTGAGCACGCACCTGCGTGGGTTGAGCACGCACCTGCGTGGGTTGAGCACGCACCTGCGTGGGTTGAGCACGCACCTGCGTGGGTTGAGCACGCACCTGCGTGGGTTGAGCACGCACCTGCGTGGGTTGAGCACGCACCTGCGTGGGTTGAGCACACACCTGCGTGGGTTGAGCACGCACCTGCGTGGGTTGAGCACGCACCTGCGTGGGTTGAGCACGCACCTGCGTGGGTTGAGCACGCACCTGCGTGGGTTGAGCACGCACCTGCGTGGGTTGAGCACGCACCTGCGTGGGTTGAGCACGCACCTGCGTGGGTTGAGCACGCACCTGCGTGGGTTGTGCACGCACCTGCGTGGGTTGAGCACACACCTGCGTGGGTTGAGCACGCACCTGCGTGGGTTGTGCACGCACCTGCGTGGGTTGAGCACGCACCTGCGTGGGTTTTGCACGCACCTGCGTGGGTTGAGCACGCACCTGCGTGGGTTGTGCACGCACCTGCGTGGGTTGAGCACGCACCTGCGTGGGTTTTGCACGCACCTGCGTGGGTTGAGCACGCACCTGCGTGGGTTGTGCACGCACCTGCGTGGCTCCAGCTCAGATATGCGTCCCTGCAGGTCCACCTTGAGCTCGGCGCGCTGCAGAAAGCACCATGCACAAGAAACAGTGCACCCTGCGCCCTGCACTCTGCATGGAACATCATGCACGCTCTTGCTGCTCCAGCTCGGTCCCAGCAGGTCCACTTTGAGCTCGGTGCGCTACAAAAACATGCCAAAGAGGTGCAGCACAAGGGGTACAAACTGCACGCACCTGCTGCTCCAGCTCAGATATGGGTCCCAGCAGGTCCACCTTGAGCTCGGCGCGCTGCAGGAAGGGCCCATAATGACGCAGATTCACAGGCGAGAGAGAGCAGCACACTACTTGGGTGCACCTGCACTGTACACCCTGCACCGCATGCACCTGGTGCACGCACCTGCTGCTCCAGCTCAGATATGGGTCCCAGCAGGTCCACCTTGAGCTCGGCGCGCTGCAGGAAGGCGCCAAAGAGACGCAGATTCGCCAGGTCCATCAGCATCAGCCTCTCTGCCCCCGCGCGCTGCACCTGTGGTGTGAGGATAAGAGGGTGGAAAAAGAGGGTGAGGAAGCAAACATGCATATCCTCCCTAAGTGTTCGCCATACCACCTCATCATGCATATGCCCTGCGTGCCGGCCATACAAGCATACTCATTCGCATGGAGCCCTGCATATGTGCTGCTTGCTCACCTTGATGGCGACTCTGCGCCCATCCTTCAGCCTGCCCCTGTGCACCTGCTTGGCACCCCATCACACATACACACAAACAGAGGCACGGTGGAGGGGGAAGCAAAGAAGGAAATTGAGAATTGAGTTGGAGCCAAAAAAAGAGCTCACGGGCAGCGTAGATTGCAACAAGCCCTTGATCACAATTCACACTGTCGACGTATCACATAACACAATCTCCTCTGTTCCCTTCTCCCTTCCATCCTCCGTCGTCCCACTCATCCCCCCACCATCCTCCCTTTCTTTCACGCTGACCTGGGCAATGGACGCAGACCCAACCGGCTCCTCCTCAAACTCCGCAAACACGTCTTCCAGCCGCACCCGTGCCACGTCAGCAGCACTTGCCACGTCACTCCCTGCCACGTCAGCACGTGCCAGCTCAGCCTCGACGGTGCGTCGGACGAGAGGGAAGGGGTCTGCGGGCGCACTGTCGTGGAGGGGGGCGAGGCGACGCACCCAGGCTGGGGGGGACATGTCTGGCTTGGCTAGGAACTGCCCTGCCTGGTGGGGAGGGGAGGAGGGGGGGAGGAGGGAGAGGGGAGTTTATATTGGGGGTTTCGGGTTTAGGAACATGTGTGGCTTGGCCAGGATCTGCCCTGCCTGGAGGGGTTAGGAGGAGAGAGAAAGGGGAGGAGAGAAGGGATGGGGATGAATGAAGAGTGGAGACGACAACGCCTTTTGCAGGAAGGGACATGTGTGGCTTGGCCAGGAACTGCCCTGCCTGGAGGGAGAAACGAGGAAGGTGAGGAACAGAGAATGGAGGAGGTGTGAAGAGAGGGGATGAGAGTTGGAAGGTTGAACCAAGAGAGGAGAAGGTCGACCGAACCATTCTGTGCGGCTGTACCTTGAGGAAGAAACCTCGAATCTCGGTGCACAGGCGACGTGGAGTCACGTGTGTGAGCACGGTTGCAGCAGCAGTAATTTGCGAGGAAAGTACCCTGCTGCGGGGCGGGGGCAGGGCAATACCTTGAGGAAGAAGCCCTGCATCTCCGTGCAGAGCGAGTGCAGAATCTCCGCCCCCCGCTCGTGCTGCTCCTCCCATGCCGCCCGCCGCTGCTCCTCGCTCAGCCTGCTTAGGCGCACGCGCACCTGGCACAGCTGATGGCGCGCGCATGGGGATCGGAGTGGGGGAGTGGAAGTGGGGAAGAGTGGAAACAGAAAATGCGTGCGTGGGCGGACTTAGGGGGATACTATTCAGAGACTATGGGACGAGCATTGTGGGCTGTGGAAGGAATGGACTTCTGGCCTACTCCATTGGAAACTGCCTTGGATGCACGACTCACACGGCTCGTTATAATAACCTTGCAGCTGCTTCGTTATAATCACCTTGTAGCTGCCGTACAGATGCACGGCTCGTCTCCAAAAATCGACAATGCGGTGCAGCGCCTGCTGTTGCTCCCGCCAACCCTCCACCTTCCTTGTCCTTCCGTCACTCCTGCTACCGCCACCGCTGCCAGCAGTAGCGCTGCTGGTAGCGCTGGTAACGCTGTTTGTTCCCCGCGCCGTGGCACTCCCCGCCTTGTCATGCGCATGCCATGGCGCGCCGGACAGCCCGCTCCGGAATTGCGACTCCGCCTGCACGATCCGATCCTGCAGCCATCCCGCGAGCTCGGCGCGCAACGAATCGGGGATCGAGCTTACGATAGAATTTCCGCTACGGTCGGTTGCGGCGACAAGGGAGTGCTTCATTATCGTACCAGGAGGGTTACGAGGGCGGTAACGAAGCTTGTTGGGAGTTGACGAGTAATGGGTGGCAGTTTTCGAACTAAATCGTTAGGGCATGGGCCTGACATGGCGAGACAATGAAATTGTACGAATCACACTACCTCCACTATCAGACATTGCATGAACGAGAACATATTTGTTTACAGGAGGCGAGGACTCGTAATGGGACGAGGACGTCATGGATGAAGGATGACATTTTGGGTTTGCTGCTACAACGACCGCGTGATCAGGTATGCTTGCGATGTTGGCAACATCGCACACGGTTTGCGAAAATTGGCAACTGGTTTCCCGTAGTGTACCCTTCGTGAATACGGCGCACAGAGCTGCGACAGCTGGACGAAAAAGCGGCAAGTCGTGATGGTCTTGCGAATTGTGACGAAATGATCCTCACCACCATTTTCAATGCTCGCCACCATCCATGTTACTCTCGACGAATCTGACACCATGTTGTCAGAGGCTCAGCCCCAATACACGGACCAGAACGGTAACCGTGTTTGAACTGAACGGCACCGCATAAGTCGCAGAGTCCTCGCTGGAGGCTCCAACGCAGCATTACCAGTTCAACATTCTCCAGCGCAACATTATCAAGATGGCTTTCTAAACAAACTGTTCAAGAAAATGTTTTCGGTAACAGAAGTTAAAACGGACTATGAAAGTGTTCATAAACGGTGCATCTCGGTACACTTGGACATTCAAGTTGAAGAGTGTTCGGCCTGACTAACCGCCTCCCCGCCTGCTCTGCAGACTTGTTCCCATTTCGCGCCACGAGCCTCCACACACTAACGTGTGCAAAGCACCTTCAATTTGCTGTGCTGGCCATTATCACCAGACTTTACTGATAATCGGCACGTAGGTCGGCAGCAGGATGACGGAAGTGACCCGCGTTGAGCTTGCCTCTAATGCGGTAGTAGTTCGAACAGCAGGTCCGCTTGGCCCGGGTAGCGTTATAAAGGGATGGTCCCGCCATGAGTTCGTCGTAACTAATTCATTCTTTCAACCAACCAAGGGTAACGATGGTGGCTGCGCGTTTCCTTTCGACTACATTGGCACGGGTAGTACTAGTAGCGCTGGTGGCGCTCCATATGAGAGCCACGTCAGCATTCAACTTCTCAAGAGCCGAGGGCGGAAAAGTGCAGTGGTCGCTCAACTGCGACTGGAAGGGCAACGACATTGGCGAAGCCGCCGGCAAGGGCGACACGTGCGGAAAGCAGTGCCTCAGCCGCGCGGATTGCACGCACTTCACATGGACGGCCGAAACCGCGGCACCTGCCGGCTCAAGGGAGCAATCAACGCGACGGAACTGGTCCCCGCCACTGGCACGTCGTGCGGTTACCGCGTAACCGACAATGGCGTCACCGGCAACCCGTACAGGGGAGTTCAGCAGTACCTCAACCGCGAGTACGCGGAGAACGTGAAATCCGCGATGCTCGCGTCCCCCGCAGACGCGCCGTATTTCGCGAGCGTGGCGCAGTATCCGACGGCCGTGTGGCTCGACACGATGAAGAAGGTCAACAACATCCAAGGCCACCTCGATGACGCAGCGGCTCAGGCGGGTGGAAAGTCAATTCTCGTGCAATTCGTGATCTACGATCTCCCGGGCCGCGACTGCAGCGCGTGGTCGTCTAATGGGGATATTCCAAAGGGCGGCCTCGACACGTACAAGGCCAAGTACATCGACGCCGCCGTGTCGCGCCTTAGAAAGAAGGCGGCGAACGTGCGTCTGTCGCTCGTGATCGAGCCCGACTCGCTGCCCAACATTGCGATTAACTTGGGAAGGAATCGGTGCGACGCGACGACGGAGCAGGAATATACGGAGGGCGTCGCGTACGCGATCGCGTCGTTCTCGCAGATCCCCGACACCACGCTCTATCTCGACTCGGGGTCCGGCGGCTGGCTCGGTGAGTGCGTGTGCGGCGCGCGGTTCGTTCTGTTCCATGCCAGTCTGTTCCTTCCTGTCGTTCCTCTCCCTTCAGCCGTAGCCCTGCTTCCACCGTTTCGCTTCGCACTCCCCTTCAACCCACCCCTCAACCCTAATTCGCTCGCATCCCAACGCGTGACCAGGCTGGCCGGATAACATGAAGCGCGTGGTGGCGGTGTACAAGAAAGTCCTCGCGCGCGCGCGGCAGATCAGCGCAGGCGCCAAGATCCGCGGCTTCGCGTCCAACGTGGCCAACTACAACCCGCTCTTCGCCTACCGCTGCCCGGCATCGGAGAAATGCCCGCTCGTGAAGAACCCGAGCACGGGAGAAATCAACTACGACTCGAACCCTTGTATCGACGAGAACCGGTTCACGTCGCGGATGAATGCGTACCTGGGAGCCTTGGGATTGCCGACCAGGTGGATCGTTGACACCAGCCGGTCCGGCCGCGGTGGCATTCGGAAGCGCTGGGGTTCGTGGTGCAACGTGAAGGGCGCGGGGATCGGACAGCGCCCCCGCGCGAATCCCGGTAGTGCTCCGCAAGGTGAGCACTTCACATCACGCGCATCCTTGCTTCTTCTTGCTGTTGTTTTTCTTCTCTTCTCTTTTTGTTTTCTTTCTGGCAATTCTGTTTTGAAAAGGTGGTCACATGCCACCGTTCCTTTCCCACACACCTTGCTTGCCCGACAGTTGATGCTCTGGCTTGGATCAAGCCGCCTGGGGAGAGCGATGGCCACTCGTAAGTAAATATGCAGGATCAACAGTCTGTTTTAATCATTATTGTTACTGCAGGGTCTTCCTAATAGTTCCTAATATGCGGAGTGGTCCTACCAGTTTCCTAATATAGTGTCTTTCTTCTTCTCCACAGTGGGTTATTTACCGAATCATTCGCTAGGGCAAGCTTCCTTCCACCTTCACTCATCTCCTCTCCCTTCTCTGTCAGTGGGATATTTATCGGAACAAACAGTTGGCTATGCTTCTCACTACACCTTCACTCATCTCTCTTTCTTCCTCCCCCCGATGCATCCGATCCAGAAAAAAAATTGGCGTTTCCCCCGTGGATCGTGAATGTAACCCCCTGGACCAGCTGGGCGCGGAAGCCCTAGCTGACGCGCCACGCGCTGGCAAATGGTTCCAGGCGGAATTCGCCATGCTGGTTCGCAACGCCAGCCCACCCATTCCTGCTGCAACCATGCAATGATCAAGAAGGGGCTGAAGAGTAGAAGGACGAGCAACCAGGGGCCAAGCGACTCGGACCCCTATGGTGTAGACCCGGAGCTGCTGAGGCGGTGACGTAAGGATTTAATAACATACTGTCATTCTCTTTTTTACTTATGTTTCTTTGGTCATAAATGGTTCGTGTGGCACCTCTCCTAGCTGCTCTGTTGGCCCATAGAAGCCTTGACATCGATCTTGAATGGCCATGACTTTGCTAGGTAGTCCCTGAGCAATCCGCGTACTGGCCATGCTGTCGCCACTTTTGATCGGGGCGAACAATGACCTGTCGTTCATCTGTCGTTCAATAGTCGTGGATGCTCGTGGCGGTGGTGACATGGCAGTGGCTGATGTGTTGCGATGCCATTTGCCATGTTCTCCTCCATGAGCAGCTTTGACAATGAGGAGGGTAGATAACAGTTTTTAGAAAATGGTTTCGAGAGGTCTAAGATGACGAGACGAGCGTGAAGAGGAAGAGCGGAGTGAGAAGAGGAAGAGAGGGATGCCAAGAGGAAAAGCGGAGCGTGAAGAAGAAGAGCGCAGACAATGAGGTAATGGAAACAAGACGTTTCCACCGCACCATGATGCTCCAAGGCTGGAGATGCATGCATGGGTCATCGCAGCTAAACTGGTTGAGAGGGCATATTTTCACTGCATGCGGTGAAGAGAAGAGGTTGATCTTCAATGTAAGAACGCTCTGTTGTACCTACCTTGATCACAACGGTGCAGCCGGATTGAGATGGCGTGTGACACTACGAGAGCCACGTCGTCATTCTCTCAACACATCATGCCATATCACACACTGCCATCCCATAGCCTCGCATGACTTACGACTAGACGTACCCTTTGTTACAACAAACCTTCTTCTCCCATCTCTTTCACGTTCTCCCCTCTCCCCTGTTCAACATTCTCCCGCCTGTCACGTTTCCCCTTCCCCCCCCTCTCAACCCTTTCCTCCCCTACCTATTCCGCCTCTCTCCATCCCCTCAATTACCTCCCTCTCGGACCTGAGAAACAGACGAAGATACAACCGGCTCTTCATAAGATTTAGAGAATAGGTCTTCCAGTCGTATCCGTGCGACGTCAACACTTCGTCACGTCACTCCCGGCCACGTCGGCGCCTGCCAACTCAGCCTCAACAGTGCTTTTGACGAGAGGAAGGGGGTCGGCGTGAACTGACGTGGAGGGGGGCGAGGGGAAGAACCCACGCAGATACCATCGATACAGTCGGTCGAGGAGACGAGAGTTCCTTCCATGATCGAAACAGGTGGGCTACTACGATTGCAGAAACGATGCTCTTGGGGAATTGACGACCAAGTAGTGGGTAGCAGTTTTCGAACTAAATCATTCAAGCATGGGCCTAATATGGCGAGATAAAGGTACTTATACCTAACATACTAAGCTAACAGACATAGCGTGCAATCCAGACCAGAGGAGGAAAGTACTCTTCTGAGTCGTGGAAACGGTTTACCGTCGCGGATTTTCTACTGAGAATAATCAGACATAGGATCTGGTGTGGTCTAATCTGGTGTGGATCCGTCATGTTTGCAGCATCACAAGCGGTTTGCGACATCCCCAATTTTCGCCTCCGTCCAGTTTCACCTGTGTGTGTGTGGCACATGAGGTTGTTAGCGAGAGCGTGCCCTGTGCTGCGAAATCTAGACGAAGTGCTCGTGGCTCGCATGACTCGCAAGTATTCGCGAACTCAGTCCCAGGCAAACTCTGTACACCAGTTTGTCTGGTGCTTCGCGGTCCAAAGAGTAGTAAATCAGTATTTTACCGTCTTAAACCTTGGAAACACATACTGAACCGTACTGTATGATCAGCAACACAGCTCGCGGGATGCCCCGTGACAGAATTGCAGAAATTTCCAAATCTCCACACAACCAATCGCACCGACTCGCGCCAAACGCCCCTTCTGACACAATCAACACCCTCCCCTCTGCCACTATTTTTCAAACGCGCTCCGCCCACCTCTCATGCATCCACCGCCACAGCCAACCCAACTAGTCCACCTCAACACCACAGCACGAACGGACAGACAGTCGCACTAATCTCATCACATCCACGATACTGACTACTTCCTCTGACGTACCTACCGCAAACGCTTCTCCGCCTACTTTGCCCCTGTAGAAACTCTGTCACCGCCAGCGGCCGTCCTCGAAACCTCGAAATTTCCTTCCATTGATGTTTGTGTTTGTGCCGCCTAAGAAGTAGACCCCTCAGGGGTTTCCTCCATCGACGCGTCCGTAGTTGTCGCCGGAACATGGGAGTTAAAAGCCTCTGGTCGCTTCTCGAGCCGGCGAGGCGAACCATTCCGCTCGAAGATCTCGAGTAAGACCTGACGAGTACAGCTTGCTTGTCAATGACCTCGTTCCTCTCTCCGCATTCAGCGCTTAGCCGCGTGCTTGAGTCTAGGCTGATTCCTCGCGAGCCTCGTAAATTCCGACGTTGTGCGCGCAGGAACAAGACCATCTGCGTGGATCTCTCCTATTGGATCGTTCAGTTCGCCGCTAGCTGCCAAAACGGCCCACCGCAGGCGGGCGTCCAGAGCAATCAGAAGCCGCACCTTCGCGGAATATTCCACCGCCTACGCGCGCTGAAAGCGCTCAACTGCCACGTCATCTTCGTTACAGGTGTACCAGAGATATCCGCTCCTTATTCCTTCTTCCGTTGCATGGGCTGCGACACACTCGGGGTACCTCTCCCATTTCGTTTGCCGCTGAGTCGCTTCCCTGTCCGCAGCTCCTCGCCCGTTCTTTAGGCCGTTTGACCTGATCTTACGCCTTGTACCCCCCGTGTACCGTCCCTTGTACCGTCGCTCGTCCGTCGCACTCCCCTCATAAACCCCCGTCTCCCGGCGTTTCCCACATCAGATGGCGACGTGCCAGCTGTCAAGCGCGCGACGTACCAGCAGAGGAGGGCGGACGATGCCGCCACGTCACACCCCCACTGGCGCCGCGCGGGCCGAGGCACTGCCACTGCCGCCGGTTCCGCTAGAGCCATTGCCACAGGTTCAGCGGAGGCCACTGGTGCAGACTCGGGCGCACAACCTACTCACAAGGTGAAATACTCACCTCAAGCAGTTTCTTTTCTCGCAAGCATCTCAGCTGTTCTTATGTACATCATCCGCCATACACCAGGCACCATACAGCACATTGGCACATACACTCGCCATCTCTCTTTCCACTTCTCGTCATCCTTCCCTTCTCCCCGTCCCACTCTTCCCCCCCACTCCCCCGCGTTCCTTTCCCCAGCCCCCCCGCGCCCCTGAGGGCGCGCTGAAGAGGCGGAGGGGAACGGAGTTTGGGCGCATGGTGGCGGACGCGAAGGCGTTAGGGGCAGCATGGGGCGTGCCGTGCATTGACAGGTGAGGGGGGTGTGCTTCATAGAAATAACTATGCTTTTGGTTGAGACATCACTGTTTCGGCAGCAGCCGTGTGTTTTCCATAGCACCGAAACGGACATGTCTAGTTCCCGTTGGTGTATGCCAGGGCTTGCGCTATTGCCTTGGCTCTGTGCTCCGCTTCTCGTCACTGTGTCGGCGTGTCCCATTACCTCTCCTCTCCTCCCCTCTTATCCCCTCGTCACTCTCCTTCCCCCCTCACCTCCTCCACTGCACACCCACAACCAGTCCCGAGGAGGCAGAGGCACAGTGCGCACTGCTCAATGCATCTGGCGTCTGTGTGAGTGCTCGCCTACTCTCTCACCATGCCCTCTCTCACTCTTTCTGCCGCCCTCAACTGGGAGTGGCTTCCCCTCCCATGCCCTCACTCGCCTTCCGTTTCTTCTCCCTGTGCTCCTGCTTGTTCTTCTCATCTGATTAAACAAAAACATAACAACCCTCCGCTACCCGTCTCTCTGCTCATCTTCCCCCCACACACACCCCCAACACTCATCCCATCCACCACCCTGAAACATGCACCAATGCATCAGGATGTGGTGTGTACGGGAGACTCGGACGCGTTTCTGTTTGGAGCCAAGGCTGTGGTTCGTGATATCTGCCTGCACAAAGGCACGTATGAGGAGAATGTGATGTGTTGGTCCGGCATGTGTTGGAATGGAATGGGGTGAAAGGGAGCAGCCATGGCCTTGGGTCATGTCACCTGCTTGCACACGTGAATCCTGAGAGAGTGTGGCCAGGATGGAAAGACATGGTTGCTGTGCAGACACCTTGTGTCCTCCTCTTCCTATCCTTTGTACCTGGACCAAACCCCTCTGTGCATGCGTTCACTGCCCTCCCTGCTGTTCTGACGCCAGGTGCCAACTGGGCTGTGCTCTACACTGCAGCGGACATCACAGCTTCGCTCAGCCTCGGCCGAAACTCACTCGTGAGATGTGCTACCGTGTTGCACTATTCTGCACACTGTACCACGCAAAATCGCACCACGCTGTGCTACGACCACTCAAACTTAGAGCTAGATCCCAACTCCTTTCACTCACTGTTCAATCTGTCTCAGTCGTTCTGTGCTCCCCTCTCATTCCCGCCCCGTTGTTATTCAGATCGCCATGGGGCTTTTTCTTGGCTCAGACTACTCACAGGGCGTCTCTGCTGCTCCCACACTCCGTGCCAGGGTAACTTCCCTGCGATACTCATTCCCCTTGGGTCATAACCACTGGGCACCTCGTCACGCATCCTAACCGTTTCCATCCCAGTCTCTAGCCCACTCCTATTCCGCATTTCACCACGGATTTCCTCTTTATCATCTTCTCTTCCCAACTTTGCCTACCAGCAAGGAGCGGTGCAGAGGGTGGCAGCACTGGGTGAAGATGGCGTGCTAGCAGCGATCAGAGAAAGAGGCCTGGCTGCCATTTCTGCCCCCAGAGCTCGCAAAAGAGTGGGACCCGGCACAGGGGCGCAAGGGAAGAAGGGACAGCAGAGGAGGACGGGAGTTAGGGTTGGGGAAGGGAGAGGCAGGGGAGGTGTAATGGGATTGAGTGAGAGCGGTATGAGTGGTTGTGTTGGTGTTGGTACAGGGAGTATCAGTGGGGCAGAGGGGAATCCGTCAGCAGGAGAAGGAGGGCATGCGCAAGGGGCGAGGGAGGTGGAGGAGGAGGGGGAAGAGCAGGCGAGGGAGGATGGTGCGAGGGTGATAGAGGCGTTTCTGAATCCTCCGTGTCACGACGCTGCATCGGATGCTGTCAAAAGGTAAGGACACGCATGGCTGTGTTGCGTTGATGTATATGGAAACCGGGATGTGATGCAATGTAACGTATGCTGAAGTGGCAGCAGCATGTGGTATTCAGGTGGATTATGATCAAATGAGGTATCCAAGCACTCGCAGCTATTGAGCTAGCGTGCTCCCTGCTGCTATTTCCTGCCACCGTTATCTACATTCCCGTCTTTTACCCCATCGTGCATGTTCCAGTGCGTTACAGAAGCACTGCAGCCCTTCATATGCTGACATCGTCGCCTTCTGTGACAGGCACATGGCATGGCCTGCTGACGTCACAGGTGCGTGTGCCATGGGACGTTGACTGCCTACCACGTGTCCTCAAGTGAAGCTGCAATTCCTTTTCCCTTCCCATCGCCTTTTGCTAATTTCTCCTTTCCTTTCCCTTCTCCATCCCCACCATACCCAGTATGGTACATTGGTACCACACTAGGCAAATTAGAACCCAATCCTTCCCTTCTTCTTCCCCTTCCATGCTCCTACTACCCCCACAGCCCGCCCCCTGTGAACCCATCCCCACGTTACCCACCACGGTACATTGGGTTCACAATAAGAGAATGAATGCCATCCTTTCCCTTTTTCTCCCCCTGCCACGCTCAACCGCCCTTGCCCCCTGTCCCCACCACACCCAGCACGGTACATTGGGTCAAAGCTAGCAGAACGAGACCTCAGGCGCTTGCTGCTGGTGCGGCAGGCAGCAGAGATCTGTGTGACACCAGGGAAGGAAGCTTCCAGGAAAGCGGATGAAGTGGGGGGGATGCTGGATGGAGTGACGTACAGGGTGGGCGGCATAGTGAAGGAGCGGTGGGTGGCTGGGCATAGAATGTTTGAGGTTTCATGGACTGGGCAGCCTGAAGTTGAAAACTCGGTTGTTCGGGCAGAACTGCTCACGAGGTAAGTGGTTGGTGTTGGAATTGTCGTCAGGAGTCTCCTTTGTCTTGTCTTGAAGAGATGTCCTTGTTTCCGGATATAATAAACGTTGTTGTTGCGCTGGCAGGGTTCATCCGGAAATGGTGCAAGCATATGAAGCAGAGAAGGAAGCAGGAAGGAAGAAGGGCCGAGGGAAACAGCAGAGGAAGGCAACGGAGACGAGGGGAACGAAGGAGAAGGAAGCGACAGAGATGAGTGAGTTCATGACTGACTTGGGAGAGGCACCTGGTAATGATGTATGTGGCGGATATACAGAGTGGGAGGATGAGACGGAGTACCAGCGGTCTCAAGGTGTGGCAGGGCAACCAGTCCATACAGATAATTTAGTGACAGAGCGGTCACATACATTGCTGTTCTCAGTAACGAATGACAGCAGCAGCGGTGAGAGAAGCGGTGCAGATGCGGGCACATCTGCTGATTTGAAGGGAGACAGGGAGCCACCCGGCAGATCGGGACCCAGCCCCTATGATCAGTTGTACTTGCCCTCCAGGTTCAGGCAGACTGAAAGCGACCAGGCTGCTCTATCCTCTGCACAGAATCATGAGATACAAGCAAGGGGAGCGGTGCATCAGATGAAGAAGATTGTTCAGAGCGCGAGCCATGAGGAGGATGTGGTTGAAGCGGGAAGGCAGGAAGTGGGAGTGCTGAAGCGCTGCCAGAAAGCAGATGCTAAACCTGTGGAGAGCAGAAGCAGGGGAGCAGTGAAAAGCAATGAGAATGGGCTGCTGTGGGTTTGGCAGCAGGAGGACTACCCGCCCAAGGAGCAGCAGAAGGGAAAGCGAAGCAGGGTGCAGGACCGTAGTGCAGTACAAAATGCTCAGGAACGGAGAGGGGGTCCATTTATTGACTTGACAAACATGACCACCCTGCGAAATGACAAACAGGATTCAACGACCGCAGTTGAGTCAGTTGGGATAAGCAATGGCGGAAAGGCTGTGAGTGATTGCATTGACTTGATTCACCTGGGTAACGGTGACAGCCCTGGTAGAATGCGTGGAAGAGGACAGGCAGGAGGAGGCAAGCTCGTGAGAAGAGAAAATGTGCATGGAACAGATAGATGGGTGACTGCTGGCAAGCATGAAGTGGTGGACTTGGACACTCCAGAGTCTGTCACGGTGAAGGTGGCTTTGAGGGGAAATGCCATGCTTCAAGAGGCAGGAGGCTGTCTATTGGCTTCTAAACTCGACTTCGCGGGAGCCATTTGGGAGGGAGAAAGTAGTTGCGCTTTGGTGAACTTGATTGATTTGGAGGGCAGCGATGACTAGATTGCTAAGATGGCTTATTTCTGTACCTCCTGAACTACAAACACCTTCCTGAAAGATAACCCAGATCGTCGATCGACACTCGTATGTCCACTTGTCGAAAACTAAATATTCCGCCAAATAGCACGAGATTGCAGCGACCGTAATTAGTTTTGCACCAACCGTCGTACTCGATGGGACATCTTACCCTACGTGTTGCGCTAGACGGCTCCGCCCCTTTCACCAGTATTCAAGATGCAGTGGACGCCATCCCAGGCAAAAGCCAACCAACGATCATACAGATCGACCCAGGCACTTACTTCGAACAGGTCCGCAAACCACAAGCAACGGATTTTGCCAGATTTGCAGGATATTGCTGTTATTGACGTTTCAAGCGTTATCTAGTGAGTCGCTAAGTTTAACAATGCTTTTGCCCCCCTGGGTGACCGTTCCCGTCAGGTTCTAGTTCCATCGTCCAAGAAATGCATTAGATTCATCGGAGCTGGACCTTCATGGTCAACAATAATCTGTTTCGACGCATTCGACGGGAAGGCTCGACCTCCGCATGCACTGAGCGCTTTAGGCGATCGTACGACTCTTGTATACAACACGTACAATTGTGCGACAGTTCAGGTAAGAGATTTCTGAGTTCAAGCACTCTAGGAATGCCAACTTCGAGTCGTAGTTACGCAATCATTGTCCATTTCCCCATGTTCCCAGGTGGAGGCTTCAGGCATTATCATGGTTAACATTGTGATCGTCAACCAATCAAGGCCAGGCTGTGGCGGTCAGTCAGGGCAAAACCAGGCAGTGGCGTTACGCACGTCGGGGGACGAGGTTCAGCTCCATGGCTGCTGGCTACGAAGTTGGCAAGCGACGCTTTACGCCCATCAAGGGCGGCAGGTGAGCACCCCTCCTAGTCGAGAAAGGAATTTGATTATGCCTATCTTGTTGTCAAAGAAACCACGCTTTCTTGAAGTTTCAACCATGCAGAGCAAACTGTTGCTAAAAGTATCAGATCTAGTACAAGTGAAATAATATACACAGGGGGTCTGAATGACACTTGGAACATGAAATTGTGCATGAGCTTGTAAGCAATGGTGCCAAAGCCAGCATCGCTGAATTTAAATCAGAAGGCGTAAGGGTCATCCACATTAACTTCGGAAACCTGCCAGTCAGCATTGTATCCCGTCATAACCTGTGGAGTGGTCAGCTTTGTAAGTTTCAAAGCATCAACAAATGAGCAAGCATGAACAGATGGAGTTTGAACAGACCTTAGTGAAGTCCACCTTGGAATCATTAGGCTTGTAGTCGGCTTCCTGTAATTTAAGATGCTGTCAGGAGAGGAATTGGAAATAGCAGAACCGTTATAATAAGAGATGTATTACCATGTGCTTCAGCTTCTTCTTCTTAGAAAACGTAGATGTAGCTTTGGTGACGAAATCCAACTGGAGCAAACCAAAGCGTTCGATTGCTCGTCAAGATTCTCTCTTCAGCAAAGGTAAAGCATTGCTGAAGGGTACTTGCCTGTTTGGGAGTAGCAGCTTTTGCGTCCAAAGCGAGATCCTGCTGTTGTGTAGATATAGCTGGCTGGAGCCTCAACTTCTTCCCCGATAGTTTTTTCTGTAGATCGAGAGTTTGTAAGAGAATGCTCACCCTGAAAATGTCATAGTCACAAGCGTGGACAACCCACCCGTGACTTCAGTGTCTTCGATGAAGATTCTGTGTTTCAGCTGCTCCATTGGACGCAGGAGTGGAGCCTTGCAACTTAAGTCAATACTCATAAAGCCATGTCTCAGACGTTCTGCTCATTCCATTTCTACCTTTTCCAGTTGCAGCGCAGCTTGACTTTTGCCTGATTCCACATCCTTAGCCTCCATGGCTTCCTTGGCTTCCCCTGACTTGGCCTGCACTAACTCGGAAAATTGATTAAGACAAAGAGCTGACAACGCATTTCACAGCGTTTAAAAGCCTTACCGTTTCCTCTGTCAAGCTGTCACGTTGTGACTTAAAAGAGGATTCTTGTTCTAGCTTCCTCTTCCTCAAAGAACTGTCAAAGCCCATACGCTGAGTTTTCAGTGCGTTCTCATGATCCAGCTTCATAGATTTAAGGATGCTGTCGTGCTCCAGATCTTTCTTCTTGATGACGTTCTCGTGGTCCATTTGAGTCTTTCGAAGACTGTCCTCATGCTCCATGTTGAGCTTGTTCAGCATGTTCTCGTGTTCCATCTTAAGTTTGCTGATATGACCCTCCGCCTCAACTCTTGTTGTTGCGCATTCCTCTTCCAATCTCATCTCACTCTGTCGCAACTGTCAAAGGTGCGATATGTTGGTTAGCTCGGTCGGTGTAAAGCAAAATGAGCACATCAGTTTGATTTTTGCTGTTTGACTCACCTCCTCAATTTGTTGCTCGTAACTCTCCTTGAGTTGAGCTTCACGGGCCCTGCTTTCCTCCTCAAGTCGCATGGATTTCTTTTCAGCTTTCTCCAGTTTCTCCTGTGCCTGCAGCAAGTCAACATGTAAACTCGGTAAGATACTTTTTATTTTCGAAAACTATATCAAGGTTGGTTAGCTACGTTACCTCTGCCAAGCACCGCTCCAGCTCGTCATGCAAATTACGCAGCATGCCTTCATGGTTTTCCTGCTGCTGCTTGCACTTCTTTTCCATCCCTCGAAGCCTTGATTGCAGCTGCGAATGAAACTTTGCCACATAAAATCATGTAAATGCACATGCGAATGCAGCAAGTAAACAAAAGCCTTACCTCTGACTGTCGCAACTCATTGATTTCCTTCAGCTTGTCCATATCAACCCTGTGTACCTCCTGGAGCTCTTGGTATTCTCGATCCTTAGATGTCAACTTGTCTTTGAGCTGCAGCAAGCAGAATTGTTATGACTCTGGGAACTCGCCAAAATGCTCATGCTTAGACAGGTACGCAAGTACACTGACCTCAGTGGATTCACGTGTCATTACTTCCAACTGAATGTTAAGGGCTTCCTCACGTTCTGTCTTGGCCAGCTCAATCCTCCCTTCCAGCTCTTCCGTCAATGATGCAATGTTGTTGCTCCATCAACGCTCTTGCAGTCGCCATCTCTTCGCTCTGCTGGAGCTTTAGTCTCGTAATCAAATCCTCTGTAGATTGAAGCTTTGACTCAACCTGCAGAGGATAGCTTTAGATGCTTGGAGTCAGTTCATCAATGCACAGCCAGCTCACCTTATCAACGCACAGCCAGCTCACCTTATCAAGAGCAGCCAGGCACTCTTCCTCTTTAAGCCGCAACTTGATTTCAGTCTCTTTCACAAACGAGGCGAATGATGCACGATGGGTCTCTTCAAGCTCCGACACCTATTAATACTTCTGTAAGCCGATCTGCCTCAGATTTTGGCATTGTCCAGGCAAGTAGAGGCAAGCTTACCTGTGACTTGTTTTTCTCGAGGAGGGATTTGATCCTGGCTCCATACTTCTCCTTCTCTTCTGCCAGTTGGTTCTGGAGGTTCTTCTTGGCACTCTCAAGTGCATCTTGAGCCTGTGACATGGCAATGGATGTAAATTCAACTTGTGGTGACCACTTGAGCCGACAATTCTTCCATGTACACACCTTTTTCCGCTCTTCATCCACACTCCTTGTTGCCTCTGCCTCAAATTCTTTCCGCATCTCCGCCATAGCGAGATTATTGCGCCTTGAAATTTCTTGAAGATGCTTCTGCAGTTCAAGCTGCTTTGATTGCATCTGCCTTTGGTAGTCTCTCTTCAGATCCTTTGCTTGCTTCTCTGCTGACAGCAGCTTCTCCTGACACTGGAATGCCAATACTCTGGTAAGTTTCTTGCAATATTTAAGGAAGAGACACCAAACTCTGTGTACTTACCTCCTTGTAGTCCTTTCTCAAGTGTCTCAATTTGTTCCTTCATCTGGCTCAATGCAGCTTCATTCGCCTCAAGGTTCTCTTTCAGTGTCTCGTTCCCAGAGACGAGCTGGGTTTCAGCTTCTGTCTTCGCTGCAACAGCTGCAGATAGCTCCTTATTTTCTGTCGTAAGCATAAATAGTTTTGCTTCCAAGGACTCCTTGGTGCTTTTCAACTCTGTGGTTAAGCACTGCAACTCGGCTTGCAATCCTTCCTGCAAAAGAAAAGGCTTGTGAGATGCGAACGCGAGAGCTTTTGCCATGAACGTCTGCTAGTTTGTTACCTTCTCCTGTGTTGTATTCCTGTCCTTATCTTCCAATGCTTCCAGCTGATTTTGAAGCTCCTCTTTTTCGCTCCCAGCTTCCTTGGCTCTGGCCTCCAAGTCTTGCAATGTTGTCAGGAGCTGACTGATTTTTTCCTTGGACTGACCGTGCTCGGACTCAAGCTGGCACATGGTCTTTTTCCATTTTTCTTCTGCCTCTGTTAAAAACAACACGCGATTGAGTTGTAGCATGATACGAGTGAACGAGACCAGTCCAGCTAAGATAATTTACCTTTTGATTGTTGTTCCATTTGCTGAACCCGGGTTTGCAACTGTTCACACTCCTTGCGTGCTTCATGCAGCTCCTGTTGAAGTACTTCCTTTTTAATCCTCTCTTCTTGAAGCCTAACATTTGAAGAGCTTAACTGGCTCAGAATGGCATCTGCATTCCGCGTTGACAGTGCGTTCACACTATCAAGTGCACCCAGCTCCGCTGAAAGTCGATCGACATGAGCTTTGAGCTCTTTCACTTCATCATTTCTGTGTTCCAAGGTTGTCTGTAATAACTTCATGTTGGCCTGGTGGCGCGAGATCTCCTTCGACTGCAAGAAAACACGACAGTAAGTCTTTGTGTTTATTGAAAAGCAACTGGTTTCCCCAGGAATGCTGCTGCACCAAGGAAGTGTTGGAGAGCTCAAGCTGCTTCATGTCTTCCTTATAGTTTTCCACCTCCACTTGTCTTTGCATAAGTATTGAAGCAAGCTCTTCGCACTCTTTTTCTTTGACATGATATGCTGCCTGTGATGACTGTGCTTGTTTCACCAAAGTATCTGACACAATAGCGAGTACGGTTGTTAGCCATCTGTGAAGAAGACGAAATCGTAACGGTGGGTCTCACCTCTTTCAGAGCTGTACTTTTGTGCTTCTCGCTTCTTGAGTTCAAGAGAGGACTTTAATTCCGCTTCCAGCCTTTTTAGACGCATGCATTCCTTACGGCCTGCATCAACGGCGTTTTTAGTTTGACAAAATCTCGCACGAAGGTGAGCAATAGGAAAAACACATACTCTCGCTGGCGTTAGCGTTCACCAATGCATTTTCGTTTTGTAACTGGACGAGCGCTGTCTTCAGCTCTTCTATCAAGAGATCCTGCTTTCCAAACTTATCATCCAAAAGTCGACGAATTCCTTCCTCTGTAAAGGAAGCCAACGTGAGAAAAAGAAACTGGTAAAAACAAGTCTTTTGAGAGCAACGATGAGCGGGATCGTTACCTTGTACTAGCTGTCTCTCGATCTGCTTATATACGTCACAGACTTGTTCATACTTGGTGAAGCTTTGAGTGTGGGTAGCGTGTGTTTCAACACTTGCTGCACTCATCAATCTTCGCTTCTTCGAGATGGCACTTGGTGATGCGGGAACCACATCCTGAGAGAAAAAAAATGAGTTTCACTGAAAGCATTTGAGTACTCGATCTTGGAATTGTCGACCGACCTGAGACCGGTATTCGACGATCTCGTCTCGAGCCATCCGTTTCGGTGGATGGTTTGTCACGAAAGGTTTGTGTGAAAATGACGGTATTCCCTTGGATCTGGTTTTTATGACGAACCAGGAGCAACTCACAAATGTGCCACCGCGTCGCATGTGTCGCGACGAGGAAAAGATTGGGGGTCGGACTCGCTAAACTCACTCGCGATGTTAAAGCCGAAGTAAACATAAATAAAAGTCCATAAAATTTACAATCAACTCTTGATTTGTTTTGTTTCTTGGCCCCTTTCTTGCATGTTTTTGCAGTACTTCTCCAGAAGCATTATCGAAGGAAACGTGGATTTTGTTTTTGGAGGGCCAAATGTCAAAGCAGTTTTCTTTAAATGTTCAATTCTAGCCAAGGCTCAAGGCACATTCACAGCTCACTACCGAGACCTCGACACTTCTCCACGAGACACTGGCGCTTTTGTGTTTCAGTGTTGCACTTTTGATGGTGAGTGTATTCTTACTTTGCCATGATTAGGTCTGGTTGATAATGTACTGTATCATGTTTTCCAAACAATGATTTCAGGCATGTCAAGTACAACGGGTCCTTGTTACCTTGGCCGCCCCTGGCGCCCGGATGCACGGGTCATCCTATCGCATTGCTATATTGGTCAGTGTGTGCCTCGGCGTGGTTGGGACCGCTGGGACGGCTCCACTGACATTAACAGGCCGACGTTCTGGGAGTTCAGATGTGTGGGGCCTGGTTCAATCGTAAGTACCATTCGTGCTCAACAGAATCATGAGCTTTTGGTGGGACCCGCATAACCTGTGCTTGACCATAAGCGTCCCTGTTTGTGATGGCCTTGTTGTTGCAGAAAGCTACTTCCGCCACCAATCAACCTTCACACCAAGAGAGGCGTACAATGCAGAAAGATCCTCCCTCAGAATCACCACGATTCATTGGCCGAGAGCCTTCAGAAGCTGAGGTTGCCCCATTTTTAGACTGCCGATCCTTTTTTGCAATGAATGAAACGGACTTCCCAGGGACGACCTTTCCTGGGCCAGCGCCACCGTGCTCTGTTAATGAAGACGGCCCACTCGGAACCCCTCGTCCTCCAATTGAAGGTATAGTGTCTGTCTTAGGCCGTCAATGTGAGGCGTTCATCCGACACATCCCTTCTGTCGCAGAGCATCACCATGGTGTCTAACCCAATGCTCACTCTTTTTGCTGTCTCCAGAAGCCACTCCTGACACGACCAAAGAAACCACAAGAATGATTCTTGTGGTTGCACGGGCACCAGACGCAAATACCTCAGCTCTTGACCGTGTGCATGGTACCGTAAAGTGGTTCACGAAGGTGCAGGAGGCCATTGATGCAGTGGAGTCTGGAGGGAAGCACACCACTGTGATTGCAGTCCAGCCAGGCACATACTTTGAGCAGGTGGGCGGGAGGGACAGTTTTCGTATGTGCACGGATTGCTGCACTTTTCTGTTTTCCCCTTGTGCATGATTTACCAATGCTCAAACCTATAACCAATTTGCTCGCCAGGTACGAGTCCCCTGCAATAAGACGCACATTCTGCTGCGGGCGGCATCAGTTGAAGAAGTGAGCACTGGTGGTGGGGAGGTCCGGATAGTCTTTGACGCACATGCAGGGAAACCTAAGCACAGCAGCGGCGGCATCAGCGGCAGTGGCAGTATCAAAGGGAAAGATGCCAGTGCTGCTGACAGCTACACGACATATACTTCTGCAACTTTTGCGGTGAGAAGAAAGCAAATATTATCCATGCCCCGTACAACCCGCCTTTCTCATACCACCCTTTTTGTTACTTGCCTTCTACTACGCATGTATTTCTCCTCGGTACTGTCCGTCATTCTTGCTCTCCTACCCTTCTCCTCCCCTGACAGGTGGAGGCGAGCCATTTCACAGCAGAGGGGATAGTGTTTGAGAACGCAGCAGGACCGCAGTGTGGGGGCGCATCAGGGCAGCACCAGGCGGTGGCAGTGCGGGTGACAGCGGAGCGAGCAGCGTTCCACCAGTGCAGCTTCCTGGGGTGGCAGGATACGCTCTACTTGCACCGTGGCAGCGCGTGGTTCAGGGATTGCCGAGTGGAGGGATCTGTGGACTTCATCTTTGGAGGACCCAAGGTGAGGAGAACTGGGGTGTCTGCTTTTCCCTTGCCTGCTGTTGCCCACCAGTTTTCTTCCTGCACTCAGTTTCCTTCCCGTTTCCTGCTGATGCAGACTATAGACGCCTCTCAAGCCCATGCAGTCTGTGATTTTATTTCCTGTAATCCAGTGCTGTCGCTAACCCACAGTTTGTGTTCCTTTTTTCCTGCCTGCCGCTTGTGTGGTCAGGCACGAGGCTACTGGAAGGGGTGTGAGGTGGCAGTAAGGGGCAGGGGGTGGATGACAGCTCACCGCAGGGATCTCACGCAGTTGCCTGACGACACCAATGGTGCATTCGTCTTCGATGCATGCTCCATTCAAGGTACTCAATGCCTCCTCCATTGCCTCCTCCAAGGGTTTATGGCTCTCAACCCATCGCCTGGAACGAGTGTGTTCTTCACATTACCACCAAGCCCTTTGGACCACCTATACCCATTCCTTTTGCTATCTTGCTCTCATGTTTGCCCCTTGCAATTTTTCCAGCGGCAGATGCATCAGTGCCTGACAGCTGTGCGCTGCTGGGACGGCCATGGGGTCCAGATGCGCGTGTGCTGCTGCATGGGTGCAGCATAGGAGCCGTGGTGAAGGCAGAAGGGTGGAGCACATGGAACTCTGCCACTGATGTTTCTCGCCCTCGGTTCCTCGAGTGGGAGTGCACCGGGCCCCGTGCTTCATTGGCTTGTGTACGACAACAGTCTATGCTTCGATCTTGCTATTACAGCCCACACGCAGTTCAACCGTCTGGCACTTGCAACATCTTCTCATGTCCACCCTCTTAGCATCTCCAACCTTCCATCTCATTCACATTTATTGCATGTTCTACCTGTGTTGCCAGAGAATCATAGGGCGGCAGGCAACACAAGAGGAGGTGAACCAGCTGGTGCCTGAGAGTGTTTTCTTCCAAGACTTGCCAGGTTTCCCTGCTTCCACACCATTACCTTGATTCTCATTACTGTTTTCTACTCTATACATGCACAAGATTGAATTATGTGATAGTTGTTCATGTATGGTTCATGTGAGTTTCCTCTCTCCTGTTTGTTACACCATACCATACCATGCATTGCATGTAGTAAAAGAATGGATCAACCCGACAATGACATTATGCAATACCGGTGATAGCTAGTAAAAACTTATATACAGCTAGCAGCAGCACCTAAATCTTGCAATACCCAGGCTAAGTTACTGCCTGTGCCTTCAAATTAATCACCAAATAAACCCCACAACAGGACATCCTTAAAGGCTCTTCCAGCATAAACGGCGTGGACGTTCCAACCCCCAGCCCAGGATCACCCATGGTACAACCCTCTCACTCTGTCCTGAATCGTCCTCCTCTCCTCCTGAGACACATCGGAGAAGGCATGCGATGGCAGGTGCTCCAGTGGTGGGCGGCAGTGCTGTGGGCGGCTGTCTGCCAGGTCGTATGTGGCGCCGCGTATGGCCTCCCACCGCGGGCCGCATGGCCGCTTCGTGGTAACCATCTCATACGCTGTCCGCAGCTGTGGGGAAGCAGGCAGGGGAGAGTGTGGGGTCAAAGGGTCAGGGTTTGAGGACTGGGAGGGGTGGACGGGTATCAAGCCTCCGACAAACTTGAGCTGTGGCAGGAAGGGTGATCTGAAGAGTGTACAAAGGTAAGTTGAGCAGTGCATGGCAGTCACAAAGCGAGTCAGGACGGCAGCAGAGCGACTCACGTCCATGTCACGGAACCAGAAGAGGAAGGCGATGGCAGCAGCAGGCGCGCGGCCGAGGCCAGCAGTGCAGTGCACGAGCACAGTGCGTCCCCCGGACACATGGTGCTCTATCACCGCCACCATTCCTGGCAGCTGGTGCCTCAGCGAGTGAGGGTCGAAGTCCACCGCCTGGTGGGGACATTGATGCACACAGGGCCACGTGGGAACAGAGGGCGAGGGGAGGTAAGGGGAAGGAGAACAGAGGAAGAGTCAATGAATTTTAATGGCACACGCTAGCAAGGAGAATGGGGGGATGTATGCGAGTTGAAGACCTCATGGGGGAAAGCCGCATGCGATAATAATTCCAGAAAAATCACGCAACTGGTCAGGAAGGAATGAGCATGGGAAACGTACGGGTCGGCGGTAGTGCCTGAGGCCGAGCTGGCGGCAGTGGTGTGTGATGCGGTGGATGTCGACGCCCCAGTACGCGATGTCGTGGTCCTGCTGCAGGTTCAGCACCACCGCCACCTCCTCCTCGCGCTGCAACCGCTCTATGTCGTCCGGGCTCTGCGGCTGCGACCCCACCAGCAGATGCTGCGCGATCCGCGTGTAGTACATGCCTGCATCTCGTTGTGAGTGAGTTTTAGCGTGCTGAAGGCCAGTCTAGACATACGAATCTAGATATATGCGCGTGTTGCGGGCACTTGCATGAGAAGGTCTTGTGCTGCTGAAATTGGCAAGCGAACTGCAATATCTTAGTTGAAGTAATAGGTTACGAAGTCACTCACATTCAAAGTACGTGAGCTTACCAAGGTCATGGTGATACTCGTAAGGGTTAGCCATGGCTCGTTTCATCCGCATGTTGTATTCCGACGACGAGATTACAATCCCTGTACTGTCCGAGTCTGACGTGTCCCCACCACCATTCAGCATGCCAGTAGCGGCGTCTCCGACGCTCAGACGGCTTTCAAAGCATGGGCTCTGCAGGCTTAGGCTTCCTTCTAGAGTCGCAACAGTGGAGCTGTCCGCAACAAGACCGGGTGCAGAAGGAGCAGCAGATGCTGAGATTTGCGGGCCATGGGGCCTGGCAGTACGGTGGCTTGCGGTGTTGGAAGGTGGTGTAGACAGGGCTGCTAGATTCGCGGCGAACAATGAGGTGGTGCTGCTCAGCGCAATGCACGGAGACGGGAACATGCCGGAAATCAGGACGGGGACGGGAAGAATAATTTTGTCGAGACTGCCTAGCGGTGCGTATTTCAAATGTAGGACTGGAAACGACTGACTGGGGAATCTCGTCGAGCTAAACGATGACCATGAAAACGAGACGAAGTTTCCAGAATCAGGCGTGCCAGCACGTCGGTCGCGGCGGATCAACAGCAGTTTCCCCCGTGATTCTTAGTGCAACAATGTAGCCGCTCGGCCTCCCTCCACTACATACAAGTTGTCAGTCCCTTGCCTACTCTACCCTCCAGGAAGTAGAGGAAGCCGAAGCAAGGTAATGCGGGAGTGGCGACACAATCCGCCGCAAACGGTGCAATCTCCGACGTGCTACGCTGGCGTGTGGAAATGGTTGCCTGTTTTTATAAGGCGAGGCTGCTGTGTTGGGCCGGAATGTGCCATGCTGTGCTGGTGCTGGTACACTCCTTGCTTGCGGGAGAAGAGAAGGGAGGCTTGCTGGAGAGACTCGTCTCGTGCCATGCAGTGTAGCAATTCCCAATCCCAGAGTCGTCAAGCACGAGGATCATATTCCACCCTGAAAATCGCATGGCTGAGGTTTGCATGGCCGAGATTGGTTCCAGATGGAAGCGCGAGGGCTGAAAATCAACGGCAGCCACATATGGTGGGCGACGATGACGTGCTGCGAAGCGGTACGGGAGACGGCTTGGAGTTCGCGAAAGGAGCAACGAAAGGCGACGGATGCAGTGCTGGCACATCCGTCCCATGCAGCCCCTATGAGCCACCGCCACAGCGGATCCAACGAGTCACCTCCACGCGTGAGTAGCGGCGGTCCAGCAAAAGATCGAAGAGCGCCACCTCATAGTAACCCGCAGCTTGCGTCATCCTACTGATTCCTCCAAGGTCGAGATGCGATACCACAAAGTTACAATCACTGCAATGGACAATAGAATCACAAAAAACGAGCATATAACTTTGTTTTTGTTGTGTATTCTGTGTATTCTGTGTATTGTTCGTAACCTCAATGTTTTGTAACGAGACTGCTCCAACAGGGTTTCGACTGTGCATTTGTTTTCGAGATTGTACCTAGTCAAGGATTCCATTACATACTCCCAACGGCATCTCATGATCGCCGCGATCTGCGGGCCATCATGAGGGCCGATGATGCAAACGATCTGTACGCCATTTCAGCTCGTCACCATGGTCTATGGCGTCCCTCTCGCAACCAGTCTAAGCCTATCGGGGGCTCAAGTCCTGCATCGCATTCGCATCAGAGAACTCGACTGACGTCAGTACGGCAATATATTTTCGGCGCTGCGCCATGGAGTCCATCGCGGCGATTGCTGTGCATGGGCCGCGCGAGAGGCATCCTGCTTTCTGTCACGGCTTTAGCTGCGCTGTTCGTATTGTGGCATTCGCACGTGGTGCCACGGTTATTCAGCCAAAAGGTAACTTACTCTCCTCAGCAATGTGTTCAGTGATACTTGCTCGATACTAATCTATTCCCGTCCGGTATATCGTCGTTACCGTCACGATCTGTCCGTATCTGCCCCCACTACTCACCGTTTGCATCACATTTCCCTTTCCATGTTATGTTCGCGGTGTGTCCAGGCGTCCCATTTCCGAAGAATGTCAGCCACTCCACCCGCGTCCAGCCTGCTTCTAAACCCTCCAATTGTCAGCGCGAATAACAAACCACCTGCCAATCCAACTCCAACCACTCTCACTCACTCCCCGTCCACCAACTTCTCCCCCTCTCCCTCACTCACTCCTCAATCCGCTTCCTCCGAAACCACAACCACTCTCCCACCATCCCGTCTCTCCCCTCTCCATACCCCTCACCTCGCGCCGACCTCGGGCTGCAGCTGCTACCGAGTGCGCAACGTGTACTGCTGCAAGCAGGCCCTCTGCGTCTGCCACTCGCTCTGCTTCAACGGCTCTGCGCTCCTCTCCGCCCCCACCCCTCAGCCAACCTCAGGCAGAAACAGACAAATTACCGGATCTCTTCCCCCCCCCTGCCTTCCGCCTCAGTACACCCTGAACCAGATACAGCCTTCCCCAGACGGAGCGAGCAGCAGCAGCAGTGGGATTACAGACGTGCTGTCTCCCATCCCGTGCAGTCGCAAGGCAGAGTTCGCTGCCTATCTCAACATGGCACTTACCGAAGCCCCCATCAGAGGAGGCCTGCATGCTGCCAGTGAGGACACGTGGCACAAGTGGGTTGGTCCAAGGGGAGGGAACATGGACAAGGGAGGGTCGGCAGAGTGGCGGGATGGCAGCACACTGCTGATTCCCCTGGACGACCCAACCACCAACGTGGCTCACTTCATTGGTGCGTGCGCCATGCCACACCATCGCTTCCGGTTGATCCAATCACCATTGTTGCTCTTTTCTTGGGCAGGCTGTTGGGATGGGTTGGGTTCTTGTGCCTGTGCAACCCGTGCTGTCTTTTTTGTCTTTTAGGCTCTGTTGTTTGCTACTGCTCTCAAATATGTTTGTGCTTGCTAATGGGCATTCCTGCGTGAACCACCTCAATCTGGCTCCCTCCTTGCACATATGTGTGTGTGTGCATGTGTGCCTCCTTGGGCAATAATGGTGGTGTGTGTGTGGGGATGTGTGCACACATATGCGGTCATGGGCGTGTTTGTGTGTGCGTGTGTGCGCGTGCGGGGGAGGGGGGCTGTTGGGAGGATGGATGGGGGAGGGTCAGGGGGGTGTGAATGATGTGAGTGGCAGGGAAGGCGGCTCAGATACTGCTAGTCAACAATGCATCAACGCCCACGGCTCTCCCTCTCATCACACGATTCCTCCTGCCACGCACCCCTGCTGCTGCCTCCAGGTGTCTGCCTGCTGTGCTTTCCCCACGTCTCCTTTATCCAACGTTTTTCGTTTCTGCACAGCCTTTTCTGGCGCGTGTAGGAACTTTCTGAATTTTCCTTTTCGTGGGCATCATGCACAATCCACATCGTTCTCATCTGATTTACATCTTGCTCTGGTGGGCCCTCTTTGCCTTCCTTTGAACCTCCCTGTCCTCCTGTTCTCCCCGGTTGATATTCCTGACACGTTTATCCCTGTCTCTCAACCAGGATGAGGCAGCACGGGCAGCGGGGGTGGATCCCCTCCGTGCTGCACATGCTGCTGCGCATAGCCCTTGAGCCCCTTCTCAACCACACCGCTTCCTCCCATCACATCCCGTCGCTCCCACGAAGCCCTCAATCTCTAGCCGATGCGGTCTCGCCTGAAGTGTTAGTGGGAGCGTCCACTGGTGCAGCAGCAAGCACTGGTGCCAGCAGGGGTGGTTTGGAGGTGCTAGCAGGGGCGGTGGAGTTTGAGTCAGCATTCAGCAGGGCATCTGATGCACATCCCATGTGCTTCCATCGCCTTGTGCTGCCAGGCTACCTCAAGGTGGCGCTGCCTGCTCTCTTTCTGCCCTCTGCTTCGACTGCCTGAATGCCTGCCCTCAGCCATTTTCTGCTGCGTGTCTCACTCTCTTTCTTCTCCCTCCAGTGTTGCTTTCCTTCGTCCTGGCATGATACATGAGTTGTCTTCCATTTGTTTGTTTTCTTCCATTGGATGGCCTGAACTCGCCACAATGCTGAAACACAATTCGCCTCGACATACTCTCGGCCTTTTTTAACCTCTATGCAGGCCATCACCTTCCCAGGGGGCATGGAGCAGGCAGACATGTTCAAGCACCGCCTCAAGGAGGCCTTCCCCCACCCCGACCCCGACCCCTTCCGCGCTCTGGCGTCTCCCGACAATGCCTCTATAGAAGATGCGTCTGCTGGGAGCAGTTCAGCTGATGGTGCCACTGTTCGCCTGCTGTACATCACTCGCAATGCATCGCTCACACGCGGCCGCCGTGTGATGAGTGCGGAAAGCTCCAGCGCTCTGCTCAAGCTGTTTCACCAGCTCAACTTCCAGGTGCGTGCCCACTTCACCGCAATGTGACTCTGGCCGTCCTGCTGCTTTAGTGCTCAGTAGTACTGTTGTGCCCTTCCCCTTCACTTTCCACTTACTCCCCCATACCGAATTCCACTCATACCCCTGTCTTTCAATTCATCATATCCCCCATCTTGACATTCCCCATTCTCCAATCACCCCCAACACATCGGTCTTCCATATATCGTGGTCCTCCCATTACCCCGTCCCACAACTCTCCCTTCCTGCAACCCTGTATGCCTGCCCACCAGGTAGCCCAAGTGGAGTTCACGCCGCTCACCTTTGCCCACCAGCTAGCTCTGGTACAGGCAGCAGACATCATAGTCTCCCTGCATGGCGCAGGCCTTACCAACCCCGCCTCGTTCGCTCGCTCCGACTCCGTTCTCCTGGAGATCTCCCCCTACGGAGTCTTCTACAATCTGTATTATTTCATGGCGGTGAATGCCGGGGTGACCTACATGCTGCACCAGTGCACCGCCGGGCCTGCCCCCATGCCTGCTAAAGATGCAGAATTTCAAGGTGTAGGTCCGTTTCCGTGTGACCATGACCCGGCATGCAAGCAGTACCGGACTCACGACCGGCCGGTGAATCTGGGAAAGAAAGACATTGAGGAGTTGGGGGATCTGCTGGCAGTGGCTCGGAGATTGATTCTGGATGTGAGGAAGAAGGGGAGACGCGAAGGAGGAAGGAGGCTACGGCGTACGTATGGGAAACTATGTGTGTCCAGGAAGAGGAATAAGGATTGTAGGATGAACTTGCTAAGGTCTCCAATTGCAGATCCAACGTATGAATGTGTTGTTTCAATGGGATGTCCTTATGTTTCCAAATGACATGCATTATCAGGTGATGAATAACTGAATTCAAGGTTCTAGTGACATCTTGCAAGCAAAGGTTAATCTTAGTGACAGGGGTAATCGTTAAAACTGGCTGAATCCATTACGGCAAGAGGCAATACAAAGGGTGAAAACATGGAATGATATGTACAAATGAATACAAACGAAAATTGCAGTACCTCAGAACTGTCTTGAAACATACCTGCAACCTGCACCCACATGAACAAGACAGAGGATTTAGAAAGTGTTCGCACGTTCGCATTTGACAAGTAGGTGAGCAATATCGAGCATCGCTGGGGAGGGATCAGTTACTGGCTTGGTGGCTCGTAAGAGCCGAGTAAGCAAAGTGGAATCAGCTTCGATCATAGGGGAAAATGTCCTCATTTCCCTCCACCAACATGCTCGTCAGACGAATGACATAATCAAAACTAAGAGGGCCAGAAAGACGACGCGGAGGGTAATGAAAAAGAGACTAGGAGGCGGACAAGTCTCATCGGATAAATCCCTTGATGGTCCACATACGCAGGCTGTAAGCCTAGCATTCGGACTCTTCCTATCATACAAGAATTTCGTCATCTGAGGCACTAATCCGACTCAAAAAAGGATCGGTAAAACGTGAACAGAAGCATAATCGCTGCATCAGGGCTAAAAAGCTCTTTGAGTCAACAGTGTATTTCTGCGTTGGATGTATTCTGATGCATCATGTGCAGGAACGAAAATGCAGGAGAATCACCTCGATCAGAATGCACTCAGTGCATATTTTAGGAAAGAGCAAGTGAAGGACCGGGATGAGAATAAAGTCTAGCATACCGACTCTTCCTGTCTAAGGCACTAATCCGACTCAAGAAAAGTAGGTAAAACGTAAACAGAAGCAGTGTCGCTGCATCAGGGTTAAAAAGCTCTAGAGTTATATCAACAGTATATTTCTGCGTTGCATATTATTTTCTTTATGTGCAGCAACGAAAATAAAAATGAAATCACCTCAGTCCAAATGAAATGGTCAGTGCGGCGTCGAGAGAAGAGCAGGGGAAGGAACGGGATCAGGTACTGGCTTGGTGGCCCATTAATGGGCCAAAGTAGCACAGTTGAATCAGCTTCGATCATGGGGGAAAATGTCATCAATTCCCGTTCCCAACAATCACCTCAAATCCTACTCGCGAAAAAACGGACGCCTTTGTCAGGCATGCATTAGGTCACTGATGACTTACATTCGGAACCGAAGAGGCTCACTCGACTCCAAGCGCTACGCGAAGTGCGTCACATAGCTGCCGATGACGGTCGTCAAGTTCGGAAGCCCCATCACAACGCGCGTAGACTACATCACAATGATAGAAACGTGGGATGTTGGAGTACAGCAATTTATGCCTTGCGTTGTTGGCCTTTATACCTAAGGGTTGGGTTGGCGTTGTAGGAGACAGCCATTCTCCTACCGAGTTAGGCCGAGCGAGAATTGGATTGGATTGCTAATGGAGGCAGTTTTGGGCTTTGCAATGAGCCCTCCCAGTTCTGCAACGACTCTTTGATCTGCTGAGAAATAAGATACTGAATACGTTGCGGGTTCTGTTTTGCAGAAAGCCTCCTTTTGACGGGGATTGGCCAGTGAGCTTCCTGGGAGGTTCAACTGACATAGCAACCAGCTGGTTACCCGTCTAGCTACAAGCGAAGTCGTGTTCGCCAAAACAAAATGTTGCGAAAATCCATGCGAGTTTACAGCACTGGTTTCCAGCCCGTGAGAGCCTCGGTGCTTCGATATAAGTAGGTACGCATCTCACTAGTCCCCATTCTCTGCCGTTTACTCGTGTCCACCAGCTTTTTTCCAAGCCTTTCGCCAGTCGGCCTCCTAATCGATCAATCCACATGCAGTCCAAGGACGAACCGCAGCTGTCGGATCTCCTCCTCCCGTCATCGCTACCGTTCAAGCGCGTGCAGCTGGAGGAGAAGTACCCGCGCGGGTCGCAGGTGCGCGGCGGGCGGCACTGGAAGCACCTGAAGCAGATCCTGCAGCCGCACAACCTGAGCGACCTGCCGCCCGACGAAGCCAATTGTGCGTTGCTCTTCGCCTCTACCTTGGGATTGCCGCGGCTGCGCTTCTGCTAGTTGTTGCCCTAATCAACGCCGGCTTGGATTTTTCATGAAATCTCCCATTCTCACGCCACCTCTCCGTGAGCCGTGGCCCCTCCGCGTCCGCTGTTCCCCGGTTCCCGGGCCTCTCCCGCTTTGACCTAAGGCCTCTCCAATTTAGATAATCAGGTCTTACTGAGATCATTCACGTTCCTCCCCGCCCCCTCCCCATTCAAATTCCCTGCTTCTCCCTGTTTCCTTCCCCCTCCCCCCTCCCCCATCTCCTCCTTTCCCCGTTTCCCCCTTCCCTCCCGTGCGCGCGCAGACGTGACGATCGAGGCGCCGCCGTCAATGTACCCCGCTAAGAAGTACTGCGATATAACGGGGCTCGAGGCGCCCTACACGGACCCGCACAGCAAGCTGCGCTTCGCCAACCCCGCCGCCTTCGCCATCGCGCGCTCGCTCCCCCACCCGCACGCGCAGGCCTTCCTCGCGCTCAGGGGCGCGCAGACCATCGTCAAGTGACTGACGGGGGCTCGTTTTAGCGTTTCCTCAGCCGGCCGTCAGCTTCTGCCGGTATTTTAAGCCGCTCACAGTCACTTACAGTCGCTCACAGTCGCTCACAGTCGCTCCGTCGCTCAATCGCTCACATTCTCTCAAAGTCGATCACAATCGCTCGCGGTCACCCTCTGTCATTGAAACAGCTGCCAGCAACAGTCTCAACCTTGCGATGGCGCTGTGTCTGCACCACCAACCTCTCTTACCATCGCCAGCACCATCGCCACTGGCAGCGACAGCAACGCCGCTACTAGCCACGGCATGGCGGTCCAGACAAGCACACGCACTGTCGCAACCTTCTAGGCGGCCCATGCTCGCACTTCCGCCAGCCTGCTCAAGAAGGTCGCGAGGCAGCTTCGATACAGCACTGCACTTGCCTCTCAAGCTTCCTTTCCAGGCCTCTTGCCGGAGCGCGCTCTTTGGTCTCTCTCCGTTGGTCCAAGACAGGCCGACTGAGCGATTCTCTGAGTCTCTCGGGCACTCTCCCTGCCACAGCCTCGCATCTCCCTGCCGCTGCTACACTGCTGCGCGCTGTGCCAGGGTTAGGCGTGGCCTTGCTGCTCGAGCGGGTGGTGTTGCTACAAGCGGAGGAGGGGACAGCGTAGGCGGTGTGACTCTAACGGATGTGATAGAGTCGGGTGTGGGTGGGATGGAGGGAGAGCGGAGGAGGGACGGGGTGGGGACTGGTGAGGACAGGGTTGGGAGAGGAGGGATGGGGACGGGGTCTGGTGAGAACAGGATTGGGAATGGAAGCAGGGTGGGAAAGGAATCCGACATTCCCAAGGTTGTGTGGGAGCTCGAGCAGGAGACGAAAGACCTGCTGGAGTGGCCAATTGTGTGCCGCCAGGTGGCACGATTCGCGGACACAGTAATGGGGTACAGAGAGGCGGAGGAGGGGAGGCTGGCAGTGGGGCGCACGTGGGAGGAGAGCCAGGCGCTGCTGCAGCAGACGGAGGCAGCGCTGCTGCTGCCTCGACGGCTGGACTTCAACGGTGCTGTGGACGTGGGAGGGTTGCTCTCTCGGCTCGACCGCAGTGCTGCTGCTGTCGCGGCTGATAATGCTGCTGCTGCTGGTGATGTAGGTGATGGTATCTCCGAGGGTGCTTCTTCTGGCCGTGATAGTGATGGTGATGGCAGTGACAGCGATGCCACTGCAGCTGCCACTACGGGTGCACCCACCCCGCCCATGACCATAACCCCCTCGGAGCTCCTATCAGTGGCATCTCTCCTGCAGTCAGGCATTGACCTAGGTGCTTGCATCGGGCTGGTGCCAAATGAATCTGGCATTCTCTGCCCCTCCTCTTCCTCCTCCTCCCCCTCCCCGACCCCCTCGCATCTCGCCCCTCTCACGGCCCTCCTCTCCTCTGCTGCCACGTGTCCCCACCTCCTCCTCCGCATCCGCACCGCCATCAACCCCCGCCTCAAGTCCCTCGCTGACTCAGCAAGCGCTGAGCTGGCAGCCATCCGCGCCGCCAGGCGGGACAACCGGCGCCAGCTGGACGAAGCATTGCAGAGAGCAGCGCGACGTGTGGTGGAGGGAGGGGGGATGGATGAGGCTCAGGTGAGTAGGAGGAGAGGGAGAGGGTGCGTGGCGGTGAGAGCAGGGAAAAAGAGTGCTGTCACACCCGGGGGTGTTACCTTAGATGTTAGTAACACTGGCGCTACACTCTTTGTGGAGCCTGTAGAGGCTATTGAGTTGAACAATAACGAGGCAGAGTTGAGTGGGCAGGAGGCGGAGGAGGAGAGGCGGGTGCTGAGGGAAATGGCGGAGCAGGTGGCGGATTGTGCACCGTTGATTCGAGATCTGACGGACAGGATTGTCGCGCTGGACCTGGCGTGTGCCCGTGCAAGGCATGCCCTGTGGATGGGTGGTTCCGCTCCTGTCCTCCTGCCCCCCGCACACCCTCTCTCCCATGCGCATGGGGATGCAACTTCAGGAGTAGATTCCCCTGGGGGCAGTGGTATGGGGGGAAATACCCTTGTAGGAAGAGAATCTGACAAAATCGAATCTTATGCGGTTGAGATTCGCGGCATCCAGCACCCAGTGCTGCTGGAGATGTATCTAGACGCCCTCAGTGCTCCTGCTCACAACAGGACGAGTAAAAGCACAGGTGCAGCAGACACCAATGCAGTAGCAGCAACAGGAGGAGGAGGAGCAGCAGCAGCAGCATCCCCCCTGCCGTCTCCCCCGGTGCCCATAGACCTGCTGGTGCCGGCCGGCGTGGCAGTGGTGGTCATCTCCGGCCCCAATGCGGGCGGCAAGACCGCCGCCCTCAAGACCCTCGGGATTGCCGCGCTCATGGCCAAGGCGGGTCTCTTCCTGCCCCTGGCGGGGGACGAGGATGGACAGGGAGGAGGAGAAGAGCAGGCAGGGGCGGCGGAGAGTGGGGGAGAGAGGGGAGGAGAGACAGAGACAGAAGGAACAGGAGAGAGCAGAGGGAGTGGGGCGAGGGGGCGGGTGGCGGTGGTGGCGTGGTTCGACCGCATGGTGGCGGACATTGGAGACGAGCAGTCGTTGGAGCAGAGCCTCTCCACCTTCAGCGCCCACATGCGCCGCGTCTCCCGCATCCTCCTTGCCTCCTCGCCTTCTTCCTCTCCTTCCTCGCTCTCCTCGCTCTCCTCGCTCTCCTCTCCGTCTCCTTCTTACTCCTCCTCCTCCTCCCCTTTCTCCTCCTCGACTCTCGTGCTTCTGGACGAGGCGGGCAGTGGCACGGACCCATCAGAGGGAGCAGCGCTCGCAGCGGCCATTCTGAAGCACCTGGCGGGGTGCAGCGGGCTCACACTCGCCACCACTCACTACGCTGACCTCAAGAAGCTCAAGGTAGGGAGGGAGGGAGAGTGGGCGAAAGGGAGAGTGGGGGGGGGGGAGGAGGAATGTCAGAGTGCCTTTCTAGTTTTGAGAGCTGTCACTACTGGCAGAGCGCGCACTACTCACGCTCGCCACCACTCACTACGCTGACCTTGAGAAGCTCAGGGTACATAAGGGTCTCCCATGCTCTCTCCTCTGTCTGTCTGACCAGTCTTCTAACACCCCCTTATTCCCTTCACCCTCCTGTCTCTGTCCCCTCCTTCCGTCAGGCGGCCGATTCCCGGTTTGAGAATGCCAGCGTCGCATTCGACCCGGTCTCCCTGCGCCCGTCCTTCCACATCCTCTGGGGTCTCCCCGGCACCTCCCACGCCCTCTCCCTCGCTGCCTCCCGCGGCCTGCCCCCCTCTCTCGTCGCCAGAGCCGCCAGGCTCGCCCGTGCTGCCAGTCTAGAGGCAGGGGAGGAGGAGGAGGCGGAGGAGGTGGTGAGGGAGGAAGAGGAGGAAAGGGCATTAGGGGAGGGAAGGCAAGGGGGAGAGAGTGAGACAGACGAGTATGCTATCCTGGGAGGGGGAAGGGGAGAGGGTGAGGAGGTGGGGATACTAGCATCACTCAAGCAGCAGTGGCAGCGGAACGTGGAAGATGCGAGAGAGGCAGCCGAGGCAAGGCAACAAGCAGAGAGACTTCTGAAAGACCTGCAGGCGCACTATACCAGCAGGAGCACCTCACAGCAGGGCCAGCAGGAGCAGCCTCTGCCTGTGAGGGAGGTGCTGTGGAAGAGAAGGTATCAGAGGGACGTTCAGGAGGAGGTCTTGGCAGCAAGGGAGGAGATTTCCCGCGTTGTTGCCGGTTTTCAGGAAGCCTCCCTTGCTGGTGTTCCGGAGCGGGCGGCGACGGACCAGGCCTGTGCTGACGTGGCAGCGGTGGCGGCTTTGACGGACCTCTCTCCCGAGGCTAACCCTGCTATAGGTTCGGATGCTTCTGTTGGTGGCTCGGCGGGAGACCCAGGAGGGGCGGACTGGGTTCCTGCTCTGGGAGAGCTTGTGTATGTGAAGAGGTTCGGCACCAGCATGCGTGGTACGGTGGTGGCAGTGGGCGGTGGTTCGGGAGAAGCCTCGGCAGAAACAGCAGGTGCTCGGTCTGTGACGGTTCAATTGGGAAATCTGCGATTGCAAGTGCAGAGAGCAGACCTCCTTCCCGCCGCCGATGGCAGTGGTGATGGTGGACAGAGCAGGACAGATGGAGAGGCAGGAAGGAGGGGGGGAACAGGAGGACTGTTTGGCAGCCAATGGGAGCAAGATGACGACAGCAACAGCAACACCAACTCAAATAAGACTCGTGTCTCCAAGCGTGGCGGTCAGTTGCCCTCCCCATCCTCCTCCTCTTCCTCCCCTCTGCCAGCAGTCAGAGAGGCAGCAGTACAGACAGCACGGAACACAGTGGATGTGAGGGGGCGGAGTGCAGAGGATGCATTAGCAGCGGTGGACCTAGCAGTGCAGTCCAGCCCGCCTGGTGCTGTGCTCTTCATTGTGCATGGGCTTGGCACGGGCGTGCTTCGGGCAGCTGTGCTTAAATATCTCTCGGGCAGCCCACTGGTTTCGCGGCATGAGGCGGAGAGTAGGTTGAATATTGGGTGTACTATAGCATATATTGGGTGAGGAGAGGGTTTGTGTTATGGTTGCAGTGGTGTGGGTGGAACTATTGCTGGCACCTGTGAATGCAATGTATTCAGTGCTTCCGGTGGGAATCTTGGCAACAACACGTCACTCCACTACCGAAACTTCAGCAACACATTACTCCACTAGGGAACGGAAGGCACCTGGCTACTTGCAACAAGAGGAGCCCGACACATTCATTGCTTACGCTTGTCAACTCATGATTGTTCTTGCCAGGTGTCACAGCTTTGTAGCGGCAGTCCCTCTCCCTCTCCACAAACCATATCAGCATTGCGCCTTTCCTGATAGTATTCCACGTTGTGTCAAGATGCCCGCGGGCACGCCTGTGGTGGGCACACCCTGCTTACGCATTCTTGAGCTCAGCAGTGAACTGTTGTGGGTGGGTGCAATAAGAAGCAGCGTCAGAGCCTGGTGTGCAGCCCTGATACCGGCTCGCTGCGTCCTCCGGTCAAGAAGAGGGGACATGTATGGGTGAGGGTTTGTTCTAGCCAGTCACACCGAGTCAACTCGTTGCCACCTTGTGCCAGATTGTTGCGACTGTTCAGAGGATGATGATGGGGCGTTCCTTTCTCCATGGTCACGTGTTCGTACTACGGCAGTAGCGATATAGAGTTAGAGTAAGCCCTTGATAATGTGCGTACCGTATGTGAGCTCTGAGTTGTTGTGTTTGTTCATTCTGTAAATCTTTGTGTTTAACTTGTCATGCACTACACTCCTCCTGGTTACATAATAAATTGGTCATTCATGGGCATCCCCACCCACACCAGACACCACTTCAGGGAAAGTAGCGGTCGCCGGAGTAAGCAAGGACACTCGGCAACGTGCAACATGCGGAGAAGCACGACGCGTTTTATTCAGAGCTAACTCTATGGTCGCGGAACTGGGTCAGTGCCAAGCGTCAAGGGGCCACGAGAGTCGCTTCGCTGAAGAGAAGACGGTCCCCTCCCCACTCAACCCATGCCGGGGTTGCCCCGTGCCACACTTCCCCTTTGTGTCAAGTCAAGCTGCCTCTTTTCCAAGCAAGCACCCCCCAGGGATTCGCCCCTTGCTTAGTCATCCCTTAGGATAGCTCAGCAGTGAACTGTTGGCGCAACAAGAAAAATGTTAGCAAGGGGCAAAGAAATCAGGTTAGAGGCTGATTTGCATGCCATGCCAGAGAATGACAACATACAGAATGTTGTCAGAGTTACGAGTTCCGAATGTCTAGTAGCCACACACAAGCTTACCTGCCCCTGGTTCTTCTGGAAAGCTATCGCGCTCACTCCAGTTACGAGTTCCGAATCATCTGAGAACAAAAGCAAACACAGTCAGCACCCATCATCCAAAGCATTCTCTACACACCGTGGTTGAAGGACAAACACACTTACAATATCCACCAAGCTTCCCATTGAAAGCCATCCACTTGTTTCTCCCCGTGAACAGCTTCGCCATGTCTGCATTCGACGTGGAGCCGGAGATCTCGCCAGATCTCGCCTTTCACGTGAGCAAACTCAAACGACTGCGGGTTGTCCTTGGGCGTCCATACGACTCCTCCGTTGGCCGTGAAATCGAAACAAACGATCCCGAAAGCATAGCAATTGTGATCACCTGCGAATGAAAGAGAAAAACAGAGCAGCAACAGGGTTCAGCCTTTGCCTAGACGAGTGCAGGACAAGATACAGAGCGTTACTCGAGCTACTACTCACCAGCTCCAGGGTAATGCTCGTGGTTTTCTTCCGAGACATACACAATGGGATGTGTTACCATCACCGTAGCAAACTCCTTTGACTTGGGGTCGTCCCAGTCAGCCCCTTGGTCCCACGCCCACACGGGGCCGTCGCCGTGCTGCGCGTACCAAATGCGCTGCGGCTGGCCGGTCTTTGAGAAGCGGATTGCAATCGCCACCAGGTCCGTGATGTGGTTGTTATCCCCAGCAACGGAGTTGACATAGTTCTGCAAACGATAAGGGTTGAATAGTTGAAACGGATTGACAACATTTTATGAAAGGGGTGGGGGAGTGAGAGAGGGGAGGAGACAAAAGGAAGTAGCTGAAACCAGGGTACTGCTTGGAATACTCACGTAAGGGTAGAAGAGCCAATACTGAATCTCCACAAACGAGTCTTGGTCGTCGGGTTTCGGATTGTAAATGACGGTGTACAGCTTCGTGCCTCCGTTTTCCGGGTTGCGCGCCGAGTCCCTCACCCAGTCGGTATCCTCATCAAACTTTTCCGAACTGAACAGGACAGTTTTGCCATGCTCGCTCCTCAGATTCGGATTCTCCAGCAATGTATCGAGGTTGTCGGGAGTGATCGGGCCCGCCTGGTATTCAACCTCATACTCTGTACCATCCTCCTCAGTATAAAAACCTTTGGAGGCAGTCACGTGTGTGAGATACTCGTCGATCGTGATTGGCCAGATATCCTCGTCGGGGTGGAACTTGTACTGCGGCGAGTACTCGACGGCCAGGTTCTCCCAGAACGGATCGCACGCGCGGTTTGTTTGCGGGTCGGTCATGCACGGATCCACGTTTTCAGCAAGCATGCGCGGGGCCACCTTTCTAGCAGGCATGGGAGAGAATTTGAATGCGTTGCGAACCGCTGACGCAGGAGTCAGATTGAGAGCCATCAGCACGACTAGTAACACCCATGCCAATGTAGTCGAAAGGAAACGCGCATCCGCCATCGTTCAGGTTGGGTGGTTGAAAGGAATGAATGAGCTACGAGTATGGCAACTCACGGCGGGACCGTCCCTTTTGAACACCGCCAAATCCAAGCCGCACTGCGGCTCGGATCGCATCGGAGGCAAGCTCGGATTCAGTTGTGTCCGTCATTCTGCTGTGCGGTCCGAGGGGTGTGCTATGACCATTATTGGTGACACCACGCCTGTAGTCATAGTACCAATAATCGCAGGAACGACTACCGCCGTGAATCTCGCTCCCGCGGGTCATTCCCGTCACTCTGCTGCCTACCTACGATCCGAAGTGACACCAATAATTCTAGAAAAAGACGGCTGGAGCGGTTGTATCTGGCAGGAATGTTCGGTGAGATGGCCAACAAAGCAAGGCACACCTAGGCTGCTGCGTGGCGTGTGGTGCGGGCAGAGCAGGTGAGTTAGCACAAGCGCGGGGGGGAAAGTGAGAGGATAATTGAGGAAAATGACGGCCAGGAATGTTTGGAGGAAAAAGACGGCCAGAACAGAGCAGCTGTATCAGAGACAGAGGCAAGGCAACACAGCAAATCAGCGGTGCGCGTTCGTGCAGGTGCCGTGTGGCGCGAAATGTGAACATGTTTCTTTGAGTAGATCTCGTTAGGGAGCATATTTTGCTCTATTTTTCAGGGTTTTTTACCCTGTTTTCCCTGC